CTCCCCACAGCAGCAGGAGCCTGTTGGTGTCTGGGTGTCCTGCAGCCGACCCCGCTGCCGCTGCAGCATCGCACCACCCTTGGTGTCCCCGAGCCAGTACCTGCTTGTTCACAGCCAGAATTCGACACGGTTGGGTCCTGTGACAGAGCAGCTGCTTTCATAGCTGTAAATGCACAGCTTTCTCCATGGTTTAACACCCTTTAAAAAAAAAAAAATCAAAGCAGATGGAGCTGGACTACAGGCAGCTCTGTGTCAGCCCTGATTAGATAATTCTGTTGGGTATTTCCCCACTTGTGACCTCTGCCCCTGAGAGCTTTTAAAGGGATGTAAAGACCGAATTTCACTTATCTCCAGAGCCATTTCCTTCTGAGTGTTACTATTATACCTCAGATGATAAGAAACAAAGGATATTAAAAGACAGATTGAATTTTCACTCTGATGCAGTGTGGGGAAATAAAGGAGTTAAATTAGTACTTTACTTCTCATGCATTAGCCCAGTGTCTCCAACAGTCACTCTGTCCTGCACATTCTTTCTTGCATGACACATGGGACACACCACCCTCCTGCAGAGAGCAGCTCTGTGTGTTAGGCTTGGTATTTGCCATCTCTGGAGGCTGCTGTTATTCCTGTTGCTGGTTAAGATGGAAACGTGTCTATATGTGATCACAGTCTGGTTGCCCTTGTCCTGGGACATCTGTACACATGTATTTTGCCTTCAGGATGTATGTATCTCCTGACCTTTGTGGGCTGGCCCCCATGCCGGTTCTGTGTAGGATGTGAAGCTGTGACAAAGCTTTGGGATCTCAATTTTGAAGACATTATCATGAACTTTCAGTTCAGAGTCTCCCTGCCCAGCTCCTGTGTGCTAGCCCTGAGAGCAGTCCTCGGGGAAATGCCACAGGGCAGGACCCAATCCTCAGTAGCTGGCTCCTCTATTTGCATGTAATTGCAGCTTTTTTTTGCTTGGAAGTTTTGGAAGATCGTCATGTTTTGCAATTCCTACCTTTGTGCCAGCAGAGGACAGCAGTAGAAACTGAGGTGAGGGGTGATAGCTGTAGATGTTTGGGGCTTTGGTGCTCCCAGGTGACTGTGTTAGTGTCACTAGGCTGGCACGGCCCAAGAGGAGCCCTAAGAGCAGCAGTCCCTCTCAGATCACTACCCAGAGGGGATATCTAAGGGTGTTTCTGAAAGGCCACATCCTGTGACTGAGATTTTTTCCGAGCCCTGCTGGCCTGCCTGGCTGCTCTCTGCACATGCTGCAGTGGTATTGCTCCAGCCTGTAGAGGAGGAGACATCCCTTCTGCCCTGCATACAGACCCACAGCATCCTCCTGCCTTGAACCACAGAGGCAGCTTCCCCAAACAGGCACAATGCTTTCCCAAGGTCTCCACAGGGAGCCAGTCCCTCTCCGGGGGCTGCCTGGGACAGATTGCTGCTCCTTCCATCAGCACTTGGGCTGTGGCTTCCACTAGCACTGTCATGCAGAGCTCAGTGAATGCAAGGCTCTGCTTCTCTCAGCCCCCGTGAGACCAGAGAGCTCCTGAATCCTGACCTTCAAACTTCATCCCTCTTCACCATGGTTCCCTTTGACTCCTGTTGCTGCCCTGATTTTCTCAACAGCTGTCCTCTGCCTCGCTGGCTTTGTGCCCAGATCAATCTCTCTGCATCTGTGCAGTGCCCTCCTCACTCCCCAAGGTCCTCCTTGAGTGTCTGCATCCTCCATCCCCTGAGACCAAGTGCCTCTGCCTGATGGAGAGTGGTCAGGGCACTCCAGCTCCACTGGACTTTGGTGATCCTGCTGCCATGGAGTGAGCACTGTAGGACTTGGACCTCTTCTCTTTCCATTTGTAAACCCCTCCAAGCACAAACAGGGCTTGGTACATAGTATTGTGATGAAGGGGTTTATATGGAAGAAATCTGACAGCCCCCATTGAATGTGATCTGAATGCACAGCCCCATTCCCTCTCCTCCCTGCATGCAGCAAACCCCTGCTCCTTAGGGCATAAATTACTGTTCCTTATTGAGGAATTGAGGGCATGGTTAATTCACCAGCACGTTCCTGCTGCCCAGCAAAAAATTATGACACTCTCTCTCCTCCCCTGGCTAGCAGAGTTGCTCGGTACCTGCGCCTGACTGGTAGAGGGAGGCAAAAGCTTTTTATTTTCAGGTCCTCTGCTTATTTCTGAGTCTTGGGTCTTGTCTGTCTCTTCAGTAGGACAGGCAAAGTGCAAATATTGTAATATTTGCAAGTGGAAGACAGAACTAATGCCCAAGCCCCTTTCTTGTAGTAGTTGGAATAGCTGGCCACAGGAGGCAAGTGGGGATTTCCTGGTCTGAGTTCCTCCTGACCATGTGTGACTTTGTTTTAGAGCAGCGACTCACATTCGGTATCTCCTGGGTCCCATCTGGAGCCTGAGTGGGAAATTGTGCTCCTAGCAGTATTTTGAGATGTAAAAATCACTAGTGTGGAATGGCTGCAAAGGATGCTCAGTGCACAGGGAGCAGGCTAAACAAAATATGTCCTTGGGGCTCACCACTGTGTGAGCAAGGCAATGTGATATGTGATTTTTGGGCTATTATTAATTCAACAAAGAGTGCAGTGGGGCTCAGTGGAGGACTCAGGCTGGACCTGCAAAAGCCTCTATAAAATTATTATATAGAGCACTTCTCCCTGGGAGGGATCCAAAGCATCATTTATGGAGTTGAATTCTTTTTATAAATCATGGGGCACATGATGGGCTACATTCACTTAGGCTGCCTCTTCTGCATCCTTCCTGGAAACTCATCTAATAAGAGCTGGCTTCTGGATGTTCAAACCTTGATGTGTTACCGGTTGTTAATTACTGGCAGTAGAAGTGCTTCTTTTTTGCCTTGAAATGTGGAATCCCTTCCTAGAATTGCACAGGGGACTAATAAAAGCTACTGCCAGGTTTAATATATTCTATCTCTCAAATTATCTGGATTAAATACAAGGACTGTGTACTGCCAGAGAGGGGATATTCCCAGTTTAACATTGCTTCTGGGCCTTGGAGATCCCAAGACACTGGACCTGAAAATTATGATTCTCTTTTGTGTGGGGGAGGGGTTTGGCAGGAGTGCTTGGAAGTGGTCATATTTCCCTGAGTTAGAGAATTAATTGCCATAAAAACTATGGTTTTGTAACCAATAGTTACAGCTGCAGGAAAGATCAGAAAGCATCTGAATAAATCAAATTAACTACCTCTTGCTCCATCCATATGAGAGCAGAACCTTCCAGGGCAGGATCTAAACCACAGTCTGCTTGGCCCTTAACTCTCTCATCCAATAATTGAGGAGAGTGAATAGTCTAGAAATAGGGTCAACTAGAACAGGACACGGTGGGGACTGCCATGCTGAGTTATGGGGAGAGGCTGGTCTCAGTCAGGGACGGGTGAGTCCAGACAAGGGTGATAAGGAGGCAAGACTGGTTCCTGTGAAAATACCACGGACTCAGAGGTTGTTGAGCCATGGGGTCCCTGATAATGGACAGACAGTGGTCCCTGGTAATTGCTTCAATAGCAATCTTTCTAGCCCACACCTTGACTCGCTGGTTGCTGACTCTGATGTTCGTGATGCCCTAAGGCAGCCGGTTCACTTCACCTCCCCCCGGTAGTTAACGTCTCTTGGCGTGTCTCACTCTGGCTGCTGTTCTCCTCACGAGCCTTGGGATGATGAAGCGAGTTCCAGCTCACCGCTGACTTTCCAGGCTTTGCACTACTCCCTTGTGTGCCGGTGAGGAATGTCAGCCGTGGGATTTTGCCTCTCGCTTTTGGCGGCCCCTCCCTGACGCCCCCTCCCAGAGCCCAGGGAGGCTCGGCGGAGCCCCGCGGCTTCAGCAGCCGGCGGCGCTGGACAGCTCCGGCGGGCGGGCCCCGGCCACCCCTCCGTACCCACCGGCCTGGCCCTCGTCCTGCGGCCCCCCTTCCATCCCGGCCGCCCTCGTCCCTGATCGTCGGCCGTCCCACCCCGGTTCCTCCCGCCGCTCCGACCGTCCCATCCCGTCCCGTCCCGTCCCGTCCTGTCCCGTCCCATCTCATCCCGCCCGTCCAGTCCCATCCAGTCTAGTCCCATCCCATCCCGTCCACTCCCATCCAGTCCTGTCCCATCCCATCCTGTCCACTCTCATCCAGTCCTGTCCCATCCCATCCAGTCCAGTCCTGTTCCATCCCATCCAGTCCAGCCCAGCCCAGTCCAGTCCCATCCTGATCCTCCTCTCCGGCCTACGGCACTGCATCTTCGCCGGTCCTCTTCTCCCGGGAGACCCGCCCTCTCTTCCTCCCTCCCTGCTTCCCTGGCCTGGCTGCCCTCTGCACGTGTGTCTGCCCTGCGATGTGCAGCGAGCCGAGGGGCAGAGGACAGCCCAGGAGGGGGGACACGGAGAGAGGTTCATGGGGAACCTTTTAGGACAGGAGGATGCATGTGCTGCTGTGGAGGATGAGCCGAGGCTGCCGAGCAGAGGGTTTACCCCAGGAGTAATAATGATAAGGGACCAAATGCTGTCACCTCTCCCAGGGCATGGTGGCCCTGTGCTTAGAAGGAACAGCAGCTGTTGGAAAGTTCTTGAAGGCCTGGTGTGCTGGCAGTAAATTCCTCCCTCAGAAAGGCTTCTTTCCCTACTCTTCATATCTCCGAACCCCTCACTAGTGTGAATTTCACGTAATTTTTGGTGCTGGTGGGAGTCTGACACAAGCCTGAGAGAATTTCCAATCTTCCCTATCTCCTTCCCAGCAGCCAAGGCCATGAAGTGTTTGGGACACACCAGGACTGAGGACAGGACTGATGCCCAGAGCCATTCTGTGGCCCTGCTCCTGTCCCAGGGCTGTTGGACACCTAGAGGAGGGACTAACAGAGCCCTTCCTGAATTTCTCTCTGCTGCCTGGCCTGGAGGGTCTGTGATGGCATGGCCAGGGGAGAGGCAGTGCACCATGAAGGGCTGGGTTCATCGCTCAGCTTGGTGACATCCCACTTTTGTCTCCTCACAGGCCAACCCCGCTCCCATTATCGTGAATACAGACTCGCTGGAACAAGGGCTCTCTGTAAGTCTCCCAGTTTCGTTTTGCTTCCTTTGATCAAGTGCTGCATTTTCCCTGCTCAGCAATGCAGGAAAGACTTTTCCAGCTCAAGGAGGCCCTGGTAAGGCAGCAGAAGATCCTGATACTCACGCCATGTCCCCACAGCTCATCCCACCCCTAAACCTTTCTAGGGCTGGGTGACACTGCACAGAACCAAGGCCAGCAGCAGGCGATGCTGGGGACTCCAGCAAAGGGAGGTACAAGACAAAAGGCCTCAGCAGAGGAGCTGGGGATCCAGGCTGGTTGTGTTCAGCATTAATCACATAGCCATTTCCTCTGCTTCCCATGCAGGGGGCTTGAGAGGCTCTGCTGGGGCATCCTTTACCTTCCTGCACTGCCTCAACCACCTTAGGCAGCCCTGGCCCCTCAGGAAGGGGGCAGGGCTCTCTGGGTGCTTGCTGGCATCTTACTCACCAGTCTTCAGGGCAGCAGGGCCTGTCAGATGCTGCTCCTCTCCTACTGGAGGCTTCTAGCAGCTGAGCAGTATTTGGTGAGTGTGTTTGCAGCCACAGTGCGTTTGGCACTCCTGGCATAGTATAAGATAATCCTCTTCCGTTTGTTGCAGACAGGGTTTGCATCCTGCTGCATCTGTCCCCAGAACTCATTCTTGCTGGGGGGATGAAGGGATGAGAGTGGCCAGTGTGGGTTTCTGGCCAGCAGCACTGGCTCTATGCTTGTGGGATGCTTCCCTTTTTTGCCCAAAGGAGCCCAGTTAACAGCTTGCCAGGGCTGGGTGCTTTATGTCAGGTTTACTTCTGGTGCATCAAACTCCAGCTGCCTTCCACAGCAGTGAAGTAGCACCAGGACTCAGAGCTGGGGTGGGTTCATCTTTGGAGTCAGGGGCCACAGGTGACTTCTGGGGGTTGAATTTCCCCTGTAGAAAACTGCAGGTCTCAGCCCACAGCCTGTGGTGGGGTCAGTGCACATCAGAGTTGTAACTGGGCTGGTTTAGAAGAGCTACAGAAAGGAAGAAAAGCCTGGCTGAGACCTTTCCAGCCCTGGCTGTATGGTTTAATTATGCCTGAATTAAAGCCACCTGACACTGGGGAGGAAGGCAGTGATGCATCTCAGCGTGGTGGTCCTGGGTCCAGCAGCCCTGTACGAATTTGGCAGAGGAGAGCTGCTGTCCCCAAAGGTTACCTTCCCCAAACACATGGCATGGCAGAAGGGCTGTGGGTTGGAGGTTCTCTCACTGTTCTGGGCACCCTGGCTGCAGGGCAGTGCCATGTTCCAGCTTCCTGTCTGCACTGTCCTGGCTGTTCTACAGGGAAATGGGAAAAGGGCAATGTCTCCTGCAGGGAAGGGACCACCATCATGCTGGACTGGAGCAAGTGAGAAGTGTGCCATGAGCAGGGCAGGGCAAGGAGGTACTCCTGGATGGAAAGTCTGCTTTCACATCTGTTTTGTACCCTCCCTCAGTACAAAATGTCACACCTTTGGAGGGACATTGCCCACTCATCATCGCAGGCAGCAGCATTGCATCCTTTGCCACACACCATCCATGCCCATCCCTCCTCCCTGCCTGTGTGCCCAAGGGCAATGAGAGGTGAGCCCAGGGGCCAAGGACAGGCTCTGTCACCCCGGACAGACTCCCGAGCCCTGCAGAGGTCAGGAACTTCTGGGAGCCCTCATGCAGGGCAGCAACCACTCCTTCCACTGCAGTGCACTCCATTTTCCTGCTCTCCCAGCTGCCTCCTTCTACTCCAGCTCATTAACTTCGCATCCCTCCCTCCACCTCCACCCCTTCTCCCTGCACTTTGGCTGGGTTTCAGGGGGTGCTCTGCACCCCAGACAGATGCCAGCATCATTGTGGGGGTGACAGTCACTGATCCCATCCATCCAAACTCAGCAGACCATGCTGGGAGCAACTGTCCTGCAGGGGTCAAAAAGGCCACCAGCTTGTAGCTGTGATCTGCTGGCTGCGCTCTGGTGAGTGTCACCACCTGGGTGCCTGGAGCAGCCCATGCCCAGAGCAGAAGACACCTTAGTTTGATTCCTCTCAGCATCCAGCTGGAAACCCTCTTGCCTTCTACTTCATGTTATACCAGGAAACAGGCCTTGCTCCATCTTTTCCTTCTCTGGGGTGATGGAGTCCCCAGGCTTCAGAGAAAACAACTCCCCAAAACTTCAGCAGTTTCCCAGGTCAGCAAAGGAGCCACACCAGGAGCTTGCTGCAAACACCAAAATACCAAATCTAGAAGCATAGAAGAAGGGATTTTTTTACAAACCCAAAATCTGAAGCCTGTTGGTACAGCGTGTATTTGGAAGGGTTAAAGTCACATCTTCCAGTCTTTAATTACTTAACTATTCAGTGCTTTCCTTAATGATAAACAGATGGATGTATTCTAGTTTCTTCCTGTTCTAGCTCCATTGATGACATTGCACTGGCTGCTGGGCTGGATTTGGCCCTGACTGTTTATCAAGAAGTCTGTTCTGCATTTCAGTGTCCCCATCCACCCACTTCCATCCCCAGGAGCATGTAGCACCAGCAGCACTGTAAGATGGGGGCTGCAGCACTGGGATGGCTGGGGCTCAGTGTGTGGCTTGAGCAGAGCTCAGTACCCTCAGGTGTGATAAATATACTATAGAATGCCTGCAGTATTAAAATCATCCCTTGAAGGGTAAGGAGAGTGCTAGAGGGCACCAGCCATGCCAGCTCCAGGTCGTTGCTCACAGTTTCACATCTTGGTGTATTTTGCCCAGCATGTCCATAATGGGGAGTAGAGAACTGGAAACAGAGATTCCATGGCAGATGGGGTCTCTGCATTTCAGAACTGCCTCTCAGAAGCTAAAACAACTTCTTGCTGCCAGGCAGTCCCAAAATGAGCAGGGAAAGTCACTCCAAAGCCCTTGAGGAGTTGAAGGTTTCATAGTCTGGATCCTTGGAGCCTGATTTGGTGCCTCATTGCCCAGCAGTGAGGTCCAATCACCTCTTCAGTTGCTCAAAATTCAGGTGTGAGGAAGACAAGTGCTTTCCAGGCCTGATCTCAGCCAGTGAGTCCCTCACACTTTGGTACCAAGTGCTGGCTTGGGCACATCCCTGTGCCAGTTCCTGCAGGCAGCATGGCTGTGGTGTCCCCCCAGCTGTTGCTGCGGTTGTCAGGCTGCAAACCCCTTCACTCTGCCCAAGCTCAGCAGGTTGGTGGCCGCGGCCCTCTGGCAAAAGGCTGACCAGAAATAGGGCATTTATTCATTCAGTGTACAAGGCCAGCACCATGGGCACTGCACACAGGGGGGCTGAGACCAGGGGATAGCTGGAAGCAAGTCAGTAGGTCTCAGTGCTGTGGCAGGACACGTGGAGGTGAAGGGAGGGAGCTCTTGACCTATTTTCCCTGGGCCCCCTGCCATGTGCAGGCAGGAAGAGCTCTCCTGTGCCAGCACTGTCAGTGCCTGTGCCAGCGGGGAGGTGCCCACTGCACGCACTGCCCTGGCACAGGGCTGCTCCCCTTTCCCTATGCTGAGGCAGGTGTGGGGCATCACCAGGTGCCCTCCACACCTAGGGCTGGCTGAGACAACCAAGGGCTGGCTGCCCAATCTTCAGACCCTCTCCATTATCTCAATAAATGGTTGCTCCACCAGCAGGTCCCAGTGCTCATCCTCATCCCATCCTAAGCACAGGATATGGGCAGGATCTTGCTCCAAAAGGGCCAATGAGTGGTGTTACCCATCCTGCAGGTTATTTCCTCTTGCAGCCTGGTTAGGTATCTGGGTTGTATTTGAGGAACCTGATCTTTGTCTCATAAATCTGGCCTTCCTTTTTATTTAAAAAACAAGCAAAACCACAAAAAACAGCCAACCACCCTCCCCAACCCAAAAAACCCACCTCAAATCCTTACTCTCCAGCAAATTGCAAGAGGTGTTCCGTGTGTGCTGTTGCGTTGTTGGCTGGCAGAGCCTGCAGACAGCTTGCAGTAGCTCTGGAAGGTGTGTGCTCTTCTGTTTATCAAATGAGTGTTAACTCTGCAGCCTTCTGTTGATGAGCTGAATGCCATCACCGGTAACTATTTCCCTCCTGCTCAAAAGAGGAGAGGGCCAGTAAAGGCGCCTCTTCCCAAGCCCTCAGGTGGGCTTTTTGCATGAGAAGGGCCTGGAAAAATACACACATACTCTTTTCCATGAGAAACCAGGTGATGCTAGGATCAGGATGTGCTGGGAACAGCTAATTAGCCCCTGACACTCCTGTCAGCTCTGCAGGTGTTACACGAGGAGAGGAGAGCAGGGTGTGGTGTGCTCTCACACCCTGGAGGTGATGGAGCCAGGCATCTTCCCACTGGAGTTGGCCCCAAACAGGATCTGGGAAGGAGCACAGGGCACTGGCAAAGGACAGGGGGAGCAGCCTGTGGCAGAGGCAGGTTCTGGCAGCTCTGGTGGGTATCATGGGGAGGTTTTTGCCATCAGTGAGTGACTGGTATTTGATTTTCTGACGCTGGAATGTTCGCTTTGTTGGCTTGTTCCCTTGGTTACGTGGTATATATTAAGTTCTTCATTTGGCTTCCTTATACAATTAGCTGGTATTCCATTACGTGAATTTTGATAACATAATCTGAGCTAAAACTTCATGGTCAGGCCTGGCTGACCACAGCATGTCTGGAAAGTGCAGGCTGCTCCCAGCAGGCACCGCATCAAGCAAGCACCTACACCGCCAGCTTTCCAGGAGCAGTGCGAAACTGCTCAGCATTGGCAGCCCAGGGACTTGGGGAGAAGGGCTATTCCAGCTCACCTGCCTGGCAGCACCAGGGGTCTGATGGGGTCTGTGTGCTGGAGTGTCTGATGGGCTCTGTGTGCTGGAGTGTCTGATGGGGTCTGTGTGCTGGAGTGTCTGATGGGCTCTGTGTGCTGGAGTGTCTGATGGGGTCTGTGTGCTGGAGTGTCTGATGGGCTCTGTGTGCTGGAGTGTCTGATGGGGTCTGTGTGCTGGAGTGTCTGATGGGCTCTGTGTGCTGGAGTGTCTGATGGGGTCTGTGTGCTGGAGTGTCTGATGGGCTCTGTGTGCTGGAGTGTCTGATGGGGTCTGTGTGCTGGAGTGTCTGATGGGCTCTGTGTGCTGGAGTGTCTGATGGGGTCTGTGTGCTGGAGTGTCTGATGGGCTCTGTGTGCTGGAGTGTCTGATGGGGTCTGTGTGCTGGAGTGTCTGATGGGCTCTGTGTGCTGGAGTGTCTGATGGGGTCTGTGTGCTGGGGTGTCTGATGGGGTCTGTGTGCCAGGTGTCAGAGTATCCTGGATGCTGCCAGCAGCAGCCGCTCCTCAGCGGGGCCTGTGTGCGCTGGCTCTCACCATGGCTCACAGATTGTCACAGTTTTCTGCAGATCCCCATCCTGGAGGGATGTGTACGCTGTTCCTCTGCGGCCGTGGGTGTGCATATGGCTGGCTGTGTGGCAACTGTGTTGAATGCCAAAGCACAGAGGACAATGTGTGTAGTAGCAAAGGGTGCCAGGAATCTGAGTTGCTGGAAAGCCGGGGAGAGGCGACGCTGCGCCCCACGCACCGGGATACCAACTGCAGAGAGGGAATGGGCTGGAGTCCGTGCTGAGGGAGGTCGTGCTGGGGATGGCTGTGCTGAGGGAGGCCGTGCTGGGGATGGCCGTGCTGAGGATGGCTGTGCTGAGGATGGCCGTGCTGAGGATGGCCGTGCTGAGGGAGGCCGTCCTGAGGGAGGCCGTCCTGAGGGAGGCTGTGCTGAGGGAGGCTGTGCTGAGGATGGCTGTGCTGAGGATGGCTGTACTGAGGATGGCCGTGCTGAGGATGGCTGTGCTGAGGGAGGCCGTGCTGAGGATGGCCGTGCTGAGGATGGCCGTGCTGAGGGAGGCCGTGCTGAGGGAGGCCGTGCTGAGGGAGGCCGTGCTGAGGGAGGCCGTGCTGAGGATGGCTGTGCTGAGGATGGCTGTGCTGAGGATGGCTGTGCTGAGGATGGCTGTGCTGAGGGAGGCTGTGCTGAGGGAGGCCGTGCTGAGGACGGCTGTGCTGAGGGAGGCCGTGCTGAGGGAGGCTGTGCTGCTCTGAGGGTTGCATTGGCCAGCAAGCCAGCTGCACTTAGCATTAGTCAATATGGGAAGATGAGATGAGCAAAAGGTGGCTCATGCTGGAGGGGGAAGCTGTGGCAAGGGAAGCAGTGCCCCTCTGCCCACAGGAGCACAGCACAGGGTGGCACTGTGGCCGAAGGTGGCACTGACCGTGTGTCCCGGACCCTCTGAGGCTGTCAGGGATCCTGCTGTGGGTTCATCCCACAAGTTGTGGTACTTTCCTGCTGCAAGATCCTCCTGTAAGAGGTGGCCAAAGCCCTCCCCAATGTGCTGGGAGGATCTGAGCATCCTACTATTGGAGTATCTGGATGTCCCAACCTTGAACTGTCCCCTGAAATCTTCCTGTGGTGCTGAGGCACCAGGCACAGGGTGCATCTAAGGAGGGACAACACACTCAGCCTGCATTCCCTGGAGCCTCATTCTCTTCTCTTTGCCCAACCTCATCCTTGAAGCACAGTACAGGGTGTGGGATTGCTTTGGCCTCCCAGGGCAGGGGATGACCGTGTGTGTGTCACAGGTGCCACAGCCCTATCCCAAATCCTGTCCTGCAGAACTGCTTTTCTGCCTGGGCCCCTGATTGTTGCTGCTTAGAAAAACTCCTGTTTCTTCTTTCTACCTATCAATAGAGCCTCGCGTTGCCTCACTGGGTTTTCTTCTGTGGTGTCAGATGATGGCTTTAGCATAAAAAATGGTTGCTGTCCCCTCCAGGGAATGACCCAGCTCTCTGGGAGTGTGGAGGGTGGCAGGGCTGTGCCTCTGCAGGGGCAGATAGCAAGGAGCTAGGAAAGCAGGACACAGTCACGTGTTGGTGCTTCATGAGAACTGTGTCCAAACAAAGGCATGCCAGCTCCAGTTTGGGATACAAGAGCATATACAGGAAGTGGCTCCATATGATCTATGACCCATCACTTAATGGTGGATGTAAAATCCAGATGGGGAACCCTGAACATTGTCCGTAGGCCACAGGCAGAGGCAGGACTGCAAAGTGAGAGAGGTGTTCGTGGCAGGGTTCTAATGTCTCTGCCTTGTCATTCAGAACTACCCATGTCCCATCCCTTGTTTCTGAGAATGACTCAAATTATGAGGTTGAGTTCAGTCCCCTCCAAAATAAATGTGAGTCAACAGTGTGCCCTTAGTAGCCAAAAAGGCTACTTTGGCTACTACCCCAACCTTGGCCTGGGATGCAGCAGGGACAACATCACCTGACAGAAAAGGGAGGGATTGTCCGGCTCTGCTCCCACTGGGGCAGCCTCACCTCAAGTCCTAGGGCCACAATAAAAGGATATAAAGCTATTAGAGAGCATCCAAAGGAGGCTACAAAGGTAGTGAAAGATCTAGAGGAGACCATATGAGAAAGGGTGAGGTGACTTGGCTTATTAAGTCTGGAGAGGAGGAGATTGAAGACAGACCTCACCACAGTCCGCAGCTTCCTCGTGAGGGGAATCAAAGGAGCGGTCACTGATCTCTTCTCTCAGGTGCTCAGTGACAGGATCTGAGGGAAGGGCATAAAGCTGTGCCAGGGGAGGTTTTGGTTGGACATTAGGACAAGGATTTTCACGCAGAGGGTGGTGGGGCACTGAACAGGCTCCCCAGGGATTGGTCATGGCCCCAAGGTTGCCAGAGCTCAAGGGGCATTTGGACAACACCCTGAGGCACATGGTGGGATTGCTGGGGGGTCTGTGCAGGGCCAGGAGTTGGATTCCATGACCCTTTGGGTTCCCTTCCAACTCAGTTTTCTTTGAAACTGTTGCTGTTAAGTGTTGGATGTTTCAGTAGCCAATTGCATTGCAAATCTTGCGAAATTTTAGACCTTGGCAGCTGTTCCTGGCCTGATCCTGATGATCTGGAGTGAAACTGCTGCATTTTCCCTGTGCATTGTTGATTATGAGGAAAATGGATTTTTTTTTTTTTGAGTCTACATTTACCATTTTACAGCCTACAATTGCATCCCTTTTTGTTTCTATTCATTATGTTTCCAAGAACTCTACTTTGATACATTGGGTATGAGAGACTTTTAGCGTGGGGATCAGTGTGGTGTACAGCACTGAGACAAGCTGCACCATTTTTGTACATAAGAGCACCACAATGTTTTCACCTCTTACTGTGCCCCACTCTCTCACACCTTGTTTCCTTTGCACCCAACTAACTTCATATAATAAATTATTCTGAATTTCCTGTTAATACAGTCATGCTATGAAAAGATTTAAAAAATATAAGCTGCTAAAGGTGTTTATTATGTTATTATGTACAGACATTTTTTTCCCTTTAAATGGACCGACCCCCTCTCTTCCCTTCCTCGAGCAGTGAATTCCTGAGGTTAATTATATGCTGCGTAACAAAGGTGTTATTTCTTTTTGTGCCTTCGGTTGTGTTCCTTTTCATGGCTGGAGAAATGAGCTGGGAGAATAAAGGCTTTGCACAGAAGTGCATTAAAGTCAGTGGGCTTTGGCTCATTCCCAGAGAGAAAAGCAGCACATGGTTTAATTCCTGGGCAAGGCCAAGCAGTTGCATTTAAGGTTTTTTTTCAGCCGTGATGGTGCAGCTTTTAGGTTGGATTCTTCATGTTCAGCTATCAGAGAGGAAAAACAAATTCCCCCAGGACCAGCAGAGAGTCGTAACATGCTGTCTCCCTCTCTCCAGATGAATGGCAGTGATGGGATGTTCAAATATGAAGAGATCGTCTTGGAAAGGGTAAGTACTCCTTACTCACCCACCAGCAGCCTCCTCCCACTCTCCCACCCCCCGGCACTGCTGGCCCCCCACGCATCCCTGCACAGCTGATGGGGGGAGGTTGGTCTCTGCTCCTCGCTCTCTCTGGAGGCTTTCACAGGTGTTGCACCTGCTTTGCCGGCCTGGCTCCCACCAGGGTGGGCTTGCTGGTCTCCTCTCCCCCTGCACACCCCTCCAGAAGGGAGGGAGGAGGGCTTCTCCCTTGCCTCCCTCATTCACACCCTCACCCCCACAAACCCATCAGTGCAGAGTATGGGGGCAGGCTCTTTGTCATTGCCTTTGTCAGAAAACAGAGGTGTGGGGGGCTCAGCTTGTGCAGACACAGGTGGGTGCACCCACAACTGGGCACAGGGACCAAAGCCACCCTGCCACCAGGCTCCCTGTCACTCTAGGGCACAAAGCCTTGGGATGCTAGGCTGCAAGAGCAGGCTATTCAGTAAAACAAACCACAATGGAGGAAGTTCCTGCTCAAGCCTTTTCTTTGTTGGCAACACAGAGGTGATGGCATGCACCACACCAGCCATGGCTAGAATTAGCTCCCCCCATCTATGGGGTTTATCCAGGGGCAAGCCAGTACCGCAGAGGGCACAAAGGGCTTGTTGCCCAGGAAGCAGCAGTGGAGGAGGGATGGAGAGGGAGCAGGAAAAGTTGGCCCAGGGTTTACTCCATGAGGCAGGCACAGCCCTGCTGGCTGGGAATGGCTGTGGTGGGAGGCTGCCCACGGCTCTCCACAGCACACCTTGCCTCCCCCTCACTGCCGTGCCAGGCGGCTCAGCCTCGCCGCGTGGCCGGCATTGCAGGGGAAGACGCATCGCTCATTATTCTGTTCCTCTCTGCCTTTAGTCATCTCCCTCCTTTCCTTGGCTCTGCATCACAGAGGTGGGTGGACGGAAGGTTATCTGGGGCTGTCGCCTCACCCACCGCTTCCCCAGCGTGCCTGACAAAACCAGCCCAGGGGTTCCTTCCTTTCTGGGCTAAGTGCTTCTTGCTCCAGGCCCAAGTCACAGGAAAAAGCCTTGTTTCAGGGATTCAGGGCGTCCCTTGTCCTCAGCCCATAGTGGGAACAGGGAAAGAGCTGGCAGGACTACACAGAGAGGCAACTCATTGATGTCTCAATTTCAAAGCCCCAACCAGCAATTCATTCTCTGACAGCAAGAAACCATGAGGGAATCTCAGGGCTTAGCAGCCTGGGCTAGCATGGAACATACCAGGTCCTTCCCCTTCACCTGGTCCCTGGTGGGATCCAGCAATCCTGTCTTAATGCAGGAGAAGAACCCTGGTTCCTGCAGGTGAGGCTGTCCCCTTGCTCAGGTGTTTGGCTTCCAGAACTTACCTCAGTGTATCTCAAAATCACTGCTCAGTCACTGTTATTAATCTTTGTCTTTGTTGTAAAGACAAGCGTAAATGCAGCAGCATTTTGGGGGCAATAATAGCAGAAACACAGTCTGGAGAGGGTCATGGCTTTGTGTTTATCCACCATATACGTGTCCACAGCAGGAGCTGCCCTGTCATCAACCCTGATGTCTAAAAAAAAGCATAAGAAATCCCTTGAAGTTTATCAAAATAAAAATTAACACCTCCCAGATACTTTCCAGATTTTGTAGCTAACCAAGGACCTCCCACAGACAGGCACAACAAATGCCCAGAGATCATCTTACAATCTCATCTGCCTTGCTGAAGCCAGGCTTGGTCTCTGTGACAGTAAGGAGCTTTTTTGAGCTAGGCACAAGGAAATCAGAGCTCAGCACAGAGGAAAGAGAGCAGCCTCAGACCCTTTACCATTGAATGCCTCCATGTCACATGCCAGCCAAATCCCAGCTGGACAGGGAACATCCGGGAGCGCTGCACAGTGGCAGGCATTGGTGGCTTCTGCTGCTATGTTAGCATTATCATGAAGCCAGCTCTGCATCGCTGCAGGAGCTGATACTGGGGCAAAATTGCTGGTGAAAAGTGCAAGCCCCAGCTGTTGGTGCTAAATTATCATGGGGAGATGGAGTTCCAGTGTGGCCCTCTCAGCCACAGGTCCTCTGGGAGAGCAGAGAACCCCCTCATCTCCCACTGAGCACTGGGGCCAAGGGCAGCCAGGAGAGCTTGGCCTGAGCCCATTCGTGTGCAAGAGAGGCAGGCACAATAGTATGTGACTAAGTGTCAGCTCTTCCACATGAGGAAACAAGGCAAGAAGCCATCTGATTTTCAAGGCAGAGCAAAAACGGCAGGAATTGTCCACTTGCATCAAGCATGGATCTGGAAGCAGTGCCTGTGAGTGTGTCACTAATGAGGATCCTGCAAGTGGGAGATGCAGCACAGGGCCACAGCCACTCAATCCTGAGATGCTGGGGGAATGGCCTGGAGATGAGCTGTGGTTCCTGCATTCCCCCCAGGCATAATTCAGCAGGAGAAGCTCAAGTGATGCTCCAAGCATGTCTGTGAGGAAAACGTGACAGAACTGGAAAGCCCACTCCATCCTGATAGCCACCTCCACCCAAACCTGTAAATTTTGGCATCAGCGTTGCTGGTTCCCAGCTTGGCTCTGTGCCAGGGCTACATCTCAGAGTGCAGAGGGGCAGGAGTGGGATGCTGGTGACTGGCACAATCCCCGCTGGTCTGTGCAGGCTGCGGCATTGGTGTCTCCTCCTGGGGAGCAACCAGCAAGGGGAGGTTTTCTCCGCCAAGGACCACCTCCTCTTCCCCCAGCTCCCCGCCTGCCTTAGTCTCTCCGTGGAGACGCGGTGGTGAGGGAGGTCCTCGGCGGCTCCCACTCTCCCACTCCATCTGTTCAGTGCTCCACGCTGCTGCGCCGAGCGCTCAGCGGAGGAACACCAGCCTCTCCTCTGGCCAGCATCCCTCTGCCCCCTGAGCCGGGCACCCCGGGGTGTGATAGATGCTGTAAGGGCTCCTGCGCCCCAGGCAGTCCCACGGCTGGGGGGAACCATTTAAGGAGGGCTGGCAGCAAGCAGCTGCCTATGGGGGAAAGATGCAGCATTTGATTTCCCACAGGGTAACTCCGGCCTTGGCTTCAGCATAGCAGGCGGCATCGACAACCCCCACGTTCCAGATGACCCGGGTATCTTCATCACCAAGATCATCCCCGGGGGAGCAGCAGCCATGGATGGCCGTTTAGGGTGAGTACAGGGCTGGGGGAACAGCCGGGCTGTCACCCAGGATCTCTGCATGGACCCTCTAGGCCATAACCCCCTTTTCCTGACATGGTCCCTGGCCTCCGTATGTCTCTTTCCCACAGCCAGATCCCCTCAGGACAGACATGTCCACCATCTCTGGTGACCAGCCTCCTGTCTGTAGCCACCCATCCTCCCCTTCCTGTATCAGGCTCCTGCTCCCGTCCATCCCGCTACAGCCCAGGGCAGGGATCCAGCCTTCCTTCTCATCTCCCATCTCCATCAGAGTTGCACTATAGGGACCAGTTCCCCTCTCCCCTGCTCCCCCTACTTTGGGAGGAAACCCTTTCTCACTCCAGCAGGGCATGATCTGGCCAGCTTGAGCAAATCTCATTTGTGTGGCTGGAGGAGGGTGGCAGGGATGCTCAGGGCCATCCTGTGCCCACAGGGTGAACGACTGTGTGCTGCGGGTGAACGACGTGGACGTCTCTGAGGTTGTGCACAGCAAAGCTGTGGAGGCCCTGAAGGAAGCAGGCCCCGTGGTGCGGCTTGTGGTGCGCCGCCGGCAGCCCCCGCCAGAGACCATCATGGAGGTTAACCTGATGAAGGGCCCCAAAGGTGAACCCCTCACTCTGCTCGCTTGGCCAGGGTGCCCCCCTGCCCCACAGGACTGTGTGGGGTGACCCCTTGGTGTGAGATGTCACGAGATGCGGGGCAGCCTCATGGGGGATGAGGAATGCAAGGTGGCACTGCCACAGCACAGGATGCTGCAGGGTGGCCCAGCAGTGTGGGATGCTGTGGGGCACAGGGTATGGGACAGACCCACAGTGCTGTGCATGGTGGCCAGGCTTGCCCCAGGCAGCAGTGGGGTGTCCCGTTGCCTGCTGAGTTTGGGCAGGGTGTGAAGCTCAGTGAGGTACAGGGGCTGTGGTGCCAGCCCAGGACTCTGTCTATCTGTCTGTCCCTCACCTGCATTCTCACCCTCCTCAGGCCTGGGGTTCAGCATTGCAGGGGGCATCGGGAACCAGCACATCCCTGGGGACAACAGCATCTACATCACCAAGATCATCGAGGGAGGTGCTGCCCAAAAGGACGGGCGCCTGCAGATCGGGGACCGGCTGCTTGCGGTAAGCCCCATGGCCACAGCCAGCTGTGAGGTGAAGCTGAACCGGTTCCACTGTGATGCAGTGTTGATCCTGAACCCCAGCACCATCCTATCAGCAGCTTCACTCCTCTTCCCTGGAGCTCCTGCTGGGATTTTGCTGTGGCAGGGCAGGCACAGTAATGGCTGCAGGCAGGAGGCCAAACCCAAGGCAATGGGACCATGCCTCTGAAGCTACTGTGGCACCTCCCTGATGGAAAAACACTCCTGCAGGGCTGCACTGGTCCCTGCCCTCCTGCTCAGCCGTGTCACCCAGCCCTTTCCCTCTGGCAGGTGAATAACACAAACCTGCAGGACGTGCGGCACGAGGAGGCAGTGGCCGCCCTGAAGAACACCTCTGACATGGTGTACCTGAAAGTGGCCAAGCCCGGCAACATCCACCTCAACGACATGTACGCGCCCCCCGACTACGCCAGCAGTACGTATGCCGCTGGCCAATGGCTGGGCACGCGGGGCTGTGGGGCACCCGGGCGTGTTGGGGTGGAGAGCAGGGCTGGGCCCGTCTCCATGTCCTCATTGTGTATGGATTTCTGCTCCTGATGACCTTCTCCTCCCCTGCAGCCTTCTCAGCCTTGGCTGACAACCACATAAGCCATAACTCCAGTCTGGGCTACCTGGGCAGCGTTGAGAACAAGCCTGCCTATCCCATCCCTCCCCAGGTGACTCCGTCCCGGTACTCACCCATCCCTCGGCACATGATCGGAGATGATGACTTCACCAGGTGAGCGCCAGGCATGAGCATCCTTATCATGATCCTTCTCATTCCCTCACTTTTCCCTCTGTGGTGGCTTGACGTCATCCCCACTGCCAGTTCAGAGCCTCGAAAGGCCATTTGTAGATGCATGGTGCAATGCTTGAAGTCCCCATAATGAGCTCTGTGCTCACCCCTCTGAGACCAACCCTGCTGTGTCAGTTTCTGGCTTGCTGCATTCACTCCCTCTCCATTCCCTCTCCTGCCCTTTCACAAGCCTTACACAACTGCATTTCAGCTTCGTTCTCTTGCTGATTTTACAATACCTGGAATACAAGGTGTTCCCTGCCCTTATGGTGCCATCCAGCAGTGCGACAGGCTCCCGGGATGGAGGTGTGGCAGGGGTGAAGGGCCAGGGGGAACACAGCCTTGCAAACAAGTGGGGCCCCTCCCACACTCCCTGAGACTGGCAGCCCAGACCACCTGCACCCATGTGCAATTTCAATGACTGCCAGCCCCTGGCCTGAGAGCCTCCTGTCCAGCCCTGGCACAGCCCCCTTTGCCCCAGTAGAATCCTTTATGCTGCATGAACAGGTTTGTTTCCTGAAGCCAGGAAATAAAGAGGAGCACAAAGAAAACATTGCTCTGAGCCTAAATGTGGTATAAAACTTCTCCAAAGCTTCAAGATGAGGGTGGAAGAGCAAGACCTGTAAAATTCTGCTCTACTAGCTGATTCTAACAACTTACCCTCTTCTTGTCACAGCCTTGGGGCCAGTGCTCTGAATGTGCTATCCCCAGGGCCAGGACTGTAGGGCTTAGGCTGATTTCTAAAGACCAACACTCAACTTAGGCTTAGGACTGGCTCTGCTGTTTGGAACAAGATTGCAGGTTCCTTTTGAGAGTGGCTACAGTGGAAGATGCAGTAGCTTTGTCCAGGATTCTCCCATTCTGGAGGTCAGTGGTGGATGCTGGAGTGGGAGACCCTAACTTGCCATCTGCAAGTCTTGTCAGGCCTGACATCCTCCTGGAGAGTGTCTGCACTCATCTTTGTCACAGGGTTTTCCCATTTCTTGGTGCTCAGCCACAGCCGGGTGTCTCTGCATGCCATTACTTGTGCAGTACTACCTTCCACACGCACCCCAACCCTCCCACTGGACTCAGGACCATTGATGCCAGCTCTAGAGCCTGTTTCTGGCACTGCATCCTCACCAGGTGTAGCAACTTCTGTGCTGTTGGGGCACTGGGGGGTGATGCCACAGGCAGGAGCAGTGCTGTCTGCCATTACAGTGCCCCACAGAAGGGACTGAGTCCCAGTATTTGGAAAACACACCAGACACCCTGGTCCTACCAGGGTGTCCCTTCTCACAAGTGCCAACATTCCCATTTGTGGACTAGAGAGCAAAAAGAGCAACCCAGCTTAGGCTGGCCACAGCCAGTGGCAATGGCACAATGAGGGCTCAGCGGTGGCTTGGCAGCAGCACAGTGATGGCTCTGCAGTGGCTCAGCAGTGGCTTGGCAGTGGTATGGTCAGGGTTTCCAGTGGCTCAGCAGTGGCTTGACAGTGGCAGTGGCAAGGGGATGGCTTGGCAGTGGCCCAGTAGTGGCTTGGCAGTGGCAGTGGCTCAGCAATGGCTCAGCAGTGGCCCTGGTGCAGCACGTGCTGGTGGCCACTAGAGGATGGTGCTGCCTTGTGGAGGACCCCACTACAGAAACTGGGCACCACTGGGTCCCTGTGCCCAGACACAGCCCCTTGCTACCCAAAAGATCCAAAGCCTGCAGTGGGCTCAGCACTTCCCTCATACTGCCCAGGACAGTGCTGAAAGCCTCGTATGCATTGCTGACCCCCCAGAACAGTGTCATCGGTGCAGGTCTGTTGGCACCAAGATGGTGCACTAGGACCAGTGTGGTCCAAATGCAACTTACTGGTGTGGGGAAGGGCAGCAGCTTGCCCTGAAATAGAAACTGTCTCCCATAAGGCTCTTGCCAGCCATTCCTTAGGGAAAGCAGAGGTCCAGTATCCAGCCTCTCCCCCTCCCATGGGCACAAGTGCTGCTTAGATGGGGATGTGGTTCCAGTGACCCTCACGTCCTGCAGCACCTAGGGCTGGGAACCAAAGAATCTGCTTTCCAATGAGCTCCACCACTGCAACCAAGACCCAGCACAGCCCCACAGGATCCCCTCAGCTGTTCTGTGCCAAGGTCCCGGTGTTAACACTGCAAAATTCAGCATGGGATCTGCCTGGAGGATCTGTGTCATGCCTCCTGTGACGAGGATGGAAGCCAAGAGTCATGACTGAGACCTGTGATCTACCTGTCCAGGGCTTCATTACTTCTCCTCATTTTTGTAGGGTCTTTTTACCTTCCACCAAACTGTCTGGTCCTCACAGGTGCTGAGGATGCTTCCCCTACACTGAGTTGAGGTTGTGCTTCCTGCATGCTGCTTGGGCAGCAGCGAAACCGAAGGGGCAGAGCAAGTTCATCTCCTGGTTGGAGGCAGAGTTTGCAGACCCAGAAACCTGACCTATTTCTTCCCCTGAGAGAACTCTAGCCCTAGGCACAGCTTTGCTGCAGAGGGACTGAGGGCTGCAGCCCTCCCTGCCCCTCACAATTACCCCTAAGCCAAGCACTGGTAACATCTTGAGGACTTGGGGTTGAGCATCTCTTGACTGAGCATTTCCATGGTTTTCCTGATCTCCTGGTTCTGGTGTGTTCCAGCCCCCCCACCCCACCCCAGTGCCCCAGGGTCCTCTTAGCACAAGTCTGCCAGCATTTTAGGGTGCCCTCGCTCAGTGCCATGCCTGGGCTCCAGCATCTCTCCAAACACAGCCCAGAGATTTCCCTCTGACACCTGGCAGGTGAGTGGTTGATCAGGCTGCTGAGCTCAATGTCAGGCCTTTGGTCCTTGTGGTACCTGAGGAAGTGCCCAGGATCCAGCCATAGCAGATGCATTGATGGTCTCCAGTATCAGGTTGGCTGACAGTCACCACCAGCCTGTGCCAATTGTCTGGCATCATTTATTCCTTTTCAATCCAGAGCTTGATCCAGGAGCTGCTGTTGTTCCATCACATTGTTTCTTTCTCCCAGACAATTGACGCAGGAGTTTTGCAATGCCAGGCCATCTTCCTGCTTATGCCTGCCTATTGTTTGAGCTGTGATAGAATTAAGTCATCAAAAAATTTAGGACTTCTGTTGAGCTGTGCAGGGTCTGTGGCATTGGAGGGGTGCATGGGGTTGTAGGCACACTTGCCATGCTGTGGAGGGGCTTGATCCCACTCTCCTGGCTCATGGCATCAGATGCCACCATGCAGTTCAGTGTTCCTATGTATCGTTTCACAGTGGATGCTCTGTCTCTGTCCATGCTGTGTCTCATGTCACACCGCCTGCCATCTCTTCTGGTTTATCAGTCTCCACAGTGCTGAGGGCTGAGTCACACCAGGCTGCACTCGGATGACTCCAGTCCCACCAATGTGCCACAAACGCCGAGCACAGAAAAGCCTGTCACCAGCTTTGCTGCTCCTCACCCTGATGTCTCCCTGTCCCTTATATGTCCTACCAGGGAGCCCCGGAAAATCATCCTGCACAAAGGCTCTACCGGCCTGGGCTTCAACATTGTTGGAGGGGAAGATGGCGAGGGGATCTTTGTGTCCTTCATCCTGGCTGGAGGCCCTGCTGACCTCAGTGGGGAGCTGCGGAGGGGAGACCGTATCCTTTCGGTGAGTTGGTGGGGCACTCGCTGCCCCTTCATGGCCTCCCATAGCTCTGGGTGGGCACGTGTCCCCTGTCACCCAAAGCACAGATCTGTGGGATTCATCCCGGGTGCCGGTGTGTTGACACGGCCGCGGGGTGCCTGCGGTGGGGCTCTGGTGCCTGGGCTGGCCGGGGGCTGGTACTGGATGTGCCGGTACTGGAAGTGCCAGTACCAGGCGTGGTACTGGGGTTGCAGTGGCAGTGACGAGGCTCTGAGAGTGTGGGTACCGTGAGTACCGTGGGTAGCGGTACAGAGGCGGAGCAGCGGGGCCGAGGCGCGGGGCAGACCCCCTCAATCGGTCCCCGCATGGGTCTGGTTCAGCGGAGTCGTTCTGTCCTGGCAGGTGAACGGTGTGAACCTTCGCAACGCCACCCACGAGCAGGCGGCGGCGGCGCTGAAGCGGGCGGGGCAGACGGTGACCATCATCGCGCAGTACCGGCCCGAAGGTACCGCCACGAGCGACCGGGACCGGGACCGGGACCGGGACCGGGACCGGGACCGGGACCGGGACCGGGACCGGGACCGGGACCGGGACCGGGACCGGGACCGGGACCGGGACCGGGACCGGGACCGGGGAGGGCGGGGCACGCCCATGGGAGGAGTGGTTATGCAGATACGGAGTGATAATATTCAGATGAAGTGGGTGTGGATATGCAGATGAGGGGCGGGGCGGTAGCTGGCGCGCGGGGAAAGAGGCCGGGGCGAGGGGCTGCGGTCGAGGCACCGCCGGGGGCGTGGCCCGGGGGCGGGGCGGGCGCCGATTGGCCGACGCGGGGAGGGGGCGGGGCCGCGGCGTCCCGCCGGCCGTGCCTGCGCGGCTTTGTGTGCGGGCCGGGCGGGTGCGGGGCCGCGGCCGCCCCGCCTGCAGGTGAGCGCCCACCGCCGCACGGGCAGCCCGGCCGCGACCCCACCGGCATCGGGGCCGCGGCGGGGCTCGACGGGACGGGGTCATCTTCGGGTGAGGGGGAAGAGCTCTGCTTGCCGGAGGGCGTCGCCGCGAGGCCCGGCTGCGTGGGGTCCCACGGGCCTTGCTGGAGAGACCCCGCGGTTGGGAGAGTTCAGGGGTCCTGCAGGGCGACCACGGTGCGGGCGGGGCTGGAACCGGGGCGTCGCTGCGGAGTTTGGGCTCGTCCCCACCTGTGAGCATCCCACCTGCGGCACCACCCCGAGCCTTTCTTTATCGCTGGGTTCCGATTCCCTCGGCAGCGGTGGGGGCTGGTGGTCCCGCCAGGGGTAGCGGGAAGGGAGCGGGCAGCTGCCCGCAGAAAGCTTCCCTGGGCGGTAGCGCTGGAGCGTGGCCCGTGGGCTGGGAGGGCGAGCGCTGGGAGGGTGCACCGCCAGCCAGCGAGGGGCCGCGGCTGATCCCGGGGCCGTGCCCAGAGCGGCACCGTGCACGTGCTGGGATGCAGCCGTTCCAGTCCACTGGAAAAGCTGTCCCTCCTGGGCCCACTGGCTTTCTCCACCAGCTGTTCTTGTCCTCTCCAAGGAGGCCGATGTCCCACCCTAAGCATGTCCTTCGTCTTGTTCCTCTGTGGCGTTGCTGGGCAATATCCTGTTGGTCCCGGTCTCCACTATTCCTCCATCCTGTGGCAGAGGCTATCGGGGCGCCGAGTCATTGGTGCTGCTCAGGGCTGTGCTGTGGGTGTGGGGTTTGTTTGTTTTGGCTTTTTTTTTTCTTTCTTTCCAGGAAGCACTTAATGTTCTTGTATTTCTGGCTCCCTTTGCCACTTGAGATTTGGCAAAGACACCAACTAAGAGTGGCTCTTAAATGTCAAACTGGACAAGATGTTTTGAAACCTCCTTAGACCAAGGCAGAAATGTCAATGTGTTGTAGCTGGTGATTTACCATGTCTGTGATGGTTCCTGGCACGTGTGGGCAGCAGCACCCAGCACAGGAGCTGCAGCCATCCCGGGAGGCAGCGTTGTGGCTGTGGAGTACAGGCTGTTGTATCCTGGAAATTGCCCTCAGTGCTACAGAGGCTTGAAGGGCTGGGAGTCAAGGGGAAAGATCTCTCTGGTGTGAGCCCCCAGCGTGGGTGAGGCTGGACCCACTCAATGGGCCATGTACTCTCAAGTGTTTGTCTTTTCTATGTTTGTCGTGTGGAAGGAGCAGGAGAGCTGGATTGTAGGATGGCTGAAGGAGGAGATGCTGGTGGAAAGGGGATTTGAGAAGTTCTTCCTGCTAGCAGAGGCAGTGGATGGCACCTGTCTCTCGTACCTGAGCGTGGGCAGGGCTTGCCTTGGGGTGCTGGATGAGCACAGCTTGCTCTGTGTCTGACCTTGCTGGGGCTCCATGGGGGCAGAGAGGCTGCTTGTGGAGGTCTCAGGGGATGAGGGGCCCTCCCTGTTTTGTCCTACCAGATGCTAGGAGGTAAAAGAAGCAAAAACCAGACCAAGGAAGGTTAGAAAGAGGAGCTGCTGTCCTGCCTTTCTTCTTAGCACCAGCACCTTTGACCACTGCTGCCTGCTGCCAAGGAGGGGGGGAGTGATGGTTCCTTGGAATTTTTTTGAGATCCATTCCCTCTGAGCACTTCTTCCCCTGACCTTTGCCTGCTGTTGTCACCAGTGCCTGGATTTGGCAATTCCACCTCCTCACACCTCATGCAACAAAGCTTTGACATTCCCCACCTGAAAATACAAAAAGTCACATTATGGCCTTTCTCTGAGCCGGTCTGTTCAAAGGGAAGTTCCAGGGCTGTGGAAAGAGTCATAAAAGCTTCTGAGCTTTCCCTATGGCTGTGCTTTCTTCCTGTGCCTGTGGAGGGAAGTGTCTGTGCAGAGGGAAGGTGTCTGGGGCCAGGGTGCTAAAATGCCTGGCTGAAGCTGTCAGTAGTTTTTGCAGGTGGCTGGGCTGAAACCTGTGACGGAGCATTTCTGGGCCCTGCTGATGGCCCGGGCAGGAGTGTTTGGATGCAGGGCTTTATGTGTACTCAGGAGTTGAGTTTCCAGCTTAGCTCCCATCTCTGCCAACGCCTTCTCCTTTGTGCTGTGTCCTGGTGCCCAGATGCAGACCCATGGCTTTGTTGGCTCTGCTGGGCGTGTTTGCTGGTGTGTCACATACATGTGCTGGTTCTGGGATCCTTGGGGCAGGCAGGTGATCCCTGCCTGTTGATAGTGGTCTACAGTGTGCGCACACTCAGGGATTCCACTCCCAGCATGGAGCTCGCCCCAGGGGACAGAATCAGGCCCAGCTCTAGGAACACCCACACCCTGGAAAGGGAGAAGCAGTGGGAGGGTACAGTGGTGTTTTTATCGAGCTGCTGAGTGGGAAGAGCAAACATCCTGGCACACGGCGCAGCGCCGCAACAGCACTCACAGCAAGAGGTGCCGGCTCACCTGTTACATACTTTTCTGTCTTGATAAACATGTCCTGAACGTGTTGAACACTGTGGGGATCAGCCCTAGCTCACCTCCCTGCTGCATCCTGGGCAAGCTTCCTGGAAGGGTGTCAGCTGCACAGGAGATCTTATGAGGGTCAAGGTGCAGAGGCGAGGTGGCCCTAAGTTAGGGAGCAAAGGCAGGAGCACTCCTTGCTGGGGATGATCTGCTGGTAATTGTCTCAGACTGTTCTAATGTGCAGTTAAAAGGGTGCCCGTGGCACCTGGGAGTACCCTGTGCTCAGTCCTGGGGTAACCTTGCCTCCTTTGCTCTGGGAGAGAGGCAGTGGGTTTGCTTTGGGGCTGGCTGCTCCTCCACTCTGTGCCTTCCCACAGCTGGAGCAAATGTGCGTTGGTGGCTCCTTGGAAGACCCTTCCTAGGGCAGGACTGTTTGCTTTCTGGGGGTTAAATCCACAGCAGACCCTGTGTCCTTCAGTTTGCCACAGCCAGCCTGGTTTGTGCTTCTTGTCATGTCAGTGGGTTTCTCCTACCCTTCCAAGCAGTGTGGCCACTCCAGCAAAACTAGGGAAGTCCCTTTCCATGGAGTGCCCCAGCTGAAATGGGGGCATTTGAGAACTTTGCCCTTGGGCTGCAAGCAGGGGGATGCATATGCCATTTCTGGCAGGGCAGTGGCACCCACAAGTTGCCCTTCCAGCATCCCCACCCTGATGCTAGGGGTGGCGAAATCTCCTTCTGCCCTATGTTTGCTGTCCAATCCCAGGCAGTGTATCCTCCACATTTGTGGAGAAGAGTGTTGTGGGAGGAATGTGAGTCTATGTAGCAGGAGCAGTGGTCCCCTCTGTGTGGGGTGTGCAGGGAATCTGCCCCCAGCAGGGTTTGCAATGACCTGGCTGGAAACAAGGGTTCTAGTGGTGCTTTTTGGATGAAACAGCCCTTCAGTACCAAAGAATGTTTAAGAAGAAGCTGTACCTGCTTCTGACAGATGCTTCTCTAGATTTCAATACCTTATGGGTATTCCAGGGCAGAATGAGCTGTGTGGGGCAAGAGATGTGCAGTGGGATGAAGCTCACTTCCCCCTGCTGAAAGCTCCGTAAAACCCTGGTGCTGCTTTGGTGGCAGAATTCAGTTTTCTTGTAAAATAAGCGTTATCCATGCCTTGGTGCACCTATGTTTCCCTCTACCAGCAGGAAGGCAGGTGAGGCAGTGGGTGCCCCTTGGCATGGGGCAATCAGGGGTTCTCCTGGTCTACACGTTAAGCAACTGGCCCTGCCTGGTGTTGCAGCAATCTGGCTGTTGCATGGCAGGAGAAGGGGCTTAGCATGGAGTTTCTGTGTGTCACTTGGCAGTTTTTGTGTGTATTGCCTTTTTTTTCCAGTCGTTTAAGTAAAAATGTATCTTTGGCAACTGGGTGTAGCTGGGGGATACCCAGGCTGTAGTGCAGCAAATGCTGAGCTGCAGCTGCATCGTCCTATACCCCAACCCTGTTTTTATCTGCACTGACAGTCCATGGGAGGGAGACCGGCTCCCAAACAAAGCCCACAGAGCATTTCTGAGCAGTGTTGCTTATCCTGCCATGTGATGTGGCTCCACAAGCACAGCACAGCTGTGGCTCTGCTCTGCAGCGAGCACTTGCCTCCACAGCTCAGCTGCTGTGTTCCCTGTCCCAGAATTGAAACCCAAGCCACGTCTAAAACACTGACTCTTGTCCACTTGTTGTGGATAAGACTTTCCAGGCAAGTCTTACAGCACAGGTGAGCCTCGTCCTCTCTCACCTGTAACTGCAGGATGTGCCCAAGGGACAAAATCAAGGGTATGAGGTGAGATCTGGCGCTGTGGGCTGTGGCAGTGCCAGCAGCTTTCCTGGAGCCACAGTTGCACTTTCCTCATTCAGCCCTGGGTAGGGAGGCCTGGTGCCTCCACCCTCTGCGTGTCAGCCCGACCTTTACACCCGGCTGAAGGTCAGGCTGGCGCAGCAGCAGGTGTTGGGGTGGCGGCTGCTCCTGCCCAGCTGCCTGACAGGAAGGTGCTGGTGTCTTCTGGAGGGTTCCCCAGCTCTTCCTGCACATCTCTGCTGCTGGAATGTAGAAGCAAAAGGTGAATTCCTCCTCCCTGCTCCTCTTCCAAGGGCAGGGACTTTGTGTTTTGCCTCCCTTTCCCCATTCCTGCTGAGGTCTTTGCTGCCAGCAAAGCGGTAGCTGGGGGCTCCCCCAATGGCTGTGGTCATGTCTCACTGCTCCAGCTGGTGGGCAGGGGTCTCCTGGAGGGGCTCTCGTTCTCTCTGCATGTTTTGAACTGCTCTGTAGGTCAGCAGCTTGCCAAGTCTTGCCCAGCCATTCCCTCGTGGAGCTGCAGCTCAGCAGCAGTGGAGGTCACAGCAGCCCTTGCCTGGGCTGTTGTTGGGAAGTTGTGGTGGGGTTGGGAGCAGCTGGAACCCTGCCTACTCTGGAGGCCTAGCTTTACTCCTGCAGAGTTCTGCAACCCCTTTATCTTTGCCCTCCCTTGTGTGTGGGGACGGACAGGCTCGTGGGCGAGGTGCCTCGCCAGGACAGGCCTGGCTGGGCGTGGGGATCAGCCCGGGGGCAGCTGTGCCTGCACTGACCAGCCCTGTCCCCACAGAGTACAGCCGCTTTGAGTCCAAGATCCACGACCTGCGGGAGCAGATGATGAACAGCAGCATGAGCTCCGGCTCCGGCTCGCTCCGGACAAGCGAGAAGAGATCGCTCTATGTCCGGTAAGGCTCCGCTGCTCCCGGCAGGCAGCTGGGATGGGCACATCCCCACGGCATGGGGTGCGGGGGGGGCTGCGGTTCAGCCTGGGCTGTGTGGCGCCTCCGAGGACGGTGTGGCAGGGGCCAGGGGAGGGCTGTGGATGCATCACACAGCCTGGAGGGTGCAGCAGGGAGACCAGGCCTTTTGCCCTGGCTTGTCAAGGCTAGGTGCTTGAATGTCTCTCCCAAGGGCTTCTCCAGTTTGGGAGGCAGTGGTCTCTACAGAGCCTGGGTGGCTGCTGGCCAGCCCAACACACTGAGGACCACTGGGACACAGGGAAATGGTGGGCATCCAGCCCTGCTTCTGCCGCAGGCAGCTTGTGGCAGCTTTCCGGGCACTCTCCTTGAACCAGCTAACAGGCTTCTTCTTGTCTCCTCCTGCTGTTCCTGTGGCAGGATCTGGCTGGATGGGAGATGAGCTCTTAGGAGGATTATTGCTCTGAGCCCTCAAAGCACTTTTGGTCTGGAGCCAGGTGCAGGACAGGCAGGCATGGGTTAAACAGCCATGCAGCTCAAACTGCTGCAAGTCCTGTGTGGACAGGACAACCCCTGCCTGCCTCCTGTCACCTCCTGCCTGCCACAGCACTAGTGGGATGAGAGCTAATGGGTAATTTTAACTTGGAAATTAAAATAATCCTGTAAATCCTCACCCTCCACAGCCTGTTGCACGTGAGGCTGGCCAGGAGCAAGGGATACTTCTTATCCTTCCCTGTGAGAAGGATGGCAAGGGCCGAGGCTGCATGGACCTCAGCCTGCATCTCTCATTGCATGGCTGCTCCATGCAGAGGGACTTCAGGCCTGATGGAAATGTTGCAAGCCCAGCATGGCAGGAGGGAAGAGCTGGAGCTCTGGGCTCCTGCAGTTCACACCTTCTCACAAGTCTCTGCAGGCATCTTGCACAATTTAGCATCTCAGGGCTTCCTAGGGGTGTGCAACAAGCTGGGTGCAGTGTTGAATAAACATCATCTTGTTAGTCCTGCCCTCACTCCCCTGCTGTCCTGTGGACACCCTCATGTGTGGAGGAGGGTCTAGGCTGAGTCCAGCTTGAGTTGAGCCTGTTCTCTGCCTGGAAAGGTGCTCATGTATCAAAGTATCCCTCTGAAACAGAGAGCTCCCTGTTGCCTCCATGCTACTCCTAGCATTTCTTAATTCTTGGTGCATCCCCCCAGGGGGCTTTGGAGGCCTCCACAGCACTGTGTCCCCCTCACACATACCCAGGTGGAGCTGGGCTGTGCCTCGATGAGAGGGTGATCCCAGGGGAGAGCTTTCTCCCTGTGTGGCCCTTCACAGCACTCTGCTCAACACACACCCTGCAAACATGCTTGAAAGAACTGCTGGGTGCCCAGGCTGCCCCAGCCCTTCTGGGCGGGGTAGTTTCAAGCACAATTTACCCGAAACCAGCTGAGCTGCTGCGCTGTGGACAGGACATCAATTACAGGACTTGCTACCCAACTGCTTGAGTCAGCCCTGTGCGGCTGCATTGCATCCTGTATGCTGTTGAAGGGCTAGAGCTGGGCACCCAAGTGCCTGCCAGAGCTGATTTGGGGGTGCTGGAGCCAACTTGGGGGAGCTGGAGTTTCATGCAGCAAAGGCAGGGGCAAGGCAGGTTCACGTCCTGCCTGTCACCTCCCTGCACTGCCGCGGGGCAAAGTCTGCCAGCACTGGGGCCGTGCCGGGTGGGGATGGAGGTCAGGCAGGCATTGTGCCTGGGCACCAGGAGGAAGCCATGGGAGTCCTTGGTACTGCTTCCCTGCCCTCCAGCCAGACCATCTGCTCTCCTGGCTGTGAGTGCTGTGAGCTGGCCTGGGGACAGAGCTGAGCTGCCATCTGACCCTGTGCACCCAGAGGAGGACCCAGGCATGGTGTGTCCTGCATGCCAGCACAGCCAGGGGCCGCTCTCCTGGAGCATCGTGCCTTGGGGTAGCCAGTGCCCCATGTGCTGCCTTCATAGGTGTCCTGCCCTGCCCATGCAGAGATCTCTCTGGGCCTGTCCTGGGATGCTGGTGGCTGCTGCCGGAGGAGCATGGGCCCTGCGCTGCTCTGCAGGGCAGAGTGTGTGGAGTGGGCAGGGCTTCTCACAGCCTGCCTGGCTGTGGGAACTGGCCTGACCAGTTCCCCAGGGCCTTGGCCAGCAGCACTGACCTCACAGCGGCCTGTCAGCCGACATGCAGCCTTATCTTTTGGCCTGGAGCTGCCTGCAAGGCTTGATTACCTCTGGCCAAAGCACCCGTTGGTGCTCTGCTGCCAGCTCCAGCCACACTGCCCTGTGGAGGGAACAAGCATAAGAACTGCCCCAGCCCTGAGCAAGCTGGGCAAGGAGAACAGATCTAGTGGCTGAACATATCTGGATGCATAGGGCAGTTTTGGTCTTGTTCCAAAGAGCTCTCCCCATGGGGCAGCCCTTCTTCTTCCCATTCAAGACCCAGCCCCAGGTGCCCTGAAAGGTTTCATAGCCCAGCACTTCCCTGGCAGAAGTGCTGTGCAAGCTCTGCTGCTCCACAGGGACATGCCACATGATCCCTCAGCCCTTCCACTTACAGTGTGCTTTTAGACCCCTTTTGGAGTCCCCACAGTGGAACCTTCCTGCTTGAAGTTTTATTAGGGCCAGGATTAAACCAGCAGCAAGCCAGTGTTTGCAGTGCCTGGGCTCATGCTGGGCTGGGGACCAGTGGGGCCAGTGTCCCAGGAGCAAATACAGAGGTTGTGCTGCCAGTACTTTTAGTGACTCTTCCCTTTCTTTGTCTTTTTTCAAGCTGATGCATCAAAGCAGACACAGTTTGTGTGATCTGACATCAGTAGAATGAGTTGCAGGTGAAGCCACTGAGAGCAGCTGATGGGTACAGGCTGCAGTGCTGTGTATCCTGTACATGTGTGGGAAAAGTATTAGTGCTCCTCTAGTAAAAAAACCAAATCTTTTCTATAACTGGTTAGTTTGGTTTTGAAAATAATTTTAAACTAAATAGACTGTTCTCACAGGAGGTGTTTAGGGGTGTAAAAAGGATCAGTTGTGGAAGCAGATATATATACTCTTGAGATGCATTCCTCATTCACAGCCTCTGTATGTAAATAAAGGCTGTGCTCAATGCCTTGGTGGTCTGACGGTCTCTGCCTGTGCAACCACCCACCAGCAGTGGGATCTGATGTTCCCCATCCCATTCCTTGGCCCCGCAGCCACGGAGGGATGGTGGGGAGCAGCCCTCCTGCAGGCTGCTGCAGTGGGCCTGGCCTGCTCACTAACCACAGACATGTCCAGTGCATCTATGGCTCGTCTGCATCCTGCAGCTGAACTCAGTAGTGAGTTCTCTCAGTCCAGCACGGGTGTTGCTGCATTGCACTCTTCAGGGCTTGTGCTGAGCCTTCCAGCCAAGGGATGTGCTGGTGGCTGGCAGCACTGCTCACCTTTGCAGGGGTTGGATTTAAACTTTTTAAGGTGTGAAGGTGACAGTGCCCCAGGAGGTTGGCAGTGCTGCTGCCCTCACTGCCTGGCCATGCTCAGAGATGGCATCGCTCCTCTCTGCTCCTCCACAGAGCCCTGTTTGACTATGACCGGACCCGGGACAGTTGCTTGCCCAGCCAGGGGCTCAGTTTCTCCTACGGGGATATCCTGCACGTCATCAATGCCTCTGATGACGAGTGGTGGCAAGCCAGGCTCGTCACACCCCACGGCGAGAGCGAGCAGATTGGGGTCATCCCCAGCAAGAAGAGGTGAGTGTCCATCAGCAGGAGCTGTCACACTCGGTGACCCCAGGATTTCCATGAGCTCTGCAAGCCCTGCAGTCCTCAGGGCTCTGCTCAGGCTCAGGTTAGGATCTCCTTGTTTCCCCAGCCCACCTGCTAAGGGCACCTTGGTTGCAAGCTGGGTCTATGTGCAAGTCTCCCTAGGCAGGTATTCTCCAAAGCTGGGTGAGACTCCCGGTGAGGAAGGGAGTGCTCAGCCCCCTCTGTGGTCCCTGTGAAGATGGGAAGTTGGTGTTAGCCAGTCTTGGTCTCCATGTGAGAGCAGAGTCACAGCAGCAAGGGCTGCTCCTTGTGTCCTCTATCAAGCTGCCCAGCTCTGTAGCCAGGTCTGTGAGGTGGGAAGTCACAGAGAGCAGAGGAGCTGGCTGCTCCTCTCAGGTTAGCAAAGCCAACCTTGAGTCTGTTTCCTTGTTGGGAAGGCTGGCTTGGCTCCTCTCCTGCTCCTGCAGACACTGGCCTGGGCCAGGCCCTGGGCTGGCAGTTCCACATCTGAGCCTCCCTGGGAAGGAGCTTCCATTTGCCAGTGGGGCCACCACCGCTGGAGCTGCCTGAGGAGCCACGTGGGCAGCGTGGACAGCACATGGATGGTGCTAGTGACTCTTTCTCTCCTGATCAGGGTGGAAAAGAAGGAGAGAGCACGGTTGAAAACAGTGAAGTTCCACGCCAGGACTGGCATGATTGAGTCTAACAGGGTAAGTGCTGATCTGGGGCTCAGTGGGACACCTGGAACTGGTAACTAGGAGGATGAGTCCCAGCAGCAAAAGCTTCTCGTGGGGCAGCTCAACAATCCCAAGGCAAAGAGCTGTGTGACTGGACCTCCCCCAGGCCCACATCTGCTTGGCACAAACCCTCCGTGAATATGCAGTGATTGAGCAGAGGAGCCCAGGATGGTGTGAAAGTACTGGGGAAGGACCCATGTTTGGAGTGATGGGGTGGCAGAGCCCATGGCTTGGAGCTGCCTGCAGGCATCTGGTGAAGGTAGCTGCCCTCATACCTCAAGAGCAGTGCCTAACATGCCAACAAGCAAGGAGGAGCAGCCTGGCTACCCCTGCAGAGCTGCTGACTGCCCCATCAGCTTCCCAGCATCCCTACCACATGTTTTTCTCCATGCTTAATTTTTTTCCTGCATTACAGTTCTCATGTAATCTCCATGATTTCATTTGAGGGTGACTGCCCTGACACGGCTCCTCATTGTCTCTCCATTTTAATTTTCCCCACGTGTGTTAAACACCATTGTTTTTTCTGTCCTCCCTTCCATCTCCATGTTCTTCAGTCGATCAAAACGAAACGTAAAAAGAGTTTTCGCCTCTCTCGAAAGTTTCCATTTTACAAGAGCAAAGAGAACCTGGCCCAGGAGAGCAGCGGACAGGAACGTAAGTAGCAGCTGGCCAGAGAGGGCAAACCTGTACCCCTCAGGTTCCCTGCCCTGAGGGAAGAGATTCAGCACATTTCCATAGCCAGGGGTCCTGGCACCTGCCTGTATTCAGGTCTGTGCTCCAGAGTTGTGCCAGCAGCTAGGGAAAAACTGGAGCTTGAAATGAAAGCAACAGCTGCAGTCTGGCACTCTCTTCCTTTCTCTCATGTTCAATGTCTTCATCTTTTCATCCAACTTTACACCCACCCAGTTCCCTGCTCTGCCTTGCCCTGCTGTCCCGCCTTTGCTGCAGGCTCTGCTTCCTCCCTCTGCCTCCTTCCCTCCAAGTGAGGGGCTGGCTGCCTCCTGCAGAGCTTCTCCTGTCCCTCTCAGGGCTCAGAGCCTGGGGAGGTCCCAGCTCCATCTTCCCTAGAAGTGACTTGCAGCTTCACATTCCCACTGCAGAGCCCTGCCAGCGGATTAAGCCCTGTGGACACAGGGAAGCCACGACCCTGCTGCCCACTTACGACTGAGGCACATCTTTGGTAGCTGGCTACAGATGTTGTGGGTCCACAGCTCTCACCACCCTGTGACTCCCAGTAAAGGCAGGGCATTTATCTCATTGCCCTGAATCCTGATGTGGGCAGCACTGGAGCTGCTCACCAAACTCAGCCCCTCATCCAAGCGGTGAACTGCATCCACTCTGTGGGCAAGCATCCAGGCTGGCAGTGCCCACACCTCTGGAAAGGGGTGGTGGACAAGGCAGGGCTGTGTCTGTGCCCCAGTGCCAGCACAGCAAACACATCCACTCCGTCTGGGGCTGTCTTGTGTGTCATACAGAGGCAGGAGGATGCTACTGGGCTGCTCCAAGGGCTCCCTGCATCCCTCTGCTGCCAGGATCCCTCTGACAGGCTGCCGCCAGCTTCTGGTGATTTTAGCGGACAGCACGAGCCTCTGGCCTGTGCTGAAGGTTGTCTGTGTGTCTGCCTGTCTCTAGTAGTGCCTGGACATGGCTGGGCTCCAGTGAGATCTGTGCTGAAGCTGGGGGCTTACTTTTGGCTGCCCTGTAGTGAGATGACACAGCATGAGGATGTGACAGGTCACTCTCTCTACCTGCCTGTGTCACAGCACACAGCCAGCTCCCTCCCTGTGCTCTGCCACTGTCCATCCCAGCTTGCAGTAGCAGGGGGGCTCTGCCTCACATTTCCACAGCCTGTGCAAGCGTTGTGGTGTGGGGCAGCTGACACACACAGGTGGGGAAAAATGCACCCTCCTGCCACATGTTATAGGACTGTGTGCTGTGCCTGGCCCCAGAGTGGCCATTCTGTGCCGGGGAGGCACAGAGCCGCTGTGCCCTGCCAGCACACTCCACGAGGAGAAACACTTCAGCCCCTGTGCCAGCAGCTCAGGGCTGCAACTGCTTGGTGCCAGCCAATGCTGCTGTGGCTGCCCTGCCCTCCCCAGACCCAGAGTGTCCCAGGGGGCTCTTTGGCAGAGAGGATGAGCTTGGGGGGAGGAGGGGGTCCAGCCGCACAAGGCAAGATGTTGGCAGTGGGCTGATGGTGTCAGCTCTGAAAATATTTAACCTCACTTGCAGTTGCAGCTCTGGGCCGTTCTGCACTCCTGTCACTAATGCTGGTCTGGCTCTGTCTCCCCCATCCCTCTGATTCCCCTTTCCTGCACTGTCTTCTCTCCCCCTCTCCCTCTTCTTGCTGTCTGTGAAATCAGGACTTCCCTGGGTTAAGTGACGATTATTATGGAGCAAAGAACCTGAGTAAGTTGAATTCCGATGCGCATTGTTCTGTTTCTGTGGCTGGTGGTGCCGGGGGATGGCTGGGTTCTGGCCGGGGCAGCTGTGCTTCCCTGGGTGTGGGGCAGGAGGAGCCCCAGCCGCTGCTCCGCTGATGGGGACCCCCCTGTGCTGCCGGAGCCTGCGGGGCTCAAGGTGCTGCTGCTGCACATGGGATGAGGGAGCTTGTGTGGGGGTGTTGGCCATGCCCTAAGTGCCTGCTGCACCTCCTCATCCTCTTCTTCCTGCTCCTATCTGGGTTGGTTGTTGCTTTAGCACCTGGAGCCACTGCCTGTGTGGGTGGGAAGTGGCCTTGATGGGCCTGCTCTGAATGGGTGGGTGACAACATTTTGAGGTGGTCCCACCTTTCTCTGGGTTACCACTTATGCAGAACTGCAAAATAATGACAGGATCCCCGTGGTCTTCTCAGCTGGGGCGTGAGTTCCCTGCCAAGATCTGCACCCCCCAACCAGTGCAGAGCCTGACTGGGGCAGGCAGCGGCCAGCAAGCCTCTGAGGGGTGGTCGCAGCACTAGGATCAGCCTGAGCAAGCAAAGCCCCAAACTCTGTCCCATTCTGTCAGTGTCTTGTCTCTGTGCGTCCCAGCCCCGTCCCCAGAGGTAGGCTCCCCATCCCTGTGCCAGCACAGCCGTGCCCTCTCCTGCCCGCTGTGTGCATGCTGCACCTGCTCCCCTGCCAGCCTTCTCTTCCCTTTGCACTTCACCTTCTCTCGGCCTGGGAAGCTCAGTGCCTTCACATCTGCCAGGCAGGCCCTCCTGGCCTCCCTGTCTTCTCCTGGAAGCATCCCCCTGCATGTCCCCGAGTTCCCAGCAAAGGGTGAAAGATGCCGCCCTTGCCCATGTGGCACAGACTCGTCCCAGTGGGTGCTGGGCTGCAGGTTTTTCGGGAGGCTGGTGCTGTCCTGCCCTCGATCAGTAGTGCTGGGTGACAGCCAGGGTGCCCCCGTGCCTCCCGCCCATGCTCCTTCTCAAGGGGATCTCTCTGGTTGCTTTGCAGAGGGCGTGACATCAAACACCAGTGACAGCGAGAGCAGTTCCAGTAAGTGTGTGTCCACCTGCTCTCCCGCCCCATGTACGTGTGTGTGTCCCTGTATGAATGTGCATGTTTGGGCACTTCCATCTTGTCTTGTCCCAGTGGTGGTTCTGTTCGGAGGCTGGTCCTTCCTGCTGGTGACACTGAGATGCTGCGGCCAGCTCCCTCCTCGGAGCCAGGGAGAGCAGGGGCTGGGGAGTAGGAGTGAACCTGCCTGCTTCACTGCTCTCTCCTGGCTACAGGACTCTGCTCCAAGGCAGGGTGGTGGATTCCCAATCCATGATCATCCCCCATCCTCAGTGCTGCTACAGGAAGCAATGGCCAGAGGCCAGGCCTGTAGCATAGATGGCTCCTGGAGCCTAAGCCTGTACAAGGCCATGGGATCCAGCTGCAATTTGTCCTCAGAAAGTCCTCTACATACCTGCAGGGAGGACGCTACGTCCCAATGGGCTGTGAGCCTGCAGCGGTGGGGGAGGGAGAGAGGAGGCTTGACCCAGAGCTGGGACATGAATAATTGAAGTGGCTCAAGGGCTCGTAACTGCATGCCCGTCATGCTTCACATCCGTGGGTGGAGTGATGAGGACAGCCTGGAGTGTCCCTAGAGCTGTGGGAGGCTGAAGGTGCAGGAGCCAGCTCCTCACAGCTTCAGAGGGGCTGGGGAGCTGCTGCAAGTGCTCACCCACCTTCCCCTGGCTCTGTTGCAGAAGGACAAGAGGACACCATCCTGTCGTACGAGCCAGTGACACGGCAAGAAAGTAAGTCCTGGGCTGAACTGCCCTGTGCCCACTGCAGTGTGGCCACCTGTGTCCCCAGCACAGCCAGGGCGTCCTCCCCTCCTGCCATACCAGCACAGCACTGGGTGGATGCAAGTGCAGTCTCATGTGTTGCATGCAGCAGGGGAGCCAGGTGTGCACAGCTTTCCCTGGCCTCGACTGCTCACTTTTAATCAACAGAAAAGATTTGTGTCATGGTCTGCCAAGACCAAGGGAGAGATCCAGAGCTAAAACTGAGCTGGGCTTTAGTCCTCAGCTAAGGATAAGATTATCCCTTCCTGCCTCAGACCAGGTCCCTGCTGGAGAACAGCCCTCCCGCAGCCTGCATCCTTTAACCCTGCTTGATGCTTAAACCCTGCAGACCCTTTTGCAGTCTGAATAGTCCCAGCCTCGGTGGTCTGTCCTTGCCAGAAGCTGGATCTGACTTTTAGGCTTCCGTCACTCCCCCAGCTCCATGGCATCCTTGCCCCGCTGTCCTGGTTGCCTGGCTCCTGCCCCAAGCAAGGGAGCAGCTTTGCTGATCTGCGACCCTGGAGACCTGCAGAACCTTCCCCGGGGCCACGCATATGGTTTGGGTCAGATGGGAAGGACATGTTGACCATGACCAGGAGGAGATAAACGCGCACAGAGGAGGCACCTTTGGGTGCCCATGTGAGCAAGAGCACCCACTGCCAGCAGGGAGAGGGCAGGTCAATGCCAAAAGTGGCAGTAGGGTCAGCTGCCCCAGCACAGGTGGGGCCTCAGGTTGTGGCTCTCGTTCACAGTTCACTACGCAAGGCCGGTGATCATCCTGGGGCCGACAAAGGACCGAATTAATGATGACCTCATCTCTGAATTCCCACACAAGTTTGGTTCCTGCGTGCCCCGTAAGTCCCAGCCAACGCTCAGTGCCCTTGCTGGAGGGAGGGGAGAGTGGGGGCTCTGCTCTTTGCAGGGTCTTGCCCGCAGTGGGGAGGGGGCTGGGAGCACAGGTGCGTTTTGTCCCTCCCGGTTTGTCGTGCGTCACTCTGGACTCTACCTTGATGCCCACTCTCCTCCAGACACCACCAGGCCTCGGCGCGAGAACGAGGTGGACGGACAGGACTATCACTTTGTCGTGTCCCGGGAGCAGATGGAGAAAGACATCCAGGACAACAAGTTCATAGAGGCTGGGCAGTTCAATGACAATCTCTATGGGACCAGCATCCAGTCAGTGCGAGCGGTGGCAGAGAGGGTGAGTGTCGGGTGGCATTCCTGGGTCTGGGATGCATCCAGCCCGAACCCTCACACAGTCAGCAGTTCCCCTCCTTTACCCTGTTGTTAATGAAGGGCTGTAACCACATTAAGCAAGCTTGGCATGATCCTCTCCTCCCTCCAGAGTCCTTCCAAGCCATATAGTTGCTTTACTCAGCTGTGTTACTCTACCCCAGCGTGGTACCTCTGTCCTCCAAACTTCATCCAAAAGCCTGGCACTGTTTGGCCAGCCTTGTGCTCAGGAGCTCCCAGGACAGAGATACCTGGGTGCCCTCAAAGCAGCAGCGTTCCTCTGGATGAGTCCTGGAGTTACCCAGGGCTTGTAAATAGCTTCACATGTCCAGACAAAGGTTCAGCCCCTTTGCATTGTTGCTGTCCTGCCCTGAGCAAGCAGGAATGTGAGGCCATGGGGAGCTGGCTTGTGTCTCAGTAGTAGGGTTTCATTTCTGTGGCTCCTCCCTTTCCAAGCACATCTGTATGAGCAAGCTGTTTCCCACACAGAGTAGTCTGTGTGGGTAGGCCTGATCCTGATTGTCTCCTTTCCAGGGGAAGCACTGCATCCTGGATGTGTCTGGCAATGCTATCAAGAGGTTGCGACAAGCACAACTTTATCCCATTGCCATTTTCATCAAACCAAAATCCATTGAAGCCCTCATGTAAGTGCAGCACCGTGTTCTGTGCCTCTCCAGCTGCTTGTCCTGCTGCTCCTGGCCCTGGGTAGTGCAGGCTGGAAAGGATGAGAGAGCTGAGCTTGCAATTCTTCTGAGCAGCGGCAGAGAGTATTACCTGTGAAGAGATTCAACAGCTTGAGATTGTCCCTGAGATCAGAAGAAAGTCTGCTGGCACCAAGAGGCCTGGGAAAACCCCTTCTTGAGTCAGAAGGGGTCAAATTGCTTATTTCTATGTTTTATGAAGATAAGAAAACCTAGACAAGCAGGGAGACTTCTGCAGTGGTCTCATAAATTTAAGGGATTGTCTGAATATGAATTCCCTTCCTTGCTATGGTGAAGGGGGGTGGGGTAGGTGACAGTGGGAAGAGCTGGTGGGAGTTGAGATGAAGTGCCAAGGCAGCCTGGAGTCTGTGGGGAACTTCTTTGTGCCTTTGGGAGCTGGGTCCTGCACAGCTTCCATTCCTGTGAGCAGAGGATTCCCAGGCACCCTGGCTCTGTCGGCTATTTTTGCTTCTGTTCATTGCTAAGAAAAAGAGCTGAAAAGTTTATATTTTTTGTGTGTGGCAGGGAGATGAACCGGAGACAGACATATGAACAGGCCAACAAGGTCTTTGACAAAGCCATGAAACTTGAGCAAGAGTTCGGAGAATATTTTACAGGTGAGTGTCCTGAGCAGACTTGTATCTGATTTACTTCATTTTTTCATCCAACAGCTGTGACCTCTCTAGCAGCACTGTCCTACTACAGGGTCATGGGAAAACATCCAGCTTCATCAAAGCAAAAAAGAAATGGCACTTTGCCAGGAGGGCTCTGCAAGGGGACTGCTCCAAGATCAGTGGATAGGAGTAAACCAGTCATAGAGGAGGAGACAAGTTGTCAGGCAGGATTTTCTGAGCTTGTGAAAGCTTATCACCAACTTCAACAGTAATAAAAAAATCTAAAAATCCCTGAGCAGGTTAAGTACAGGGTTTCAGGGTGCTACAAGTCTACAGGAAGTAAACTCCCTGCATGGGAGAAAAGGGGAGCATTTTTAAGAAGAGAAGTTTTGAAAAGAAGGGGAAAGATAAAAAAATAACAACCTAAATGGTGGAGACAGCCCTGAGTTATTACAAAATATCTACCAAAAAGGACTGGAAGTTTGGCTTGCTTCCTAAGTAGTCTTTGCTCAAGAGCCAGGGGTTGCTGACACTTTGTGCCTACTGAGATGAGCTGCTCATGACACAGGCATCCTTGTGCATTAAGGAACTAATGTTTGTAACATGATTAATTCTGGACAACCACAGGCAGGTGAGGAGGCAGAGAAACTGGTCTTCCATCTTTTCTCCAGTACAATAGCTGCTTCTTCTTAAGTTGAGGAATGATAATGTTGCCAAACTGTGTATTACCCACCTAACAGCTACTGGGAAAAACCCCAAGCAGGATGTTTTACAAAAACTGATTTCAGCTGGACAAATATTTGGGTACAAACACAGTGAACTTTCCCCAGACCTCCTGTCCTGGGCTCCAGAGTTGCTGGCTGTTCTTCCAGTCATGTCACAGTTTTTTCTTCTTCATGTCACAGTTTTACAGGCCCTCAACATGCCACTGTGCACTTGGAGGGCAAGTTGATGTTGACCTGTAAAAAAAGGAATGCTGTTGGCTGAAATGTGTTGAAAGAACCAGGTAATGGGCAGAGAGATAGATGGTCACTGTTACAGGTCCTGTGCCAGCAACTATGGGGGAGCGGAGATGCTGGAGGATAGTCTTGGCTGGGTTACAGAGGCAGGCCGGATTACCAGAAAGCTTTGACCCTTCATGTGCATCTTCCTGTGATGTAAGCAGCTCAGTGCCTCGTGCTGTGTCTGTGCTAAGCAGCAGCACTGGGCAGGGGTTGCTGCTGGGAGGAAGCCACGCTGGCCTGTCCCAGCCTGAGAGCTCTGTGTTCCCACCCCGCAGCAGAGGAAGCAGCAAACATGAGGAGCCATCAGCAGCTGGCCAGGAGAACCAGAGGGAAGGGACAAAGCTGGCACCTCGGGGCAGGTGCTTGGTGCTGCTCCAGCCCTGCCTTCCCTCGCTCTGGTCAGTGCAGCCGTGGCGGTGCCAGGCCCGGCCGCAGCCTCAGCACGGTGCCTGACACAGTTTGCAAAGCTGATTAGCAGCCTGGTGTGGAGAGCCCAGCCAGCCCTGCACACAGTCAGGAGCTCTGCCAGCTGGGATCAGCGCTGGCTAATCCCCACCGAGGTGCTGCTTTAACCCTCTGTGTCACTGGGCCCATGGCAGCTGCTGTGACACCACCTGGTCCTGCCCCTGCTGGCTGCACCCTCCGGCCCTTTGGGGCAGGGGAAAGGCTCTCCCATAACTCATGGCAGTGCTGCCTGGTGCTCAAGGTCTTGCTTGTTCTCTCCTCTTCCAGCCATTGTACAAGGAGACTCTCTTGAAGAAATCTACAGCAAAATCAAACAGATCATTGAGGACCAGTCCGGGCACTACATCTGGGTCCCGTCCCCAGAGAAACTCTGAAGATGTCTCCGACCTGCTTCGCTGTGAGCAGATCTCCGAAGTCCCACCCATCCAAGCCCTCTGCCCCAGAGGGGGAGGGATATGAAAACTATTCCTGCTCCCTTTTTTAGATCGTCGCAAAATTGAGTTTTCTAGTCCTGTTTCTTTTGTTGGGATGAACTCATATCATTCATCACGTGACTGTTCCCACCATTCCTGCATGGACCTTCCCACTGCTCCATTAGAGACAGATGAGAACCCATTCAAGGTCGTTTTTTTATTATTATTCTTATTATATTATTATTATTATTATTATTATTATTATTATTAACTAAACAAAGAATCAAGATGGGAGGAGGCGGCTAAGGACTAATGTAAGAAAACAAGTGAAACGATGGACTCCAAACACATGAGCTGGTATCAGAGCTCCAGGGGCATTTTTCCAAGTGTGACCGTCTAGCAGCTCTGAACAGTGCGACAGATGAGCAGCAGAAAGCATTTTATTTATCTGTATATGTAATTTATATATAATATAGAGGAGAGATATTATATATATATTATATATATATATATATGTATGTGGACTAGGAATTCTGAGGGACCTCTCTGAAAAGGTATTGTATTATTGCAAGGTTCTTTCAGTTCCTCTGTCCCAACCACTCGCCGTAGGAAGTCCACTTGGGCAGGAAGAGCTCAAAACGGTACCAGGTGCTTTGGAAACTTCTCCTGTCCAGGCCAGTTCCCTGCAGCCACCCTGGGTCTGAGACAGGGCAGAGACTGGTACTGCCTGTGCAGGAGGGACCAGAGCAAGGAGCAGCAGCTGGCCTGAGAGAGGCTGGGAGACAGAGACTGAGCAGGAGGCTGTGGAGCAAGAGAATGGATGATACTACATATTAAATTGCACATTGTTTTACACACCATCTTATGTGTTTGCATGAGAGGTTTCCTTTTGGTTCTATTTTTTTAAGCTGATTTTAAACCAAAACCATATTGTGTTGTTGTGTTGGCTTTTTTAATTATTATTATTATTATTATTATTATTATTCCATTTTCTCTTGTTAATGATGAACTGAATGGGTATAAAATCCAGTTTTTTAACTTATTTTTTAAACTGGCTCTATTGTAAATAGAATCTAGATCTGTGGTGTTTAGTTAAGAAATATTTTACTGGCCACATGGAACAAATGTACTCACTGTCCTGTGTTGCTGTGAAAAACCTGGGATGTTGGACTGGCCCTGTACCTGTGGGTGCAGGTGGAATGACCCATTCTGGCTTGTGGCAGCACACTGGCATTCCCTTCTGCATTAGCCACTGGCAGGAAAAGCCCCCAGCTGTGCCTTGGATGGACACTCACATTTTCCAGATCAGTAACAGAATTGAAAAACTTCCTCTCCTCCCTGCTCCATGCCAAGTTCCCAGCCCTGCTGTGTCCAGGTGCCGGGGTGGCTCTCCCAGGGGAAGGGCCATCCTTCCAGCAAAGGTGACTGCGTGGCCACCTTGCCTGGCTCTCTCTGACACCTCTGTGTGAATTCTGTGGCTGAAGCTGGGTTCTGCTGCCTCCCCCAAGCCACCCCGAAGCCCTGACGTGGTGCCCCAGCTCGCAGGCTGAGGCACAGGGGGTGCAGAGCTGCCCCATCCGCTGGGCACTGGCATTTTTCAAGAGAGGCGGCTGCTGGCACCGAGACCCTTGGCCCTAAGCTAGGACATGGCTGTCTTTGAGAACACTTTGGCTCCTGTGCTCGAGTGGGGCTCCAGTGTGGGAACAAGCCCTCATGTGGCCTTTGAGGGGTGTGTGCTGGGTACTCGATTCAGGTCCGAGTGTTCCCGCCTTACAAAGAGCTGGTGAACGCTGTTCCTCACACAGTGCCACACCCCACAGCACAGGTCACTGTCCAAGCACGACCAGGTAAGTCTCCTCCTCCCCCTGTTTGCCAGGGACAAGCTGTGGTCCCCTCTCCCCAAGGTGACAGTTCTGTGTGTCAGTGCCTGGCACACAGGTCACAGCTGCCAGCGTCAGCCCGAGCTGCTGTAAGACTCCATGTGCTGCCTGAGGAGAGGCTTCCTTTGCCCATCCTGAATGCCAAGGAGCCCTGCAGGGACCGAGCAGCCTCTGGGGTCAGGACACGTAGAGGCAGCTATGAGCACGGAGGAGGACAGAAGGATTCTGCTGTCGGTGGGACCGACCCTAAAGGAGCACACAGAACTTTGGCAATGGATTCCTGTTGGGCATCCAGCCCCCTGCCCCGCTGGTCCTGCTCCAGCTGCTATAAATGTCGGTCCCTGAAGAAGTGGAGTAAGGGAAACAAAAGTCCTTAAGGTGCTAGTCACACATTCCTATCTTTTTTTGTCTTTTTTTTTTCTTTTTTCTGTTTTTTCCTAATAGCCTGTCTCCCTCTATCAAGTCACGTGGAGAAAAAGATGATGTACTCCATGGCATAGCTGACAGTATCAAATCGATCATGACAACAGTAGTTGGTTAACAGTGTTTCTTCCAAGGAGACATATATTTTTAATAAACAGAGAGTTGCAAAGAACTCTTGTCTTTGAGACCTTCTTGTAGAGTCCTTCATTGTGTACCAGATCTGGGTTTTTTGGTGCTAATGTTAGCAACTTTTGATATGGTCTCTATGGCAAACTGAACTGTTGACAGTGGTTTAAGGGGGGGGAAAAAAAAGCCTTTTTTAGTATAAAAGCTGGTGCCTGAGAACTTGCCTAGTGGAAAAATGAAAATAGAAAATAAAAGAAAGGAAGTGGGCTTATTTAGAGCTGTAACTCAGCCACTGAAATGTGTTTTTGGTTGGGTTGTTTAACCCAAGTCTGGCCTGATGACACAACACCATAAATGTATTTTGGGTTATGGCTTGAATTGTTGGGAGGTTGCTTTACAAATAATAGTGTTTATGTGCTGCTACATAATTGTTCTTGTCTTGGATATAAAGACAACAAAGTAAATACGTAGTCCAGCTAATACAGAGCTTCTTTTTACGGTTTTAACATGCTGTTTAATATCAGAGAGAAGAAAAGTTGTAAAGACACTAGTATAATTTTTAATATCTTAAAATGCAAAGGAAAGGAGCGTTCACTGGAAATCAAATGTGGTTAAAGGAGTGTCACAGTACTTTTGTGCCTGAATTGCTTTGTTATTTAGCTGAACTGAAGGAAGGGGGGAGGGATTTATTCTTTAAATACTAAATTTTTGTTTTACTTTCAAACTGCACAGAAGAGAAGCAAATTGAGATTTCAGGGGAACAAGAATGTTGTACCAACTGAGCACGGGCATGTAGTTTGCTGACTGTTCAGTTTGTGAAGCTCACTGCACAAATTAAAAACCACTTAGAAACTCCTTTAACTGATCAACACCTGGTGGTGGTTGTCCACAAAACACTGGAAAATTAAGCAGATCTGATGCTAGAATTACCACTCTCAAAAATCAAAGTGTTTGATTGCATAATGGATTTGAAGTCCTGGATGAAACAGCACAGAAGCACTGTCTGCTACTGGCTGCCCCAGTGCCCTGCCCAGCCCGTGGTTAGCTCCAGTACCTGAGCTGCAGACTCCCTTCTCGTGGCAAACCACGCTGTGTCCTGAGCTCGTGTGTCACCTTGATCTGCTGTGACAGGGAAATGTTCAGCTTCCAGGGGGGAATGTTCTCAAATCCACAGGGCTATGCTCTCAAATAAACCCTGTCACTCCTGTAAGGCAGAACCTCTGGAAGAGAAAGAGGGTGGCATGGAGAAGGAACCTGCTCTGTTAAAGCTGTAACCACCCGTTTTCCTGGCTAAGGACAAGTTGCTCTGCCAAGACGTTTGCAAAGTCCTGGCCCAGAAAATAGCAGAGCATTGTCCTGATAATGGTCCTGTCTAGTTGTGAAATGTAGGAGCTGGTTCTTTTCTCTCCCAAGATGTCCTGGCACCGCTGCCTGCAACAGGCATGAAACTAATCTGCCCTAAGACACTTCTAGAAAATTATAAGCTGTAAGCTGCTTGTGCTATAGAGAAACGTCTGTGCTTCTGTCTGCAGCTCTGGGTAATTAGCTGTCTTAGCTAAGCAGAAGAGCACACCTTGTGCTGTGAGGCTGCTGGAAGAGGGGCTTTAAAGGAATAATTTTCTCAGAATTGTTTTCCCCATTGATGGAGCTGTCTTAGATCCAGCCATTGTTGCTAATGATGCTTGGCAGCACAGTCTTCAAGAACTGCTGTTCTCTGCTTTCCTCAGGCTGTCACAGCAGGATTCATGGCATTGAAGCATCTGCTGTGAAGCAGGTAAAGTTATCATCATGTCAAAGGTGTCTCTTCCCTTTGAGAATCCTTGGGTACACCTTGACCTTCAGTGTTTATTTATATCCCTTGCCTCCAAAATGAGAGGCATTTGTTTACCTTTAGGGGTTTTAACCCTAAGGAAACACATTACACATTATTAGAGTCAATCAGTGCAGCATCTCTGAATGCTACAAGTACGTGGGAGCACTTATGGGACTTGCAGTACCTGGTTGGGGCCACACTTGACTCAGCACAGGGGGGACTGTGGAATTTCCTCCTCTAGTTCCAGTGCACTACTTGACAAAAGCTTCTTCCCAATCCTATAATGAGCTTCACCCCTCTTCCAATTACCTTCGTATCTGATTACTGTGACCACTTCTGAGTGTTAGTGGCCAGGCCAGCCCCTCTTCTTTTCCTGCCTCTCCCAAATGCTCAATGCAGCCACAACAGTGGGAGCAAAGGGAGGTGCAGCCTCAGTGGAGAGCTGCTGGAGAAGCCCTGCTCCTGCTGCAGGTGCCTCTGGGTGAGAGGTGGTAGAAGGGGCTCTGGGGCTCAGCAGCTGAGCTGGTGTCTTCTGTGCCCTGCCCCACTCACAGACTCTTCTCAGCAAGGACGTTTTTCCCAAGGTAGGCTCCCTGCAGCCACAATCCCATCAATCCCAGGTGGTCGATTTAGAATCACCCTCCCCCTGGACCCATTCTCCAACTCACACTGCAACTCCCTTGTGCCTCTGCACTGCTGCTCCTCCCCAAATGGTTAAGAAGTTATCAGATTAGGGAAAAAAAAAAGAGCATAAAATAAATACTGGCTGGGGAAAAGGGGGAAATTTGTGACCTCTTGCCCTGGAGAATCCATTTGTGTTCTCAGAAGCAGGGAGTTCTCTGCAGCACAGAACCAGTGTCCAGCACACCCTGGAGCTTCCACAGTGTGTAAATGGGAAACCACTGCTGCAATGCCACCCTCTGGAACCATCTGTGCACATCAAGGGATGAGCACACAGGCTCTCTGAGCTGAAAGAAAACAGGAATCAATGAAAAGATAAGAATGGGGGCGGAATGAACAGCTCTATTTTTTCATTTTTTTTACAGGTCAGCTGCTGGTGGTTTAAAAATATTTATAAACCACAGTCACCCCTGATGGGCTACTGAACTGTGAAGCAGCATTTAGTAGCAAAAACAACATGGACCGGCCTGCCTCTGCACCAGCAAACACCTGCAAAGGTGTGATTGCACATAAACTACCTACTGTCAACAGCCACTGGAAATGCAGCTAATTACAGTCTGATTCAACTAGGAGAGGAATTCTTGCCCCACTTAAACCCTTTGGTAAATACTAAGCCTGGAATAAAATGTACTGTGTAAAGATATGCAGGAAGAGATGAGTACTATCAGCAGGGTCTGAAACTTACCTGATCCAGGCTCTTCTGTGCTGGCTGTAGCATAAAAGAAATCAAACTGAGCATCTCCAAGTAAAAAATTCAAACCATTCTGGCTGTAGGCAAACCCACATTTAGTGCTTGCTGCCTTCTATGGCTGCATGTAATTACCTCCTTCACTTGCTGAGCAAATGTGACCATTCTCAGCAGGTACAGTGTGACACCTTTACCTGTTTATGTGTGTGTGCAAGTCAGAACTGAGCAATTATTAAAGGCAGCCCAGCAGGCTCCAAGGAGATACTGCAGGCAGGATGGATACCTTTGAGTTTGTGGCATCATTTAGAGTCCCCCACTGCTGTGATGCAGCATAGATCTCCAAAACCGACTCCAGAAGAATTTTCTGTGGCATTTGAGACCTGGATTTTTACGGATTCAAAGGTATTTCTTAGTTAAACAGGCAGCACATTGTGCATTAGATATCTGAAAGCAGTGTCTCAGAGACCCAAACTAGGTCTGGTGAATTGAGTTCACCATTAAATGGAGAATTTACACTAAACAGATCCATCGTCCTGTTAAGGAACTCTCCTGTGTGACCTTTCAGATGTCCCTGCTGGGGGCCCAGTGGCACCACCCCAGACTGTCCCTGCTGGGACCAGAGTCCCTCTGCAGAGGCAGCTCCAGTAGTGACCCAGTGGTCCTCGTTTGGTCCCTGCACACCCCACACTCACACAGGATTCCTCACTGGCTCCAGCCCAGGTTTCCCACAGCCAAGTCCCAGATGTGCTCAGACTTGCTGAGCACCTGCCTGGCTCAGGGTTCAGAGAGCTGGAAGGGAGGAGTGCAGCCCTCACAGCCCCACCAGTGACAGCTGCAGCTTCTTCCCTGAGCTCAGCAGTGCTGGTTTTTCTATTCTGAGGGACTGTGAAACCAGCTAACAGCTCTGAATTCTTGTCCCCACTGAAATGGACTGGAAACTAAACAATCTGATAAATATTTATGCAGCAAGGCAGCTATGACAACCAGAGGAGATGGAATACTTTTTAAAGACTTTTATCGTGCTTATTGCTATTTGCTACTAAAAGCAGATATTTAAACGAACCTTTTACACAACAGCAGAGGCATCTCATGTAAAAGTTAAATATTTATTTCTAACAGTTAAATAGCTCCAGAGAATGAAAATTATTCCCTAGAGGAAAACAATTACATTTATTGAATAAACACTTCCTAAAAAGCACATAACTTCTTTGCCAACAAGAAGGAGATCCTGGTTTCTTTTCCACTGCTCCCATGGCCCTGTGCCTTCACAGAGCTAACGGCCTCTCATTCAGCAGAACGTTTCCAAGAGAGACTGCTTTTCTTTTTTGTAGTTGTGGCTGTCATTATTCTTCATTTGGAATAAATCCTTTTGCTCTGTCCAGCTTGTCCAGAACCTCACTATAAAGGCCAACCATCTGGAGAATATGAGCACCACAATTGTCAACAAGGATGGATAAAAATGCATCAATTCAACTAAGTGACAGAGAACAAAACCAAGGGAATAGGTGGGAGACTACCACCAGCTTCCAAACCTTAAATTTCAAACTGATGTAAAGATTTTTGGCACAGGTTTAAATACAATGGTTTAGAAAAAAAAGATCAGTGCAACCTAACAAAAGTGGTTTTATTTACAGTCATAAAGCATAGTTTATATCTGAATCTTGTATCAGTACATAAACTTATTCACCAAATCACAGACATTGGGAATTGATGTTGAGTGTGGGAAAGACTTCTTACTTTCAGCTCTTATTGTCTTAACTGATGCATTTAAAATGGTGTAGGAGTTACAGCCAACCCCTTGATTGCTCAGCTTGTACACAAGAGAATGAGTGGTGACAACAGCCAGGCTGAACTGGGTTGCAATCTAGACAGGAGCAGCAGCCAAAAGCTGAAAGAAAAAGTTTACTTCTGACAGAGTAAGAAGAAGTGTCATTGCAAAGTATCACCTACAAAGGTGCTAGCCTGGAAATTTCTCCTCATAGGAAGTGGCTAAGCTATACCTGAGAAGGTGAGCTTTACTGATTCTCTTCACACCGTCTTAAACCTTATAAATAAAGACATTAGATGATGCTAGAAACCAAGCTTGAAAGTATTCACATAACAGCTGATTTAAGTAAACTGGCACAGTACCTTGACTTTAGTTAAAGCAGGCAAAGGTACAAGGCTCTCCCATGGCCACAAACAGTCAGAAGTTTGTTTCCAGTCACCCATTTACATCACCCCTCCAGTAAAAGAGTGCTACGTTATTCTCTCTGTTGTTTATCAAAACTTTTCTGGCCTCACTTTGAGAAAATCTTTTAGCACCAGGCTCCCCCAAAATATTTAGATACCATGATTCTCCTGAAACTCTAAAGATCATCAGCAGTGGTTTCTTCACCCAGACCCACATCTCAAATTCAGGCCAGACATCCAATCTCACATCCTCAAATCCCGCTGTGTACACTTACATGGCCTTCATAGCTTTTCTTCAGAGATCCTAAGTGATTGAGGAAACGCATTCCCAATCCACACCACTGCTCAGCTTCCTTGTATTTACCAACAGTATACTGAAATATTCCTGTATTCCAGGCTCTTGTCATCAACCAAAGGATCTCCATCTCTGGGTAAGCATCCTGAGGTAGCAAATAAGCAGCAGCACCTCATCAGAAAACAATCTTCACCTCAAAACTGACAAGTCAAGGAGCTTAATTTTAGAGTAAGAAAACAGTTGGGTTTTTTCCGCCTAAGCAAAGGGAGAAAAAGCCCTCGCAAAAACCAAGGATATGGATTTTAATTTTTTTAAATGCAGTCCTAAATAGCCAAGACATTTCTTTTGAGGTAATTTCAGTGTATCTTTTACTGAAGAAACCTTAGCAGCTCCACATATAATACTATGTAATGCTAATTTTACTAATCATTCTCAGGCCGAGAATTTTTTTCAAACGTGCTCAGGATCATCTCCCAATCTCTTGGTTTCCTGTTCAACTTACTGTGCTGCTGACTACACTCAGAGCATCTTCAAAGTAGTCCCACACCTCCTGCAGAACACAGGTATCCAAGTCTGTCAATCCAGTCGGCAAAGAAATGTTAATCAAACTGTGTAAGCACTTGCTGAGGATTGAAAGAGAGCAAAAGAGGAAACATTAAATACCATGTGCACAAACAGTTTTTAGTATCAGGAGCACACTGAGTTATGTCTCTATGATTGTCAGACATGTCTACCTTGGTGTCTGCTACACTCATATTCCTGTAGCAGAAACATGCATTTTCATACTCAGATCTTATTCATACAAACTATGAAAAACCAGAGTCAAAATCAATTAGTACTTAATTATTTTCATTGCTGGTCTCTATAGTAACACAGAAGGAAAATCACAGTATTTTCTAGGGTGCTACATATGACAGCAAGAAAAAAGTACTTTTTCTAACTTCACCAACAAGAGCTACATAGACAGCATCCTCAGAAAATCAGTAACAAATACAGGGCTCAAAAACAGCTCTGTCATTCTCAGTGTGAAGTGAGAAAGAAAATACCAACAGTTGCCTTTGCCAAGTGCTTACTTCAAGGAACTTGGAAAGGATAAGTAACACATAAATATGCTAAATAAATCACATATGTACTATGTGGCATCACTACCTTACAACCCATAACTTTCTTCTCAACCCTTAATTTCTCTTCATTGTCTTTGAAATACCCAGATCACTACCATAGACTAACATTTGAAATAAACACCTTCCTCACAAGAAAAAACCAGAGACCTCTTCTGGATCCAATTATTATTTTCCTTCCTCAATAGATTAATTTATTGGAAACAGGACCGTACCAGAAAATAAGCCAAGTAAACAAACTGCAGTTAAAACATCTGTTAGGCAGTCATCCTTCAGAGGTACATTGGTTGGCCAGCAAGAAGTGGAACCCTGCATATAAAGTACAACCCACTTTTTTTAAAATTGTAGGCTTTATTCCCTGTCAGCATTTCCAGTCACAGGCTCATGGCAAAGCTATGTGATAACACTAACCTAAATTTCACAGCATCAATGACAGCCTGCTTTCTGTGAAGGTTTAGTGCACTCTTGAGAGCTTTCTTACACAGTACAGGATACCGAGCTGGAGACTCCATTGCTAATGCTTCAAAGTAAAAGAAAATAAAGAATAAAAGATAAATTACTGAAGTTGGACTTCAATCTCATAGGCCACTAAAATTTACTGCAGCATGTTGCCATATTCCTTGTGAAAAACAACTAAAAAAGATCTGCTTAATGGTCTGCTCACCAGAAACAAGCTGGTGTTTCTCTCCCTCTTTCTTACTAAGAACACCATCAGTGAGGACAAGGCAGAAGCACAGCAAATTTCATAATTCACTGCTGTTTACCTCCAGTGCAGTAATAGAAAAACACTCTGGTGGGGGGCACTGTCTAAAGAGTTTTGTTAGTCTCCTTGAACAGAAAAATCCAGATGGAAACCTTATGCAGGAGCAGGATTTCAGAACAGTGTTTCCAGGTGCTGGAGTGTACTCCCTCAGGGCACAGAGAACAGAAGGTGTTCATGCAATCCTACAGGACACTCGCCAAAGACTTGCCATGGTAGTTCTAAATGTTCCTCATCTTTCTTGGATCCTGCTCTAGATTCTCAAGCATGTTTTCATGACAAGGACTTTGTGATGAAAGTATGGCACAGTGTAGAGAAGTGCTATTTACAAATTGTCTATAAAAACTTCAGGTTGAAACTTTATCTTGGTAGCATAAATACAAAGCATCTATCCAAAGTCCATAACCCAAAACTTCTGTACTGGGGCATGAATCAGTGAGGGTCACTCTCTGGCCATTGCCAGTTTGGAGCATGTAAAGTTTATCTGAAAAACCCTTTCCAGGCTCACAAAGCTATATGAGTTTCTCAGGGTCTAGAAATGGAAAGATATCACAACTTTCTGTTTCATCATCCATGTCATCTGTCATTTCAAAACACAGCTCTCCTAACATTGCTGAGATCCTAAGCATCTTTGCTTCAGGACAAAATATATATGGTTAGACCCATTTTCTATAATCCTGGCCACCTCAAAAGAACAGGAAAGAGAAATGAAACCTTTTTTTTTTGTGACTTGAAGATCTATAAAAATCCTTACATGCAATGATTTCAAGTGTCTTGATCTCTATTTGTGGTTGCTCCCAAACTGACTCCATAAGATTGTGAAGTGTTGGGTCATTCAGTTTGGATCTTGCTTCAAATTCATAAAGCAGCAACAACGTGTCTGTTGGGTCTTTAGCAAAATCTCCTGCAGAAGAGACAGGATTGCCTGTATGTAATGATGAATTTTCTCAAAGCCATATATAGGGTGTACTATAAGGTATTTTTGCTTCCAACAGGCAGGAAAACCATCAAGGTACTCAGACTTAAGTACTCAACTTACTGTTAAGTAGAGCAAGTGTAATTTGCCATTCAAGGAATATCTAATGGAATTTTTCTACCAATATCCTACCAAGAAAAGTGAACCATGCATCTGCTAGGCTAACAGTCACTTAACACCTCAGCTTTTATCATATTGTCATCTACCTACTCCAACAACCTCCATCTGAGACAGGAATTCCACATGCTCTGTATTTTTCATCAATATTGTGACTAAGAGTTACAAGTGCTGAAAACAAACACTTTGTAGCTTACCTGTTAATTTCAGCACCTTCCATATCTCCTTGCATGTCTGAAGATGTTGAAGGGCCTGACTAAAAAACTCCGTCTATTTTACAAAATTAAGTAAGTTATTTTTGTCATAGTTTTAAAAGCAAAAGGAAAAATTATGTCAGGACTAACTATAAAATAAATTAAGAATCAGCCTATTTAATAAATCACCTATATCAGTTACTGGGGTTTGGGGATTTTTTTTCTGTTTTTCAAAGACCTCCTCATCTCAGACAAAGCCACTTCACACTGAAAGAACCATCCATGCTCCTATGGGACACAACTGTTTCAGCTCCCAAGAATAAAATAGTGCTATTGAGACTGACAAACCACTAAATGCCACAACACAAGTTGCTGTGCATTGCCTTCCACAGAATTTTCTACAATCACTCTATACCAGACTTCTGTACTTCCTTCACAACCTCTGTGTTTTCCTTAATCTTACCACAGTAAGCACAAAGTCCTCTTCCTCCCCCCCATAAACAGATGCATGCATAAAAACAAACAAAAAATAGTGAGTTTTATCACAACCACAGTGGTAACTGCTTTCAGCAACAGCAGTAATTGTCTTTCTGACTAAACCACATTTAGCAGCAGACTCCTTACAATATATATCTTGTAGATTGAAATTCCTCTCAGAAGATACTGCCATGACTCTTTATTGATACAAACCCATTCAAACATACTGAACTAATATGCAGAGATCCAACATTTACAATTGTCTGGAAACGTGCAATAATTCTAAGTAAATATGAAACATTCCCTTGCTTACATTCTCAATATCCCATTCTGACTGAAAAAACTAGGACTTCAAAATCAAAAGGAAAAACCAGTGCTACACTGGTATATCCAGAAATAGTTACCAGGCTTTGCCCTACCTGTTCTGAAGGTGTTACTTGCTGTCTTCCCATTTCCAGATCAACTGCAGCTGCCATTAACAGGCATGTCTTCTGAGCAATTAGAACAGATTTGTCAGAGGGACAAAACTGGGACAACTGACACCAAAAATAGGAAAAGGTAATGAGAATTTTACCCATATAAAGCAATTTGCTTGTGAACAGATGACTGCTGACCCTCCTCTATGACACTTGCAGGAATCAGTCATGAGTAGTATATATTCATATTGTAATTTTACTTGTACAATTACACAAAAGAATTATTTAAATATAAAGTGTAAAGCAGAGTTGGAGCCCCCTCTCTACAAGCACATACAAAACTGACAGTGTTGGTAGAAGTCCTGCATAAAGATTAGGACTCAAGGACTTAATGTTTGTATTACTGATACAGTTTACAAACATCTGAATCCATTTATTTTAGAAATTTCACATTGAAGTCTTAAGTTTATTACATTCTTAAGAAACAGAATGTGAAGTATGACAATAATGCATGCATTTTATATTACAAGTCAATCTCCTTGTGACAAAAATGCTCCATCTTCAGAGCATACAAGCCTGTCTCCATGGAGATACCCAAACCATGGATGTGACTTCTAGAAGAACTAGACAGATGAAAATATTCCTCAATTAGAAACACTATTAGCAACAGTAAATACCTTGAAAGACAGTACAAAAAAATCCCTCATCTTTTCAGGGCTGTCCTTGAACTGTACAGCTAAGTTCCAAGCTAACAAAGACATAAAAATAAAGACTAGAATAAAAATCTGCACTGCTACATGTGTGCCCATCTAATCTCTAGCAATAAGTAGTTCACATCCTACAATTCTATTTCTGAACCAATATGTCATCAACAGCTTATTTAACAACAGCAAGAAATACTGTTACTAGTGATTTGTTAAGATAGCCAATTCATGCTTTCAAATTTTGCCTTGATAATTTCACCACAACCAAGAGCCCATTCTAGCACAGACCCTGCCAACAAAAGCATGAACTGGGAAAAACATTTTCTTACATTACTTAGCAAAGCTAGCACATGAGTGCAAGTGTTGAACAGTATTCCTAAGACAAACAAAAAAGGAAAAGGAAAAAAATCCCACAACACCTTGAACCATTCCTCATTTTACCCCAGCAAGGTCAACTACGTGGCAATTCAGCACACAATTCTGAGTAATAAATGGATAAGCATCTAAAGGCAATCAAATTATTTATGCATGAGAGCTTGACCCAATTAAATGTTTAGATTCTACAGCAACTTTCACATTAATTTATTCTATAGGACACGTTTTCGCAGTCTCTGAATTGTTTATCCTGAGTGAGAATGCTGCCTTTGAAAGGTCATGATTCCATTCATGCTCACGTCACTCCCCTTCCCTTGCTACTCTTTCTTGGAGCACAGTTACACTGTGAGCATGTGTGCAAAAGCAGATATCTTCTGATACTGATTGTAATTGTTTTCTCTCCTGTATGCTCTGACAGAAGCAAGAATCTGAAAAATTGGTTCAACTTGTTACCCTATGCTTATAGTTTTATTTATAGAGAGCCAATGCACTAATCCTTTACCAAAACAGTGTAACAAAGACTACAAAATGAGGATTCAGAGACAATACTATGCATAAATCTTAGGGCAGCCCCATGGGAGCTGCATTTCCCACTAGAAACCACTTTATCTGTGACGGTATTTGCTGTTCAAATCACACAGTCCGTAGTTCAAGGCAAACTCCAGGGCTGCTGATTTAAAGGACCAATAAAGACAGAGGAGATACAGTTTAGATTTTGAGAGAGCAACCTACCAACTTTTCTAAACCAGTGAGCTTCAAGGATCTTCATGTCCCCTGTAAATTTCTCTTCGGTAAAAGACTCAGCAAGTTTCTTGTGAGCTGCAGAAAACATATAATTCAATACTGAAGTACCACTTTTGGAGCAGAATAAAAACATTTTCAAGCCAAACCCCTACACTACAAAACAGAGGTTTCCAAAACACCCATGTAACTCCTGATGAAGACCTATTCTCATAACTTAAATCTAATATTCTTCAGAAAGCCCTGTAAAAAACAGCAAAAGGTGCCTCAAACAGCATTTTAGAGAAGATGCCAACAAGTACTGCTCTTCTAAGTTTACTGACATTGAAGCCTGATGCAGAGGAGTGTTAGTTGATTTCAGAAGAAGGGGGTTTAAATTTAATTACAAGTTTGAGGCCTTTCTTCTAGGAACCTTTTATTGATTTTATTTTCTCTTAAATCTCTTCTACTTGCAGCAGGACTGCAAGGTTTTGATAGCAAAAACCTGTGGCACAGAGAGCCAACTTCACAATACTATTGAATCTCCAGCTTTAGGTTTCATTGATTTCACTGGGAAGTTGAGAGACTGAACTGAAATAAGGAGTCTAAATATTTCATTGGTATGAATCTAATCATAAAATGTTTACATATGGAAGAACTCCATAAAATGCAAATAAAACAAAAACATACCTAAGTTCAAGTAAGTCAGCATTGAGTTGATATCTTCATCTCTAGAATGGATAAAAAATTTAGTTTTAGAAAATGGATTAATTTTTTTCAACAGAACACATTATTTATGTTGGAATATATTTTCCCTGTTATGGATAGATGCACTCTTCTCACTCATAACTTTGGAAAGATATCCCACTAGTGTCAAAGTTACAGAGATTAACTCACAACCTCCATTCAAAAATACCTAACAGGCATATGCATTAATAAAAGAAGGTGGCAAAGAGCAAATATTTAAAGAAAAGTTTATACAAGTTGAAAATATATTCCTATGTGATGTCATTAGGCCAAGCTAGGAAGTCATCTGGGTAAACTTTTACCAGCATAGAAAATAATCTCTTGATTACTCTACAAGAAAAAAAGCCCAGAAAGAAAACATTACACCATTTGAACAACATATCCACCATAAGAAAATGGTTTTCGAAATAGACCCACCTTTTCTCTGCATTTTCTGCCAAGACTTTTGATAACATCAGACGGACCAAACATCTAAACATGAGAAAAACAAGCAATGAAGAAACAAGATTTTTTTCCACTGGTGTACTTTGCCCTAATTTTCCTGAAAGGATCCCACTTTTCTTCCTTATGCTTCTCCTTGTAAGTATATTGAATTCTTACTTTAAGGCTGAAAATAATTGTCGGCAGTCTTGTAAATGTTCAGACAAATACTCCAAAGCTTTGATAGCCACAATTTGCTGGTCATTCTGAAAAGAATTAAAACATGTTTTGTATATACTGCACTACCTCAGTTACCACAAAAATATCCAAACCAAAACAACAAAAACCCAAACAAAAACAAACCCCAAAGCAACCACATACTTCAAGTCTGTGCAGTCCAGTAGCAGGAAAATGAACAAAGGACTATGCACAGAATTGCCTGGGAGTGCAGAGAAAGCTCTAAGGAGAGATCATATGATTCCCTGCACAAAGAGCCTGTGGCAAGAGCAGGACTAGTACAGGTTGGTAAGGCTTTCATGCCTCACAGGGCTGGAAACAAAGCCCTGATAGCTGAAATGCAATCAGCCAGTTCAGACAGCGCTCAGGCCACCAACCAAGAGGCAAACAGGAGGGACAAAGGACTTTCATCCTGAATTTATGTGTATTTTATACACAGCTTCCCCCTCTCACATCAAAGATCAATTCCCAGAGGCAGAAGAAGAATGTGACTTTTTGCTAAGGAGAATTTTACAGAAATACACAATGTAATATCCAGATGCTGTAACTCAGAATTCTTTATTTTTCTGTCGAAATTTTTTAAGATATCACTTCTTTCTACGTGAAAATAATTTCTACTTTGCATTACACAACACATTTGAGTGAGACCTTTGTTGTGGTCTATGAAATCCTAAGAAATCCGTGAAATACAGAGAAATATTAAAACTAGGCCAGGTTAAAGAGGTTAAAGCTGTCCTACTTATATTAATATTAATAAAGCAAAGTAAAGACATTTACAATTTATAAATTGTAATGTTTTACAGCATTATCTGCTCTACCTCTAAAGCAATTTGGGCAGCTAAACTGAAGAGGTTGCTGACTGTATTTTTATCCACTCTCAGCTTGTCTTCATGTTCTGATGGCTTTTCTGCTAGCTTCCCCATTTCAATAACTGCTTCCATTGCTGAAAGAGATAGAGGGAAAAAACAACATTTTTATAGAAGCAATTGGAAGGTGGAAAGTTCTACTGTTTTAATGATTTATGAAAGGCTATAATTTATTTTTTATTTTTAATGAGAAGCCAAGACAAGAAAACCTGACCATACCAGCACTTCTCCACAAATATACATTTCTTCCTAGGGAGGCGCCAGAAAGCCTTCCAAGCTACTTATCTAAGGAAACAAAGATGCCATACAAATGATACTCATCTCACATCCTTAATTTTGTGCTGCTAAGTAACTGTTTGTTACCAAAGACAGAAGACTTTCTCTAATACTTTGTCTGGGCATCATTCCAAGCTCCCACATCTTGGCTTATGCTAAGGGTGCCACTGCTTTTATGTTCACACTGTGCTGTGTTTCCCACTCTATATTATGTGAACAAATTATGCTGTCAATAGAAGTTGTATAGAGAATAATTAAATGGCAGAGAACTCATTGGAAAATAAGCTCTGCACATTACTCTGTATTCTAAGTAACTATAGATTGTATTTCTCAATTTTCATTACTTGAGCTAAGATCCTCATTAAAATATGAAATGGTAGGTTATTATAAAGCAGAAAGAGACTACAGAGATACAACATTCTGTACATCATCTCAATAATTTATGTATTTTTTGGTAACTTCAGGCTCCATCTGTCCAGAGAAATTAAGGGTAGCAATAATGGTCCCCTTAAGGTTCATATTGTATATGCATACTAAAAACTATAGAATGCTTCTCACCCTGGGACGCTAAAATAGCTTCTGCCCATGGGAGAATTATCCTCCCTAGCCAGAAGCTCCATCCAAATAAAATCAAATACAGCAATGCACTCTGCCTCTTACATACTGTGTGAAAAAAAATAAAAAATAAAAAATAAAAATTAAAAATCACCCTTTTACAACTTAAATCACTTTCATTTCAGTCATTTCAGTAATTTTCAATGACTTTAGGGACCCTTCTTCTAGCTACCCTCCATTGTGTCTTTCTCAAGATTAACAGTCCAAAGCTTAGTGGCACTTCTTGTAGTGGACCCTTTAGCTTCCAAGCTGTACCTTTATCAGTATTGTTCTCCATCACTGCAATCTTATAGACACTGAATTTAGTAAAGATGCTGTTTGGATCACACCTCTCTGCTTGTTTAACTGCCTCTTTAGCCTATTCACAGAAGAGATTAAAGGAAATCAGTACAACATCGCCTTGAAATTAGTATATAATTTGCAATAGAAAAGAAATAAAAAGATATGCAAAATGTTAATGGTTATGTTGTTGATATTTATAGAATAACTCAAGATGTTTGACAGGGCAACATCTGCCCTTGAAACAAAAGTGATGAGACCAGAAGACAGCAGCAAAGGCTGACCAGAAATGAAAGAGCCAATTCCTCGAAAACAAAAGCAGTGCAAATAAAGACATAACTATGTCTACATATGTACTAAATATACCTTGTCAACTTGTTTCAGATGAAGATAGCAAGAAGCCATGTTCCTCTGCAGCTTAGCCAAGTTCTGATCTATCTGCCCAGGTGTATAGAAGCTGACAGAATAATTGTACCAGTGAAGGGCTTCAGAATAGCTTTTCTCCTAGAAAATAAAAAAATAAAATAAGACTCAAACAAATATGACTATATTTCGGTAATTAAACTGCTTACGTCTTTCCAATTTTCATTTTTTTTTAAAAAGGTCATAGCAAATGAAAGATTTAGATAGTCAAGTATATTCTTGACCTTCAGGTTGTTCCAGGTACAGAATCCAACCCTTTCCTTTGTTAGATTTCATACAGCTGGTGAGTGTCCAGCCCTCTAATTTATCTAGACACTGTGAGGGACAGTATGCAAAGCTTTACTGAAATCCAAAGAGATGACATCAACTGGCTTCAGCTGATCAACAAGGTGAATGACCTTGTCCTAAAATGGAAATCAAGTTTGACAAGCAGGACTTCCCCCTCATGGACTAGTGCTGGCTGTGACCAATGACTGCATTGTCCTTCAGGTGTTTTTCAATAACTCCCAGAATAATCTCCATAGTTTTACCAGGCACTGAAGTGAGACTGACAAGCCTGTAGTTTCCAGGGTTGTCCTTCTTGCCCTTCTTGAAAACTGGGATAACTTTTGCCAGCTTGCAGCCAACTGGGACATCTCCAGATTCCCAAGACCATTCAAAAATCATTAAGAAGCCTCACAATGACACTGGACAGTTCTTTGACTACTCTTGGACGAATCCCTTCAGGCCCCATAGCCATACAGGAACCAGCTGGAGCAGGAATTCTTGTGTTAACTGTTCCCATGCACAAACCTTAAGATAAGGCTACCTGAAACTTGATTTTGTAATTGAAAGCAGCACCCAGATGGACGAAAATAGAACTAGTGCCAGCTGGAACAAGGCTCTTAGTAACAGTTTGCACTCTAACCAAAAATAGACATATCAAAGAGGTCAGAAAAAGATTTTCATTTTCACTGATATAAATAAGAACACTACTATTTGCTCCCAAACCTCATAATGTTTGGCAGCTCTGTCCCACAAGATGATGTGCAGCTGATTCAAGGCTTCAGGCAACAGCTGTTTCCCAGTATAATGACCTGAAAAGATACCACAAATCATCACTTTACAAGAACTTTAGGAAACGCACTGAGAAGCATCTATTCTACAGCCTGCAACAAAGAAACAGGGACACAGCAATAGTTTCAGCTAGGAGCCAGTGTTTCCTATCCTGTTTAGGAAAAAACCCCCAAACCTACCAATCAACCAAGCAAAACCCAAAAAAACCCAGTGGGTAAGAGAAAAATATTTTCGTGCTTGAACAATGTAAATGTAGCTCTTGCTCATAGCCTGATGCAACATGAAAAAGGATTTGTTTTACTGCAGATCTGGCAGTCAAAAAGTACTACAGTGCTACAGGTGCAACAGACCTGAAAAACAAACTGTTATCCAGCTGCTCAAACAAGGATATGGAACCTATCTTATACTGAAAAACAAAAATAAATTGGGCTGGATAGACAAAGTATTAACATTACACAGAACTCCTGGTTAATGTTTCTAATCCCACATGTATCAGTCAAACACAGACTACACTAAGAAGGAGGAATTGGTATAGCAAACTAATTTAACCCTGAGCTTGATCCTGAGTGTTGTTCAATATGGAAGTTGAGAGTTGCCAAGTAGAAGAAACATAATGGAAAACAGACACAGAGAAAGAAAAATGAGAATAAGCAAAAAAAGTGAAAATTAGAATGCAAGACCTTAGCCAACTACATCCAGCTTTCAGTAAATAGCAGTAAAAGATGGATACAGACCTATAATAACTTCTTCAATCTTTTGCTTAGCGAGCAGCTCCCTCTTATTCTGCAACAGGAACTCGATGTGGAGCAGGGTAATTTTTCCAAGGTCAGGTGAAGATTCAAATCGTTCAGGAACAGATTTCAGAAAATCAAAACCAACTGATTCCCTATTCATAGAGATGCATTTTTAAGAGGCTGCACCAGAAGAGCTGTTAATTTTCCATTCTAGAGATTAACATATTCACACTATACAGCATGTTTGTCATTCAATCACACCGACAGAATGAATCAAGGTATGAATTTGTTACAGTTCATCTATTCAATGGCAGCTTCCTCTTACCACATGCTTCTTCCACTGTATTCAAAAGAGTTTATTCTTCACATTTGCATCAAGATACAAGCATATACATACATAATCATGATGGAGGACTTAAGAGGGTAAAATTTCATGCCTCAATTTATTTTGCAGTAACTTGTTATCCTTCTACTGTTTTTCCCAATAATGATTCTAGGGCTCCAAAGTCATTCTGATGGTTGGTTAGAAGATGTCAGTCTGATGATTCCAGACATATATTAAAACTACATAAGGAATCTTAATCATTCCAAAGCAGGTCTACAGCACTGCAAATTGCCACTACACTTATTTCACACCCTGTTCTGTTGCTGCCATAATCAGGATCTCCTTGATAAAAAGAACAGGCTCCCTCTCAAAACCTTTCACCTCACCTCCATGAGCTTTTATTTGAAATAAAGCTTCATTGCATAATAGATGTTCTTTGCTTATAGAAAAACAACTCCAAACATTGTGTTTACCCCACTTAGAGATGCTTTCATACCTTCCATGCTCCAGCAGCAGTTTGGCAGTATTCAAACAGAAGTCTAAAGACATCTCAAGGTGCATGAATTCTGCAAGAGCTAGACAGAACACAAAGCACTTGAGATTATATAATCAACTTAGACACTTAATTGCTCAATTTACCACTTATCTCTTAAAGCTTATTTGAAAGCCAGAAACAAAACTGAAAAAAAAAAAAAAAACAGCAATTCTATAACAGATCTACAACAAATGGAAGAATAATATCTATTTTGCTTTGACTTTCCTTTGACTGTACAGTTAATGCAGTACTACAGAAAGGTGACAGACTGATAGTTCTGGAGTTCCAGTCCTCTCTCTCTTTAAACAGGAACAGCATAGGCTTTAGTAGAACAATTTTTTTGCCTCAAGCTGCCTTCTATCAAAATATCTCATCCTTATCCAGCAGGAACAACCTACCACTGAGGTTAGTGCTCAGGCTGTGTGGTATCACATTGCAACGGGAACTACTTCAGCATAATACCCTTAGCATCAGCTATCAGATTGACTGCTGCTGATAAGCAGGTATCAGTTTTACACCACTCAGATAAAGTTTTAAAATTGTTATTCTGTGCTGAACGGTCTATAACAAAATAGATACACTTGTAGCTTGGATGAGATTAGAGAAGGAATACACAGGGACATGACTGTAACAGCTGTTAAGAGAAACATTTCTAAGGCAGCTGATACAAGTGCACAACAAGATTTTTGTAAAATACCTAAAATTTAGCAGGAATCTTCACTCAAAAGACAAAGAAGTTGCAGTACATGGACACAACACTTCTCTGCCAGCCATACAAGAAAAGAGACATCCACTCATTAATAAACTTGCTTGAAAAACTGATTGGAGGCTTAGTGTTACTAAACAATAGCCAAGTGTGTTTTGATAGGCAACTCTATGGTTTCACAATTCAAACTGCAGAACACAAGTCAGCTACTGTATGTTTATTTAAGACTGTAAGTTTTAAATAACTGGCTGCTTGAAATCTGGCTGAAAGTCTGCAGAGGCAATGTAGAGTTACCATTTCTGTTAGTCTGGCAGCATTCAAACCCCTCAGCTCTCTGAAAGAAACTCCTTTTCACATCCTACATTTCTCAGATTATTCATTACACATCTGATGCTTTCCAACCATGAAAAGTACAAAGCCTCTCTTCCTTACAATTTTTTTATTTATGAAAATAAATTTCTCTGACATATTAATTATCCTTCCTATATTTAAGTCTCCCCAAAAACTTTATTATCCTTTCATTTCATAGCAGAATCAGTTCTGTTCAAGTGATAAATGTGAGGAAAAAGGAGAAATAGCTAATAGCTAATGCAGATTCTGCCAATAACACAATATTTTTTACCTATGTATGACACAAGCAGTCTCCTTGTGCAATATGACCTCACTATGAAACCTAGGGAGAGCTGTGATACCTGAGTTGATATCTTCATCTGATGCTCCACTCTTAAGAAGAATTTTAACTTTCAAAAAAAACCCCGCTGGATGCAAATTCTCCTGCACAATATAAAGCAATACATTATTTGGACAGCTCTTTGTAGAACACAGATCCTGTGAGACTACAGCACATTCATAATACAGACAAATATTAAGGAATCATATACTCCCCACTGTAATCTTCAGCTCCATTTTAATGACTGAAGCAAGTGGTAGGCAACTAATGCAATAATTTCTTCCTAAATGCAATGTGCATCCTTTTTTTTCTTACACTGCCAAAAGACCACAAGGATAAGGAAAGCAAAAGATGTAAAATTCTCATTTTGTCGTGGCCCATTTTTGATGCTTTTAAATAGAATCTGAACATTACTGAATGACAGAAACATTTCCTCCTTTTCTATGTGTGAATCAGCTGGATTAATCTAGAATTAATATGAGCAGATTCAAAGTAGTTAATAAAAAGAAGAAATTCAGGGGGCAACAACAGTAGGAGCAGTTGGAAACATTGAGGACTGTATACTAAAGCTCTCACTAAAACAGTGCATATTTCAGGTTCTAGAATCAACATTTTCTTCTGGTTTTCAATACCCTCACACAATATCAAAACTACATTATCAAAAATTATAATAAAAACACTTTCTGCCTCAAAAAGCTTTGCAAAAGTAAACAATAAAAGAGGACAAAAGGCTTAGATACTCTAGTAGCACATTATTTGCATGACTAAAACACACTGCCTTTTATCCTGATCTCATGAGCATGCGCATTATGATCTGTCTGTATATTCAGGCAGCATGCAGAAACTGAATTTCAGCTTCCATTTAAACAAAATTTCATACTTAAAACTTGCTTTGTACAAAACAGAAAATTAATTTTTTTTAATGATCAACCAAAGGCAAATAGGAATTTTTCAGATTTCATTTACTCCACACTGACCTGAATAGATAGAAGCACAAAATTAATTCAAGTCTCCATGGGAAAAAGAATTTGTAAAGGATCAAGAGACCTCACTGTAATGGCTGCTCAGAGATATATGAATTTCCTTCAGGGTAGCTGGTATGTTTAAACACCTAATTTTTAAGGTCTGATTGCGTGACTCTGCCTGGGTGTTCCTTTGGGGATCCCCCAGATAATGAGGTAACAGAAATGATTTTATTCTTTTTGCTTTAGCTATGGCTTTGTGGTTGTCCCAGCTGCCTGCGTCAACTCCCACATCTGAGAAATTGTAGTCACACTGTCATCAAAGGACCTTACTATTAACACATAGGAGGCAGGAGGACAGTTCTACTTCTACATGCGAAAAAGTATTTCACTACAAAAAATAAAAATAGCTGGGAACACCGAAACATCCATAGGAGCATGGAAACATAAAGCAAACACACCTCAATTTGTTGTCCCAGATAATACACCAGTGATTAATGTGGTCCATATTATCGTGTCAACAAATGCTTGAGTTTCACCTATTGCAATATTTAAATAGAGCAAAAATTACTACCTGATTTGCCAAGCTTATGGCTTTCAATGCTTTGTCTAGGTACAGACTGCAATCCCACTCAAAATAGGTCGTAGCTAACAATCGCAGCACTTTAGCCTGGGAACAAAAAATAGCCACACATAAACATACATATGAACACAAAAGACTTAAATTCTAAGGTCATGAAAAACAAAAGTTCTTTGAGTCCAAAAAATTCCTGCCTGGTATCAGACATAAAGTGATTTCTCATTTCTGAAATATATCCAGTCTGGAAGCAATGCAGCACACACAGGACACCAATCAACTAGAATTCAGAGAAAAACAGAAGGGTTGAAAGAAAAATCAAATAACTAGAAAAAAAAAAAAAGGAGGAAGAAATTGAAATAACAGGAGGTACACACTTCACAGAAGAAAACAAACAAGCAAAAAAGCAGGACAAAGACCCACATGATGATGGACTTCAAATATATAAATTATTTACATAAAGAGGATGAGATTAAAATCTTCATATCCGCAGTCAGAAGAAGAACAATAAATTGACTTCAGAATGAGACAGAGAAACATCCATCACAAATGACACAGCTCAACTGATGATGTATTGAAAGAGAATAGGAATGGAAGAAGAGATAGCTTTTCAGGATCCACTTCAGCCTTACTTTCTACACTTTGATTTCTGTGAAATAGTAGAATCAAATGTGATTCAAAGGTGCTCATCAGTGACTGATGCTCATAACAACTGAACTTGAAACTCTGCCAAACTTCATAGCAGACTACTAAAAAGGAGACCAAGACATCACTGGGCAGGTTTACACAAAAAAGGCAGATAATACAGTGGAGTCAGTTCAAAAAAATCCTCCTATTTGTAAATAGAAATTTCTCTATTTCTTACCTGCATTTCTTTGCCAACAGAATATTTCATGTCCATCTTCCCAATGTCATAACTCTGGCTATCAATGATAAATGAAAGTTAAACAGGATGACAGAGATAAATTCAGTCAGTCTTCAGATCCTGATCCTTTCCCACTTCCTAAGCAGTTAAAAACCACATAAATCACACAAACTAATCTCAGTAGTCACTTTTACTAGAGAACAGAAAACTTTGGGTTCTTTCTACCTTTATATTAAAAATTGTACTCAATCACTTTCTTCAACCTGTTGCAGCACATTCTGTAACCTCTTCTATTCAAATATTTCAGTAGGTTTTATCAATTAATTTATCAATTATCAATCAGAGATTTTGAAGAAACAACTGTTTCCATTCTCACCTAACACATAATATGGTAATACACAAAATCTATACATGACTGGTCTCCAGACCACAGCACATGAATAGCAAAGACAGAACCTGTAACTCATGATTCCCCATTCTTCTTCTAAAAGTTAAATGGCAGAACAAAGAACCACCCAGGAGAAAACACAGTGGTAATTCCAAGAAAACAGATTTGATTACAAATGCTGTGAATGAAGAACTGTTAGAAAGAAAAACAGTAACTGGGCTCTTGTTTTCTAAGCTAATATATTCTCAGACCAGGGAAATCTTAACCCACTAGATGGAGCCACACTCTTTCTCCAGATTATTATCTGCACTTTGCAAAGCTTTATTTCCTCCTCAAATTTTGTCATCAGGAGTCAGTATTTAATTTTCCACAAGAATAAAATAGAAAATAATCTCCAAAGCACCAGCTGTAACTAATTCTGAGCATTTCTACAAATCCTCTTTGACAACATACATGACCATAATGATTTTGAATTTGATCTGTTGCCCTTAGTTTTCTTCTAACTATTTAAAAGAACAAGAAGACATAAACACAAATTTTCTGTGTTGAGGCTGTGTAGAAAGGCATGAGGATATTCTTCCTGATAGCCTACATTTCCTCGCCCTTAGTGAGGATCCAAATAACAACAGTTATTTGGATCCTACCCAAATCATCTCTACCCATTCCTTTTTCACCTTGATGTTTGTGCCTTTCATCAGTCAAGGACTCTTCAGAAAACTAATCTCTTTGGAGGAAGTGCTAGGGAGAGAATTGGCAAGAACCACTGGAAGATGACTTTCATTTTAGTGGCATGAAATCCATGTGGAAAAACATATATAGATTTTAGGCAATAGTGTACAACCATGACAAAGTATTTGCTCAGATAATTTGGTTCAGCTAAAATCTTGTATCCTCACATTTTTAATGAGGCCTCTACTTTCTCATGCTCCCCCTCTCCTTCACACGTTTTTACATCTCAAAAGCAGGGATTTGTTTATTGATTTTTGCACATTACCTGAGCCAGAAGGAGCTCTGTTCATACCTCTTCCATTCATAGGTTTCCACTCCAAAATTGTAACAGAGGATTGACAGGTAACAGGTCTGCAATAAAAGACCCCTGCTTCTAAAATGTTCTTGTAAAACACCATTAGATCTATAGCACTCCAGTCTCAGGTTCTTTAAAATGCGTTTTACTTTCAAGATATATCCACTGTTATCACATCTGGCCTTTTGCAAGAGGATACTGAAGATGACTAAAATGGAATCATTAATTGGGTGGGAAAGTGAAGTATCATTGAGCAGTCCAGGACACTCAAAACAGCAGGATTTTTGAAACACATGAGGAACACAGAGTTCCTCAATAAATCATATTGAAAGCACTAGAACTGTGTAAATTAAACAATAAAAAATAAAATTTGAGAGGAAAGACTGTAATACTATAACCTTTTTTTTTAAATAACAGAAAGTTTTACATAATTAAGTGAAGAGGACTCTACCCATTTCATGGCAGGCTTCTTTGCAGTGTTTCTCTCTGAGGTTAAAAAAGGATTACAAGTTTTAGAAGAAAATTGCTTTTGAATGGTTGGTTATTCAGTGCTTTATCAGTCAGCCCTGACAACATCAGTTCATAACAACTTGCCTTTCCTTTGAAATGATTTGCAGCTGTCGTATGTCATCCAAAGAAGAGACAAAAAAGTCATTTTATATGCTAGCAGGCTGCCAATATTTACATCCATTTTGCCTCTGCAGTATTTTTTTTTCCCAAATATAAATGACGCTTTTTGCAAGGGGCTGCAGATTTCAAATTCTCAGACAAAAACGAGAAGCGTAGCACAATATCTTGCTTCAAATTTATTTTTTTTTGCAATCCAGAGGCAAAAGCACTGACTAGGTATCTGCACAAACACAAAAGAGGTCACTCTCAGATGTGAAACCTTATTTTTTGCAGGTTCATTTGTGAATGTTTTCTTTCCAGGAGAGAAAGTTTCCTTGAGCTTTGGTTCATAGACTACCGATGAGCACAATCATCTCCAGCTGATCTCTGGTATCACACAACACAACAATCTTCCTGTGATACTCTCCAGGGACTCTCTGGTACAAAGGGAGCCTGGAAGAGTTTAGGATTGAGAGCTACCCAGCAGTGCAAAAGTTTTGGATTCACGCAGCAATCACTAGCTCTTTCCATTTTCCTCCTTTTTTAAATACCACTCTTTAAATCAGAAGTAAATTTCATCTCTCTCATGACCAGAAAAATTTACCTTGTCTGCATCAGTGCTCCTGGTTTGTGAAGAGCTTTTATCACAAGTTTAATATTATTTAATGAAGGAGTTCAAGCAGAAAGAATTAAATTAATTTAGAATTAAATGAGGAACAGGAATGCAAAGATCCCAGTGAACATTTTCAACAGTAAGAAGTTCTGCTGTTATGATTCAAATCAAAGCTAGACCCCTGCAACTTAGTCACCCAAATGCACTTGAACAAGGCCTGCAGAAGACAAAAAGCAATGTAAAATCAGTTGGAGTTTAACTGGTTAACAACACAAACTCCAACCATGTTTCTCATATTTTTCTTTGAGAATTTGCATCTTCCTCTTTGAATTTTATTACCTGTACCAGAGAGACAGGAACAAAATGTTTCCTAAATATTGTGAAAACATGTAAGCAAATGAAAATAAACATCAGGAAATTTATTCTGATATAAATATAATAAACTTTTATCTTTGCAAACAAAAAAATAATCTGCATATGATAGTTTGTTTTCTCTGTGAGACAAGAACTACAAAAACCACAATTTAGTGCAATGGGAACCCTCCATTCATAGCTCTACAGTTTCATGAAGATGAAGATTAATACTGATGGTAGTAACAGACTTGCATATGAAAAACTTTGTAACTCAGCTCTTCTCTTGTCCCATCTGTCCCCAGACAAATGTTCACATGGGTCCAAGATGCAATACACAAGATCAAGATGTAAAATGCAGCTGTTTCTGTAGCGAGTAGGTGGTATACTCAAATTCTAAATTTCAATTTAGAAATCTTTTTGCCTTGCTTGCTGATTTATCTTCTCATTGTTCAGGAAGAGTTTATCATTCTATTTCAAGTTCTAATCTAAGAGAAGCAATAAAAAAACGCACTTGGAAAAAAAACTCTGCTGTTTCCATGCAAAATTTTTTGCAAAATCTCAAAGAGGCAACCAGCCACGGAAGAGATCTTCAGCTCAGAGTACTTTTCAAAATTTTATATGGCACATGTCATTTCTTAACATATAGAGAGGAAAGTAGGTTCTCAAAGTTTGGAATGATAAAGAAGGGAAGATTTCACTTACTTCTTTTGGCAATTTCATCAACATATCTTTGCAGCGCTGCACGCACGTCACTGCTTTCTGAAAATCCCCTTGAGCAACTGCCTGAGAAAGCAGCAGAGCATGCCAACAAACTGTTAGTGTGCAAGTGGTCTTTAAAATTCACCAGAAACCTCATTCTTTAAAATAGAACTTGGGTTTTTCACATGCAGTAAAGCTAGGTTTGGGATTAGGTATCTGACCTTACAGTGCTATAATAATTCTGTCTATTTCTCCATACTGCCAGATAATATAGAGATCCAGAAAATCACTGCAGTCCTTAGGTAGTGTGCAAAGGCCAGAGACATAGGACAAGATCATTCACACATTAAGATGACTCAACAGATCAGCAAAATTTATATCACCTCTCCTTTTGTCTCCATGATGAAATTAAAAATATGGGCCATTGCTTTGTCCTGTTTAGGGCAGCTCCTGAGAATTTTGGAGACAGCACTTCCCTTCTAGATACTGAGGTCAGTGTGATCAACAAACACAAGAAACTACATTCTTTGTACTTGCACTCCTATGTCTGTAATACTCTGTAGGACTGATAGAGTTCTCAGACGCTTCAGTCAGGCAAAACATTTCCTGTCAAAACCTAGAATTTCTAAATTGCATACCTTAAATTATAATTATTTGTCTTGTTCTCCAGTCAAGCACAGGACACTGTTGGAATCCACCCATTTATGATTCATACATGTAGCTGTTTATTTTATAAACAACCATGATAGCCAAATCATAAAGCAACAAATCTGAACTAGAAGATATAAACACCACTGAAAGAATGACTGCAATAAATGAGGGAAATTAAAAATCATTAAATGATTGCAACACTTAATGAAAATATGAGATCTGCTATCTTACACCGAAGTGAAGGAAATCTATCCCTCAGCAAGTCCTCAATGCCAAGCATTCAGGTATCTAATAACTGGGTTAGAATTTCCCTCTATACCTCTAGTGACTTACAAAGAAAACTGAGAACACATACTGATTCAGCTTGGTAAGAGAGTACTTTGAAAAGGCTCTTCTCCACATCAGCTCTGTGTACTTGAATATCTGCTTCACTCTCACTCCCCTTCCGTAACTTCGCATACAGCTTTTCTATACTCTGGAAAACAAAGTGCAGGCATCACCCACAGAACTTACAAAAAAGTGTGTATGCAAGAAACCAAAACTGGGAAAGAACTTACACTCATGGCATTCTCTAGAAATCCATCTGCAAGACCAGCTTTTCCAATATCTATCCATCCTTTCCCAGTTTTCATAGACATCTGAAGGAGGAAATGGTCTTTTGTGAAAATGCAGTCACTTTCAAGAACAGCAAGAACAGTAAGATCTCATGTCATTGTTGCACATATCTAACACAGGACAAGGGTATTTAAACTCTGCAATTTCTGACCAGCAACTCTCACTTCTGAATGAATACTCAGACACATCATAAGACTTATGGTGGCCTACTAGACAATATTATAAGACACTGAAATAAATTAATCTCCTGCTCATAACATATTTTACCCTATGAGAGGATGTGGTGGTAACCACACTGTCCACACATTCCTAGCTCCAATGGCTCAGCAAGGTATCCCTCTAAGATACAGGTCCCTCTTCAGCACGTACTTTGTTTTCTTAGAAGGGAAAAAATGGGATCATCAATCTTATCTTTCCTTAAGTGATGAGAAGAGACAGTCAGCAATACCTCTGCCAAAACACCAGCTATCCTTCCAAAACTAGACATATATTTCACTCCCTTTCCAAAGCAAATGTAATAAGATTTGAAGAATTCCCTGGGGGATCAACTGTATTTCATTACTCACCCACAAATAGCCTTACCAAAATCTGTCTTCGAATAGTTCCCTCTGGAGGATCGCTGCCTTCACAAAGGCAAATCAGTCTGCAAGCAACAAACCGCACTACAAGAAAACAGTGCAGGCATTCAAAAGTCTCCTCTTCGCTACTTCTTTTTTTTTTTTTTTAAGAGAAAATCAGACCCTGCCATATCTGAAAAACTGCTTGGCATTTTAAATCACAAGACAGAAAAATCTGAATGCTTCAGGAGTCAAGGCAATCTGAATTTTAGCCAAGATATTTAAAATTGTTTTTCAGACAGTGAGAAAAAAAATATTCTCATTAAAATACCTATTAAACAATTTAGAGAGAATTTAAGTTAAATACATGATATTCAAAGACTTAATTACATTGCAGCTGCTTACAGTAACATGTCCTGAAAGCCTCAAAATAGCCTTCAGCAAAATAAGGAAATGAAGTTTAATAATCTTTACAGTTTCAAAGTAAAAAGCAGAAATATTTTCAGGCCTTCCTTAGACATAAGGCATGAAAAAGACACTACTTAATGTATTTAAAACAGCCTACCCTGGCCCTTCACCCGTGATCTGAAAACATCACACCCTACTTTGTATCAACTTACCCTTTTCCCTTTACCTGGTATAATTTTATGATGAAGATTATACATGATTTTGACTATAATCCCTCAAGACAAGAATTTTGGCCTGACACTGCAAGCCCACAGAATCACAGAAAGAACATACTGAGGGAAAAGACCATTTCTGCTTTCCCCCAGCCCTGGTCCTGGCCCAAGAGAACCCACCAGCTGTGTACCTGGCTAAAGCAGGTCAGTGAAAAGAGGGCTTAGAATGTTTCTGTATGTAAACATGGATAAGATAGTTACATTAAAAAAACAATCTCACTTGATATAAACTGACCAACAGTCTAAAATTGTCTAAAATGTACATCTATGTTATTTCCATATATTTTTAGACTTGAACCGCAGTACCAAAAGGGAAATTACAGCTTCCTTTGGTCACGTCACCTATTCACCTGTACTCTGGAAAGAGGAGTGATAAGAATGCCGACACTGATTCTGTGTCACAAGAAGATAAATATTACATGAGGATGCTTCTTCTTGAACTGTTTATACAGGCCCACTGATACATTTTGCTCTTCCTAGCCCACATCTGCGAAGACCCAAACAAATCTACAGCACTACTTATGTGTCTGTCAGCAGAGTGCTTCATTTCCATGCTACAGCACACAGAACACATTTAGGAAGGTACAGCATATACGTACACTTGGCTCTTTGCTCATCACTGATAACAGCACCCGTGTGTTTGGTCACAGTCCAGTTCCACAAGCTGATTGCACTCTCTTCAACCTGAAGAGGAGAATTCCACTCAATTTAATTTTTTCCTGGATATGAATCCCATTGAAATTTTCTACTGGAAAAGAAGCATCTTTCATGTGTTTTACAGGAATGGCCTCTCCACATGTTTAAGCAACTCCCTTTTACACCACAGTCAAAGGTGAGAGTTTTCCATCAAACTGTCACAGGATCCCACAGGGACATGTTGGACAGTGACCTGAAAACAGGCATGCTAAACGGATCATGTAGCATTTCTTCACCTAAAACCTGAAGGGGTTGGAAAAGAACTCTAAGAATCTTATCAGATTTGAGAATTGTCCATAGTAAGGCTTCACCTCTTTTGCACATCAAAAAGAACACTAAGTAGCTTAATTACCTTAAATACCTACACTGGGGAACTTCTGATATTAGCAAACAAAGAACAAAGGCTACTGACTATATACTCTTGTTAAAAAGATACAGCACTACATAAAGGCAATCGGCTGCTTTAGCAACCCACCCTGAGGGGCTGCATTTTCCATCACTTTATTCTACTTTTCATGACAGATCTTGCCTACAAATACACTCTTGCCTATCTAGGAGAGAGTTCATAGCCTCTCTTCTTGAAATGGCCAGATTACAAATTAACAATTTCTCCTTTCTTCAAAAATAATTTAACCTGATTCAGGAAGAACTGAAGGATACCACTTTTATGCTCTTGTATTTCTTTACACACTGTACTAATGACACTTTCTGTTACAACACTTACTAACCTATCTTGCTCCTTGTTGCAAATTTAGGACTTCCCAAATCAGTGTTCCTTAGCTGATAATTGCTACTTATTAAATGTCTCTTGAAAATATTATTTTCGAAGGAAGAAGTTGGATGTCAGTAGTAGTATCTCAGCAGTATCTCAGCTGGTCTTTTTCCTTATTTCAGATTCATGTATTTCTCTTTGAAAAAGGACTTTTAAGGCAGATGTTTATTATTTTCTAAGTATTCCTCTAGGAGAAACAACCAAAAGGAAAAAACAAACACTATAAACAACAATCTGGTAAACTTTTACAAGGACTGAAAAGGAGTACCTCCAATATAACACTGTGTATTGGAATATTGTTTACCAGGCAGTTAAAATTACATGCTTGCTTGTTTTCTTCTTCCTTGGGTTATCTGCTGTCACTATAGGAATCCACAGAGAGGGTGAGGACCTCTCCTCTGATCCAGTACCAAACTCTTAATGCATCAGTGGTCTCTGCTTGCATTTTTACTTGAAATTACAACTGGATACTACTATTAATTTGAAATAATAAATAACATTATCAGTAACCAGCAACTTTTTCCATTACTATCATAGAATGGTTTGGGTTGGAAGTGACCTTAAAGTTCCAACCTCCTGCCACAGGCAGGGACACCTTCCATGCCAAGTTGCTCCAAGCACTGTCCAATCTGGCCATGAACACTTCCAGGGATAGGGCAGCTACAGCATCTCTAAACAACTTGTGCCAGGGCCTCCCCACCCTTACAGTGTCTTATTAATATTTAATCTAAATCAGCTTTCTTTCAATGTAAAGCCATTTCCCCTTTTCCTAGCACTTCAAGTTCCTTCTCCAGCTCTCTTGGAGCCCCTTGAGACACCAAAGGTGCTCTTAGGTCTCCCCAGAGCCTTTCTTCTCTTCTGGCTGAACTGTTTCCCCGGAAAGGTGTTCCAGCCCTTCAATCACCTTCGTGGCTTCTTCCAGCAGGTCCACACCCTTCTGATGCTGGTGGCCCCAGACCTGGACTCAGTATCCAGGTGGGGCCTCATGAGAGGAGAGTCAATGATACACACACTTTTACATTCAGGATCATCATTTCGCACTGACTTTGAAAAATAACATTTCCCAGTTTATTTTGGACTTTCACGCTACTGGGGCAAACGACAAAGAAATTAACTCTTTTCTTTACATTTCAGTAGTGATACACGTTTAGCTTCACCGTAAAGGGTGAGAAGCAGCAGCAGCTGGTGTTTACGGAGCTGCAGCACCAACCTGGGCCAGGGCTGTGGGGTGTGAAGCACATGCACCCCCCGTTTCTTCAGACAGGCTGGGAGCGGGGGGCTCTCCCTCCGCCACCTTCCCATCCTCTTGAGAGATGCTCTCCGCCGCCTCGAACAGCTCCTCGGTGAGGGCGGCAATGCGGGACGGCGTCTCTCCCCTCAGCAGCTCCCGCACCAGCGCTGCAGGAGAGGAGGAGAGGAGAGCGGAGCGTGACACACAGCCCAACATCAGCCGCCACTGGCGGCGCGTATGGGGAAGGGAGAGCCCGCGACCCGCGGCACCTTCCACGGCCACCACCCGAGGCCCCGCCATGGCCCCTCAGGGGAGAGCTCCGCGAGGGGCGCGGAACCGCGGGAGCGGCGCCCCCACACTGCGCGTGCGCGCCGCGCACCCTGCGCGCGCCCCGACCCAGCGCTCCCGCCGTACTCCCGCGCCGCCGATTGGCTGCTCCGCGGTCCCGCTCCGCCCTGCGCGCTGACTGACAGCTGGCGGGACCAATCGCGCGGCGTGGCAGAGCGGCGTCTGTCGTGCGCCGCTCGCCGCGTCCGGTGCGCGGCGGTTCTGGAAGGATCCCGGCAGCGGGGCCCGGCGGCGGGGCCCGGGCGGGCGCGATGTCGGGGCTGCTGCACACCACGCTCAGCGGGCTCAACAGCGACTCGTACTGCGAGATCAGCCAGTACCGGGACCAGCACTTCCGGGTGCGCCCGGCGCGGCGTGTGGCGGGGCCCGGCGGGGGCGGGGAGGGCTGAGGCCGGCGCAGGGCCGTGCGAGGAGCCGGGCGCGGGAGGGCACGGTGCGGTGGGAGAGGGTGGCGAGCGCGCTGAGCCCGCGGCGTGCGCCTCTGTGCCCGCAGGGTAGCAGGCAGCTACAGGAGAAATCCCTGAAGATTTCCTCCACGCTGTATGTCGGTAACCTGTCCTTCTACACCACCGAGGAGCAGATCCAGGAGCTCTTCTCCAAGTGCGGAGATGTCAAGAGGATTGTCATGGGTCTGGACAAGATCAAGAAAACCCCCTGTGGCTTTTGCTTTGTAGAGTATCCTTTCTGGTTCCCTTCTGTCAGCACGTGTATGGATGGCACCTGTAGTTCCTCTACCCAGCAAGTGTATGTGTACCGCTGCTGGAAGGGTGATAGCCAAGTGCTTCCTACCAGGCACATCCCATCCATCCTTGCACCTTGCTCTCCACACCGTGAGACTGATTGTATAGTGGTGCCATACATGATGAGTGCCACCAGAGCTGTACTTTATGGACGTGGCAGAGAGCCCTCTTAATTCATTGATTCCTTTAATGATTTTAGGGCCAAAATGAGAACTGTTACAGTCATCAGCCCTTTCATCTTCCACATCCAGAGCACGTGTTTACTTTCTCATCTCAACTGCACACCTGAAGAATAAGCCATGGGGGCATTTTCAAGCAGAGGAATGCATGCTCATACAGGTTGTGCCAGGAGCTGTCTCTGCAAAGCTCTCCTGTGAAGCCTGCTCCTTTTCTATTTCAGTCAAGTTTTACATAGTACAAAAAGGCATACTACTGATTTCTTGCCCTTGGCAAGAATGGCTCTGTTCCATTGTCTTGTCTGTGCAGGTACTAACACTAAAGTACAGAATCCTTTCTGAGCATTAGCTTGGATTTACATGAGTGCAGTTTGTGATCCCATAAAGAAGAGCAGGAAGAGTAGAAAAGGCTGGAAGGCAGTGAGGGGAGTTCTGCTTCTCAAATACAATACTACCTCGGTTTTTTTTTTCCCTCTACCAACAAAACAGCACGTGTAGTTGTCCTTACGGAGTGTCTCAGGTACTACACGAGAGCAGATGCCGAGCATGCCATGCGTTTTATCAACGGCACACGGCTGGACGACCGCATCATCCGCACGGACTGGGATGCAGGGTTTAAGGAGGGGCGACAGTATGGGAGAGGAAAGACTGGAGGACAGGTAAAGGCAATGCCAGTTCATCCCTGAATTTGATCCTGTAAGAATCTGTACTTGTTTGCTGGTTTTGTCTCATGGAGAACAATGTGCAGACTGTAAAGACCTGATGATGAAGTTTACTCACTCCCAGGTTGTTTCCGTAATTGACACCTGGTGTTAAAGGCTGGAAATAGAAAACTTAAGGCCATTTCTGTCTAGGACTCCAAACTTCTGCAATGCAAGCAGAATGTTCTCTAATCCAAGCTAGTACCCTTGAAATGATCCAGAATTTGAGTAGAGGGAAACAGTGTGGCTGCCAGGCCAATCTCTTTACACAGCAGTTTTCCCAAGGGCAAGGATGAGGTTTAGATGAGATAAAGTGTTCTGAAGGCCAAGCCTGGCAATTCAGAAAGGTGTGCTGAAAAGCTGAATGAAAATATTTTGGGGTCTTCTTTGCTTCTTACCTGAAAAAATCTTAACCATCAAATACATCCTTTTTTGTCATTTTCACCACCACTGCCACCTTTTTGGTGGATTAGTTGAAGAGATCTCAGACAAGTTGAACTGCTTCTAATCTGAACTTCAGCTTCCCACCAGCTGAACAAGGAGGGGATGATGATTCTGAAGTCTAGTAGGAGACAAGCAGTGCTGGCTATTAACGTGTGTTGTTGCTGTCCTCAGGTTCGAGATGAATACCGGACAGACTACGATGTGGGAAGAGGTGGCTTTGGCAAGATCATTCAGATGCAGAAGGCAAATCACCAGCCTGCAATCTATTAATTGCCTCGTAGCTCCTACCTCATAGAGGGCTCTGTCCTTCCAGAGCTAGCCTGTTCTCACATTTGAGATTGGGGTATGGAGTGAGATCCAAGTTCCAGCAAAAGGTGACTCTTCTTAGACTGTGGATATACATGTGTTCATTCTCCCTTCTTTCTGAACTAGAGAGGATGTTCTGTGCTGATACAGGGCAACAAGGGAAAAAAATGGACAGCTCTGTAGGATTCTGTGCAAGAAGAAATGCAGCATGTCACACACACCTTATGCTATGACATACTCTTCGTGTTGCAGTTAAGCAGGTGGCTTCCTCCAAGCTGCATCTGTAGCCATGGTTGCTTTCAAATGGAACTTCTTTAAAGGCTTACCACCATTGGAGCCCTCCAGGTGCCTGGGCACCTAGTGAGGGTGCAGGACAGAGTCAGGTTTCTAATTTACAACCTCACCTGCTTAATAAACAGTATCACTGTTTAAATGAGAGAAGTGGACAAAGTCTTATCATCCACTTGTCATCGACTTAGCAAGTCCACTTAGCAAGTGATAACGACTTAGCAAGTCTTATCATCCACTTAAAACTTAGCAAGTCTTATCATCGACTTGCTTATCTGCACATCTAGCCCTTGGGTTGGTCAGGGCCTGCAGAGCGTTTCTCTTTTTGATGCCCCCAGTACTGCCTGGCTTTTCAGATCCTCACTGTTCGGTGTGATTTTGTTAAAAGCTTCTGTTAATTTTTTAAATAAACAGTTGTGTTGGGTCTGACTGAGATGAAGGTAATTTTACCCCTAGCAGCCCCATTGAGCTGTGTTTTGTATTGATAACTAGGAGGGTGCTGATAACACACCCGTGTTTTGGCTACTGTTCAACAATGTTCCCAACAGTGTCAAGGCTGTCTCTAACATTCCCACCTTACCAGAAGTCTGGGATGGGGTCAAGATCTTGGGATATTCCAGACCATATGGCATCTGCTCAGCAGTGATAACCAAAAGAAAGGAGATGGGGAACATTCCTTATTAAAACATCTGTCTTCTGGAGCAGCTGCTCTGTGTACTGAAGCTGTGCTTCCCAGGAAGTGGCCGGACATCTCCTGCTGGTCAGAAGTAGAGAATAAATATTTAGTTTTCCTTTGCTCCTGCATGCAGCTTTGCTTTTGCTTTATTAAACTGCCTTTATCTTGGCCCACAAATTCCATTCCCATCTTCCTTTCTCCCTGCCCCCTCCCACTGAGAAGGGGGGGTGAGAGAGCAGTTTGGTTGGTACCTGGTGTCCAGACAGGGTCAGCCCACCATAGTTTGGTGCCCAGCAAGGGGCCTAGGGGCAGTTCTGTGCCAAGTGTGCTTTAGTCACAGCACTTAGTAAGTAGGCAGCTCCTGTTGGGTCACAGTGTTTGTTGGCTGCATGTCTTATCTCTTTGCTGGGCTTTGGGAACATGTTAGTACAAGCCATGGCTCTGTGCTTTGCCCTGGCACTGATGGCCTTGCTCTGCTGGGGGAGTTTTCTTGTGGAGAGGATCCCATTTCCCACTCCCATCTGGTGTGGGTGGCTTTATTGTTCCTGCTCACCCTTATGAGAGATGTTTAATACTACTAATTAACATGGTTGGCATATCATGGGGTCTGTGTAATCTGGTGTCATCCTGGTGTAAGAGAAGACAATTTTGGGGTGAGTCAATACTGAAATCTGCCCTGAGGTGGCTGGTCCGTGGGTGGCAGAGTGTGTGGAAGGATTTGGGCAAGTGCCTAGGCTGGTTATCACCTCCCATAGCCTGGGACTACACCTGAACAGGCAAGTAACCTTGGCAAACTGACATGCTAACTGACAGAAGGTGCCTACCCCAGTGAAAACCAGCAGCTTCTGGCACTGTACTGGGGCATGTGCCTGCAAAGCCACAGTTCAGGGCTGTCAGAGGGCTGTGATTAACTCAGGGACCCAAGCCACCTCTGAGAGTAACTTGATTGAGATTGGGGACAAATTCCATCTGTGGTGATAGTAGAGATGGGGGCCCGAACAAGAACAACTGAAGTTGCTGCAGCTGTGGAAAAACCCCAGTGGAAGTCAGTGGGTCTATACCATCAGTTATTAGGGGAGGAGAGAGAAGGGTTCCATCAAGAAGCTGGTCCTTAAGAAAAGAAAATGCAGGAAGGTGTGAAGGAATTCAGACAAGTAGTCTAACATCATCAGAACTTCGAGACATATGGAAAGATTACAGCCACCAGGTATGTGGAATCCTGACTGGCTGCTCCAATGCTGCCATAATGGGGTCCAACATCAGCAGGAAGATAGGGAAACCCAACAGCTACTCAGCTCTTCAGAACAAAATAAGGGATGTCACCATGTGCCTGTGGATTTAATCAAGATACCAACTATGTCTCCATCAGCTAACAAGAAGGAGACACGAGCTTTCCTTTGCTCTTTGGGGAAAGTGCATGTTCCAGGTTAATGTTAGCTTGTGAACCCTCTGCATCAAGTAATGTGGACATAACACACAATCACAGAGTGGGTTGGGTTGGAAGGGACCTTAAAGACCAGCTAGTTCCAAGCACCTTGCCATGGGTAGGGACACCCCTGAGGAGGAAAGTGACATGAGTGACTTGGTGGGCACCTGGTATCCAGCCAACATCAACCCACTCCAACAGTGAGTCCCACACCAGTTGCAGTTTGTGTGTCAGAACCACTTTCTCTGTGACAGAAACTGGGGGGTGTCACCTGTTGGCATCTTGAAGCTGCTGTCACTTGCAAACATGGAGATGGACACTAGGAGGGTGCATGAGACTCACCATGGTTCTCTGCACTTCTGTCTTGCTGGCTTTTCCTCTTCTGCTGTGCTGTAGCTCATGGCTGATGTCAGAAACAAGTTCCTTATGCTCTGAATCAGACCAGGCCGTATGTTTCACATCAGCAGTTCTAGGAGAATTTTCCCTGTCCTGTCACCTGTCCCACAGTTGAAATAGCCTATAAAATGTAACAAATGCTCAGTGGCCACTTCAGAGAGGATGGAACCTACCCTTCCTTGTGTTTCTCCCTATTTTAATAAGAGTGTGGCCAGCACTCTCTAGCCTGTTCTTAGGTCCAAACAAAAGATGAGATGTAAAGCCTTTTTGATCTGACCCAAGAACCTCTCAGCGAGGGCAAGTAAATTCCATTGAACAAGTTAAATTCTGTCTGTAAATTTGGTTTGTATTATGTAAACAATAGCAGCTGCTCCCTGCCTAGTAATGTGTCATGATTTTTCATGCATTATCTTGTCAAGGATAGTAGAAACTGTTGAACACCTATGTGTAGACCAGGCAGTTAAATTAGTTTAACACTCACATTACCCCCAAGTCTTGATAAGTGAGCTAGGAGGGGTGTTACATTAAGTTTGTCAAAATGTCTCCTACCTCTCTGATTTGCAAGTCAGGTTGCTGTGCCTGTACAACTGTCACAGGTCTTGTTTATTCTTCAGCGGGTTTAAACAATGACAGCATTGACCAGCCTGTGATGTAGGTTGTCCCTGAGATGCAGTGAAATGGAACAGGACATTGACTTAAAAATGGAAAAATATAAGCAGTCATCTGTCCAGGCTTGCAAAGCACCATCAGTGTGAGATCCTGTGTGGAGAATGTGAATTAGAGATGGAATAATTGCTTGGGTAAACACAGCAGGAAAATGGGAAAGCTTAAGGAGGACAGGGGGATATAACAGCCTTAAAACTACGATTAGCAAAGAAATCTCTTGTGTATGAGGTCTGGAAACCAGCACACCTGTGCAGCCTTTGGCAATCCTGATGGTGCAGAGAAGGGGTAGTTCATCAGGAATGATGGAAAATGACCCATCTGCACCATAAATGTGCCACTTGCACTGCCTGTGCTGCCTCTGCCATCTCCTCTCTGCAGTTCTCACAGGCTCGCTTCCAGCCATAGTGAGGTGTGGGTGCCATTGGGATACAACTGTCTCATAAGAGAGGTGCTCCTCTAAGGCACCAGGGTGACATTCTACTGGGTGCAGGCATCATCACAGCATGTTGTCAGCTCCAGGACAGACTCAGGGGAGCCACCCTTTGGCTAGTTGCAGTGTGGACTGGGGGACAAGAGCAGGAACCACGGCACTAGCTGCAGCACTGGGAAGAAAGGAGAGCAAGAGAAAAGCAACCACCTGGCAGCAAGTCATCACGCCAGACCTGCAAAGGCAAAGCGAGGTGAGCATTAAGCCTGTGTGATTAGAGAGTTGGCCACCTGCCACAGCTCAGGGCCAAGAGGATTATTGGATGCACACAGGCTCCTCACAGCTACTGGGTCATGTGTGCTTAAGCTCACCACAGAGAACAGAAGGGTTGGGGCCTGCCTGGAGCCAGGTGAGTAAGGAGTGATAAGAATCTCAGCCATCACCGGCTTTGATTTCCTGGAGCCCTTCTGGACTGTGAGGGCTTACAGCACAACCTAGAGCTGCTGCAGAAATATCAGGAGTTGGTATCAGTTTGCTCTTACACCAGTGACCCCATCTGCCTGGAGTCAACTCTCTAGATTCCAGAACTCAGGCCCTGCTGATGGATTTGTCCCTCTCAGCAGCCACTGCAGCTCTGCTCCATCAGCAGGGAAGGGGATCTGACAGTGCTCAGATTTAAAGGGAAGAAGATGGCACATTAACTCCTCATATTGAAGCATTTGGTGTCACAGAGCAGAGCAGACTTGCCAGCCTATTTTAATTCCCAAGCGGATCAAAATTTAATCTGCTGCTACATCTCTGCCTGCCAGGGCCTGTTCTGGTCAGGGAGCGGTGCAGGGGCAGGCTCTGCAGCTGCAGCTCTCCCTCCAGAGGCTCAGCAGCACAGCCCCCCATCTCCATCCTGCTCCCAGCCTGCATGGCCACACTCATGGCCTCTCAGCAGCCCCCCTGGAGGTGGCAAGCACCTGATGTTCAGAGAGCTGCTCCAAAGGGTCTGCCAGGAAAGCCCCATGTCCCCCAAAACCAGTTGGATATGAAGTTATGAATGCCATGGGATGTGGTGGATTCAGATGGGGAGGGAGGCTTAGAGTCACTCACTGTCTGCACTCCCAACACCCCAACCCACCAGCAGTACATCCCTGGCATGACCCCAGAGCACACTGTCACCAGCCAGTGGCCACAGCCAGGCCTCTACTGCAATGCCACCCTCACCACACACCTGCTCAGCATGGCTTGGGCCAAACACAGCAGGACTCAACAGCCCTCCAGCTCCCCTTTCAATCCAGGGGGGAATGGCAACAAGGAAATCACAAATCAAGCCTGGGGAGGAAATGCCCCAACTGTCAGGGCAAACCGCATGCAGCTGCGTTGGGGCTGGTTGCTTCCTTCCCCATAATGGTGCGTTATCACAAGCTTCTCAACAGCAAAGCCAGACTGCTTTTTGCTGATTTTCTCAAACAACAAAATGGCCCCTTCCAGACCAGTACAGGAGGGGAAACCCACCCTACAGCCCTCAGCACCTGACAGGCTTCACCAGGAACACACTTCTCTCCCAGTCTGTCTGCAGGATGGAGCCTGGGCTGCTATCAGAGCAGGCTGCTGGGGCACCGGGTACAGCAGTGGGAACAGATGGTTTGTGTAGACAACACACACTGAGGCTCTGGCTGGGTGTTGTTCACCCACCAACTGATGTGCTGAGATGTGCACCAACACCAGCACAGCCTGGGAAAGGCAGAGGTGCTGCCCAGCAGAGGATGTGGTGCCATGCCTGGCAGCCCTGCTAGCCTGCATGGAGAGGGAGGCAGTGACTCCCCAGAGTGGGTGTGCAGAGCTGGGGCAGCCTCCGCAGGCTGACAGCCAAGGACAGAATGCCTGGCCCAGAGCCTGGGGGTGAACAGGGCTGCTGTACCCATGGCTGAGTGGCACTGACTCCACAACCCACCATGGACTGGTGGCTACCAGACAGCTGCTTTCCCTAATGAGCTGACATAGTGAGAGTTGTCCAGAGCTTCCAGAACCACTCCAGGCTCCGAGCTCTGCCAGTCCCCATGGATGCCTGGGATGGGACAGCAGAGCTCAGTGGGACAGCCTGTAACCAGGCAGGGATGTGCCCATGGGCACAAACAGACCCACAAATGGACGTGGCGCTGGCTGTGCACACTTGTATGGGGGACACAGACACAAACAAAGGCACGGGGGGCTGTAGCAGTGCCAAGACAGGGGGTGACAGCTATAGCTGTATCAGAGGCCCATTGCTCTCTAGCCTTGGGGTTATAACAGCACCTGAAACTGGGTGCACAGGGACTCAGCAGGGACCCATGTGCTGCCCCTGGCCAGAAGATACCCACAAGGTGGGGTGGTGAAACCAGCATGGCATACTGAGGCACCAGCCTGACTAGGAGAGCTGGCAGCACCCAAAGAATCACCTGCAGCTGGGGGCTGGAGCCCGAGGCCCTGGCAGGGCACCCCAGCCTGTGACACTGGGGCAGTGAGTGCCTGTCCTGATGCCCGAACAGGAACCACAGCCCCTTTGACTGCAGGGACAGCCCTGGGCCAGGGCTCAAAGCTCCAGCCCACAGGCCAAGCAGAGCTGATGACCCTGCAGTGGACCTGGTACCACTGCTAATAAACAGCAAGAGATGCCAAAACCAAGCACAGTCCATCTGCCTTAAATTAGGTTTTTTTGGATACTTATGTCAGGTCTGATTTAGACCAGACCAAAATCTGGAAAATCTTCTCTCATGGATGCAGCCTAGCTTCTGGTCAAGCTTCCTCTGCAGGCTATTGCTGGCACCTCCAGGAGGTATCATTTCCCAGACCTTTACTGTTTCCACTGCTCTGGAACTTGGTGACACAATCCCTCCCTGCACAGGGCCTGAAAGCAGGACCATGACAGGCTGCTGTCCTGCGCACCCAGGTACCAGCAGCACTGGCTGGAGCTGATTTGAAGCACTGCTTCACAGCTCTTGGCTTAGGCTCACTGTCCCCAGGGACAGTATGAGGACTAGTGGCTCCAACTGGCAGGTTTTGGACAGGGATGTCACCCAGCACAGCTGGCTGGGACCCAGCACTGTTGTATACCTAGCCCAGTGGCTTGTAGGGTTCTATTGAAGGGCCCATGACCACAGGCCATTAACAGGAGATGCAGAAAGACCAACAGAAAAAAGTACTTAAAAACATTTAATTTAATATATTTTAAAAATTGCTGTAAAATTATAGAAAGGCAGATGAGGCTGGACACAAGTACAGCTACACTGAGGACATCTCACAGACACTCGAGCAAGATATTTACACCAAACAGTATGGTCAGGGCAGTACCAGTTTGCTGGCAGTGCCATGAGTACCAGAACAAGTTGCAGTAAGTCTTCCTGCAGAGTTCCAGCCGTGGCTGCCAAGTACAAGGGTGACACTTGGAAAGCAGGCAGAGGTGGTGAACACAGCCACCTTACAGATGGAATGAGTACAGCTGCACTATCATGTAGGGCCTCCTGTGCACAGTGAAAGCAACTATCATGGCAAGAGGGCTGTGCTGGTGTCACTGTCCCTCTGTGGGACTGGAGGAGGGCAGAGACCAGCCCTGAGGCACCAGCACTCCCATCCAGTCACTGGACTTCCCTGTGAGCAGAAGAGGCAGCACAAGACCCAGCTCTGCAGTCCTGACTGTGTTTTGCCAGTGGGTAGGGTCAGAGACAGAGACACCAAATTAAGGAACAGTGTAACACCCACCCTATAATTTCCATTCTAAGTCCTCAGTTTCCTCTAATCGTACCCCCAGTTACCTGTCCACAGAGTTCCTAGTCATTTTCCTACATAATACACCCTGTGATTACAGTCACTCAAGCTTCACAATATCCAAATAGAGCTTGAGAACGTTTCAGGCTTTGGTACCACATGGATTGTCTACTATCAGTGGAGGTAGTTGGTAAGCTAATTGTTTCATAATCATCCAAACCTTAACATTAACATACAATGCAATTATCAGAACAAAAAGCAAAAGGATTAGCATCAGTAAAACAACACCAGAGTAAAGCACTCAGTTGAGAATTCTGGTAGCTGTAGGCACCCATACAAAAAGAGTGTTCCACCATCTGTGTTCTCCAACTTTCTTCACCCTCTCCATCACATGATGTATTTCTGCCACGCCATGATGGACAGCAATCAAAGTCTTTTGTCCATTCTCCTGGGGCTGTTTCAGCAAGCCTCAGGTCTGTGTGTTGTAACAGTTCCTTTACCAGTTCATACCAATGGGAGTAGGCTGCAAGTCTTGATTTGGGTATAGTTAGATTCCAAAAATTGTCAGGATATAACAGGAGGTAAAAAAAAATTAAAATATAAACAAAAAATAAATAACTAAGATCCTGTCATTGCAATAAAGCTACAGGCACAAATACTGGAGTGACTACTTGTATCTTCAGTAACATTATCTACAAATACAAAATCACAAGAGGTTCTCATTCATCTTGTTATATACAATCTCACAAAGTATACCTCTGACTTTCAGATCCTGCCCAATCATTTTCTGTAGGATATTTAGTATTACATCCAAAGCTAATTAATTAGCATTGTGAATGTTAATCCAAAATGCATCCTGCACAAAAGAATCCAAGCTCAAAACGAAAAACTCTTAGAGTCCTCTGAGTCTAGGGTTATCTCTGATGCTCCCTGTTTATGCAAACACACCATCCAAGAGAAAAAAGGTTCCCCTGGTCTTTACTTAAACTGTTCAAATATTTAATTTACTTCATGCTGAGTATAATCCTCTATAAGTATCCCTCCTGACCATTAGCATCTAATTCTACCTTTCATCTCCATGCTGGTCTCACATCTACAAATTTATCTGGGGAACCAACCTCATCAGAATCCACAGACTCCCAAATATCTCCATTCCATTTATCAGAATCCCACTGCACACCCACCTCTGCAATCACTGTATGCATTTTCTTGTGATTCACCTGCCCCTCTTTTCATGATACTGAGCTACTCTTAAGTGCAGCCTTCTTGGCAAGCCTGGTAAATCCAACTTATCAGCAAGCAGCTTATTTTGGCACTTTAGCATTACAATTTGATCCTGCAACCCACATCTGGCACTCCATGTTACAGCATTTCAACAACTGTTCCTTTTGTTGGTGTTTTGTTTGATATACTGTTAACAAAATCCATCCTTGCTTTCCCAAACCCACAAGTTCTTTTCCTTTTTTAGTATATGATTTTTGGATGTGTTTCAATACATCCAGCAGTTCAGCTTCTTTTAACTGACTTCCCATTGCTCACATGGTCCTCCAACCTTAGCCCACTTTAGGGCCAGTGAACTATACGGAAGGTCTTCCCATCTGGGAATTTTGGGCAGGACTGATTCCTTTCACTTAGATTTTAAAAGCAACAGTTTGTTCTGACCCTGCTGACTACACTTTGTTTTGCTTGTGGGTAGGGTCAGAGACAGACACCAGCTTAAGGAACAGTGGCATTTACTATGAAGTAAAACTGCAAAGAATCACAAAAGGATAAGCTAAGCAAGGCACCTAACCATGAGCAAAGATTTCCAAAGGGATAAGCTGAGCAATGCTAATCACTGCTACGAAAGAATGCCTACAGTGATAAAGAAAAATACATCACCAGTGAAGATACATCACCCAAGTCCAAGAGACATCAGCTGTGGGGGGAAGCTGTCACAGGCAAGGGCTGGAGAACCACTCCAGTAACTGGCAACTCCTGCAAGTGCCTCCACCTTTGCAGGCCACGAGGCTCCTCCACTTTGCTCTGACAGTGGTCCAGCTTTTACAATGCTAAACAAACCAGCTGATATGATTTCTAATATAATTTTCCTGCCAGCTTTCTCCTAAAGCCCGGCCAGGGCTCAAGAAGGATCCAAGGGAATTGTCTTTGATCCTACACCCCTTAATTAGGCCGGATGTGGCCTTATCCTGTTTCTAGACACATAAAGGTGAACATGTTTTGCCAATAAATAAACACATAATACAATACTTCCTTAATGAGTTGAAACATACATTTGGTTGGAATGTTCATCCTAGGTCAGCCCAGGGCCTGTTGTTCAGGCCTTACTACTTCACTTGAACTCACTCTCTGCAGGAAAGAGGATGGATGTATGCTCTAGATCATGATCTTGTCCCAAAGTGGCAAAGAGGTCCATGAAGCACTGGTCCCCAGGCCCTCAGATTGCAGCAGCCCCAGGGCTGAGGTCCAGTCCAGGATGGTGCAGAGGCTTTTCTACTGTGGCACAGGCTTTTTCTGCATTTTTCCCTTCCACGCTGTTACGAATCCCATAGGTGAAGTAAATAATAAAACCTGCAGGACAGTTTCCATAATGAAATGTGCAATGGTGGGTTGTCAGCACTAACAGATCTCCAGGAGAGACCTGTGGGCACTGCACTCCCCACTGCAGAACACCTACCCAAAACCATCAGAACACCTACCCAAAACCATGCAGACAGCAAACCGCACCCAGGTGTCTGCACTCAGCTGTACCATCAGCAGGATGTTAACGAAGGTGCTGAAGATAGGCAGGAGTGGGAGGAAAGGTACCTGCAAGGGACAAGAAGTGCTGTGTCAGCTGTGCCTTGAGGGACCAGGCTGGGCTTGAGGATGCTACTGGCCAGTGGAAGGACCCCCTCCCTGTCACAGGCCAGTGCACCCAGGCACTTCCACACTCAGATTGCACCTCAGAAAGATGCATTCCAGAGCCCACTGCCTGGTAGCAAGCCCTAGCAGTCCCTGCAGTGCCCAGATCCTGACAGAGTCCAGGGGGGTGCAGACATCAAGATGCAGGGGGCTGCACTCACTTTGAAGTTTAACCGTGCATTGTTCTGTGGCTGCCTCCAAATGATGATGGTGAGAACGAGCAGAGCCGCGAGGAGCAGCACCAGAGCCACAACACAGCCCACATTGGCAACCTTCAGTGCAGCCACATTGAGGGTCAGGACCAGGCAGATGACTGTGATCAGTGTGGCTGCAAGAGAGAGGGTAGTTGGGGGACTGCATGGCACATGGCCTCCCTGGGTCCCTGAGCCTCACAACAGCTGGGCTGAGGGACCCACTCCTCTTGGTCAGGTCCAGCACCCACTGTCTCTAACACCCACCCCAAAGCCTTAGGAAAGCACTTTGTTGGAGGCACATCCCAGACCAGCAAGCTGCAGGGAACCTGCACTTGGCTGGGGTTGGACCAAGCTCTGACATTTACCCAGCCCTGGCTGAGTCACCCCATTCTGGCTGTACAATGGAGCCATTGACAGACAGATCAAACCTCATTGGCTGAGCCCAGGCACGCTCAAGGGCCTGGGGACTGCCCTTGCTGGTGGCCAACATGGGTCAGGCTCATCACAGGGATCTCTCATGACCACCTCCACATCCCCGGGTTAGCACCCATGTCCTCCAACAATGCCTGTGCACCCCAAACCACAGCTGTACCCTGCACTTGGCACCCTGCTTAGGGTTCAGCACCTGCTGGCACTGTCAACAGCAACTGGCAACCTGGCCCCTCTCCTCTGCCTGGCATGCTCTCCATCCTTTCCCAGCTCTGCAGAGACACGCCAGAAGACTCCAGCCCCTGGCAGGAGGGGACACCAGCCACCAGTTCGCATTCACTCACCAATGACCACGACACAGACATAGACAATGCGCCCCGAGAGCACAGTGGGGGTGTCCCCAGGTGGGTTGAAGAGCATTTCCAGGGACAACGTCTCTTTGTGCTGGGCACTGGCAGCAGCGATGGTCGGGTTCATGATCACTCTCTCCTCCTCATTCCCATTCAGCTCCAGCATTTCCATGGCCTTCGGGGAGTTTGGCTGAGTGGGCTGGTACCTGAGCAGGTAAGACAAGCTTGCAGCAGAGCCCAAGGAACTTCCTAGCCCAAGGGAACAGTCGGCAGCACCTTCATATCCCTGCTGCTCTGGCAGCCCATGACAGCCACTCCAAGAGACATGCCCAGAGACACACACACACTCTGGTCAGCAGCCTCCATCTTGGGGGCTTGACATTTCCCCAGGCTGCATGCCCCTGGAAAAAAGCTGTGGCTACAAGTCCCAGGACAATGTAAGGAACATCGACCCTGGGCACCGCCAAACACGAGGAGTCACCCACCGGAGGATGAGCACGCACACCGCCACCAGGGAGTAGGCCAGCAGTGTGCCGATCGACATGAGGTCCACCAGGTCCTTCAGGTCAAGCAGGAGGGCAAACACCGCTGCAATGAGGACACGCAGCATGAGCACAGCTGCAGACCACCTCAGGGCCGGGTGCGAGGAGGTGGCTAGGAACCTTACCTGCAAAGCACCCCGAGACAAAGGTGGCAATCAGAGGGGTCTTTCTGCCACTGTGGATCTGCGAGAGGAACTTGAAGAGCAGCCCGTCCTCTGCCATGGCATGGATCACTCGGGGCATGGGAAACATGGAGCCCAGCAAGCTGTTGTGGAGAGAGATTAGGCAAGCTGCCCACATCTACCACCCAGAAGGGGAAGGGACTAGCTCTGTGCCAGGAGCAGGACAGCAGCTGGACAGAGCAAATCCCCAGCCCAGCCAGGATGAATGCTGCCAGTCCCCGTGCTGTGCCAAACAGGGCCAGTAATAGAGCCAGTCCTACCTGGTGGAGAGGGCACAGAGTGAGCCAACAGCAACAGCGTAGCGGGCGGGCTCCCAACCAACTGCCTTGAAAGCCTCAGGCAGAGGGCTGCTCTTGTTCAGGAGGAAGTAGGGTACCATGAGAGTCAGGGATGCAGAGACCCCGAAATAAGCCACAAAGCAGATGAGGAGGGACACAATGATGCCAATGGGAATCGAGCGCTGTGGGTTCTTGGCTTCCTCCCCTGTTCAGACATAAGAGGCCACACGTGCCCCACTCAACCACACAGCATGGGGAAAGTACCCTCAGCAGATGAGCCAGAGTAGGGACTTTTCATGGCAGTACAGGACTGGGGAGCAGCAAGCAGGGGCTGTTGGAGAGGAGGGGTCCCTGGCCATGCTACTGCACTGGCAGAAGGGATGGAGCTGTCCAGCAGCCTGGGCTTGCAGCCCTGCTGGTCATGCCAGCCCCTTCCCCTCACCAGCAGCTGTCTCCCTACAGAGCTTGTTGAATGCAGGTCCTCCCTGAATGTGTGCCTCAGCTTTGCAAAGGTGTGCTGCACCACACTCCCAGCAAGGGGCTTGGCAGCAGGAAAGGAGGAGGCTGCTGGGCAGCCCCTGGAGGCAGGGTGGCACAGCCAGGAAGGTCAGGCAGAACAGCCTGTACCAGCCACCCACTAAGTAGATTTCTGGGGTAATGAGAGGAAATTAAGAGAGCTGCCTGTGCTCCAGGAAGCAGCAGTTTTGCATGAACCCAGTCATTTGGAAAAAGGCTGCTTGAAGCTGGGAAATAACTAGGAGGCACCAGCAATTCCCAGCACTGTCGCAGGCTCAGCTCAGCAGTCAAAAGCCTCCCCGCTGCTCTGGGAGCTGCCTGCGCAGGCAGGGTGCAGCCTTGCTCCCACCATGGGGTGTAATGAGCCACTTTTCCTGGGGCAGGGCAGGCTCTGAGCCCTTTTGTCTGGCCCAGCTGAAGACACAGTCTCCACAGGGAAACCTCTGAGGAGCGGTGAGACCAGCTGTTTTCCCACACCATATAGCATCCTCCCCATCAGCTCCCAGCCAGCTGCTGGCTGTGCAGTGGAAATGCCCACGCCACCCCCACCCAAGGAAATACCTGTGGTGGCAATGCAGTCAAAGCCCACAAAGGCGTAGAAACAGGTGGCAGCGCCTGTCAGGACACCTTCCAGTCCAAAGGGGAAAAACCCACCATAGCCAAAAGCCTTTTTCCTGGAAAAAATGCAGGAGAGTAGCTGCCGTGAGGTACAAGGGCAGCAGGGCCTATGCCTGCCCTATGCCAGATCCTGGCCTGGCACAGTTGCTCTACTTACATGTCATCTGGTGAGTCTGACAGCGAGAAGTTGACACAGTCCTTCTCTGAAAGCTGCCAGTTCTTGATGTCTCCCTTGATGAAGCCAGCAATGATGACAAAGCTCAGCACCAATAAGTTCACGGCTGTGAAGATTTTGTTAACGAGGGCAGATTCGCTGACACCAAAAGCCAGCAGTACTGTGGGGACAGAAGAAGTGAGTGAGACCCATCAGGCTCCCATGCCATCACCCATGGTACCATGGATCCGCTCTCCTGCATACCCACCAGTAAGCAGCAAAATCAGGATTAAAGCAAAGAAGTCTGGATGCTTGGCCAGCACTCCGGGCATGGGCATTGGGATCTTGTTGGCGAAGAAGGTGGAGATGTGGTTGCCGATGATGTTGTCAAATGCTGCACTCCAGGCTCGAGCCACACTGGCTGTACCTGGTTGATGGCAAATCTGTGCATTAGTCCGAGCCCAGGGCAGACTGGCACCAGCCACCTGCACCTGAACACCCACCTCCCTGCTGATCCCACCCCACACCCTGCCCTCACAGCACCACACGCTGCCCCCCAGGAGCCTCCCATGCTGCCAGCACAGTGCTGGAAGGAGCCCCACACAAGCTGCCTGGCCTCATACCTATCACATAGGAGAGAATGAGGTTCCACCCGGTTATAAAAGCCCAGATCTCTCCAACGGTAATGTAGGTGTAGAGGTATGCAGAGCCAGCCTTGGGGACACGGGCCCCAAACTCTGCATAGCAGAGTCCTGCCAGTACAGATGAGAAAGCAGCCACCAGGAAGCAGAGGACGATGGAAGGACCAGCCATCTCCTTGGCCACCTCCCCGGCCAGCACATACACGCCAGCCCCTAGCGTGCTGCCCACACCCAGGGATACAAGGTCCAGTGTGGAGAGGCAGCGAGCAAAATGTGTGTCATCGGAGGTCAGGTCCACCATGCGCCGACGGATCAGCTTCTTCCCAAAACTGGCCATTTTTTCCCCCAACATCTTGTCTTCTCAGTGAAGCTCACCTGGTCAAAAGCCCTGCAAGAGAAGAGAAATGTGAAGCTCAGTGCCCTTCAGGCAGCAGGACTCACACTGCAAGGCACAAGGTAAGCGATGATGTCCACAGGAGCCTGCTCCCAGCTTACCCATTGGCACCATGCCCCTGCCACACTGGCTGGCCAGAGACCATGGTGGTGGCACCCTCTAAGACACTGTGGGGCTGCACACACCCTGCCTGCACAGCCCTTGCACCAGGACAGTGAACCAGGGATGAACCCAGTCAGCCCATGGTGGGAAATGCTCATTATTCAAGCCCTGTGTGGTCTTGACCATAGAGCTCATAGGCATGTCCCAGAGCTTGCCCCATTTCCCAGGCTTGGCAGTCTGGAGATCCTTCATCCCAAACTTGACTGCTGGCACATTACTCCAGCCTGACACATGGGTGAGCACAGCAGCAAACGATGTGGATACAAACTCCTCCAGCACAGGCTTTAGCAGGCTGGCTGGCTCACTGGAGGCATCCATTCTTTTTTTGCTTTCAGCATTTGCACAACATTCTTTACAAGGACGCATAACCAGACAGACACATGGCACGGGTCCCTGGTGCAAACCCCTTGCCTGCTAACAGTGCTTGCTGAGCATTCTGCAAGTTCTGCAGGCTGTAATCACCCTGAATCTGTGACATCCCCACTCTGCTTGCTCACAGCAGCCACCTATCCCCAAAAAGCTCTAAAGATGAGCAACCTGTGAAGCAGGCATCCAGCAGAGAGAAGCTGTAAAGAAAGTGTTTCCCAATGCCCATGACCATGGCTGGCATCTCTGCCCACCACTGAACCTCCCACCCACCAGTGTCTTCCCCCTGCTGGCTTCTCCTCCCTTCATTGGGAAAGGGAGAACACTCCATACAGATGCCCAGGACTACATGCCATACTACATATATCAGCCTAAAGTACACAAGGATAATTTTGTGACCCTTTTCCACAGAGAAGGTTATCAGGATTACAGCGGCAACCACCAACTCGGCTGTATCCCCATAACCAGCAAACCATCCTGCTTCTTGATAAACTTCCTCCCGAGCACGTGTCACATTCAGCCTTGACCCCAAGTGCAACAAGTGCCCCAGGACTAGCACCCTCCTCAACCACTACCTGGACAAGTCCAGCTGCCTTCCCCAGCGCTGCTCAGTTGCTCCAAGTATTTCCAGTACCCGACTCGAGATCCGCATGGGTAGAGAAGCAACATGTCGGGCGGCAGCAGGAGCCACCCGCTGCATGCCGGTGCCTACGGCAATCCGGTAGCCGTCGCATCCCGCCGGGACTTGGTGTAGGTGTGGGAAGCTGTTAGCTCGGACCTCCGCCTCAGCCCCCGCGGGGGCATTTTCGGTCCCAAGGACTGCCAGTAAGGCTCCGTGCCGCCGCGGAGTCCGGCGACTCCCCGGGTATGGCAAAATCCGAGCGGGGGGGCCCGGCGGCAGCTGATGCAACAGCGGCACCGGTTGCGCCAAGCCCCTGCCGGTCTGGCGGCAGCGCAAACCACCACTCACCAGCGGCGCGGCTCGTCCGAGGTGCGATCCCCTTCAGGCGAACTCAATTCCGTTCCGTTCACTTCTGCGGCCGGCAGCAGAGAGGGGGAAGAGTTTCACTCGCGATGGATTTGTACAAATGGGAGGCGTTCAGCAGCTCCCGCCCAAAGCCCCAGCTAAGAGGAGGGCAGGCAGAGGCGAGCGGGAACAGGAACCCGGCTCCTCCCAGCCCCACTCGCGTTCCCGCGCACATTTTAGAATACTTAAATTCCAGTAACAAGTGGCACCGGGGCGAGGAACGGCTCGGCCAGCGGGAGTGAGGCTGCTGCGGGCGGCATCTCCGAGACCAGGGCAAGGCACCTTGCTCCCTCGGGAAAGGCCACGGAGAGGGCGGCTGCGGGTGTCCCGAGCCCAGATGTGCCATGAGAACAGAGCCTGGCCCGGCCGTGCCCCGCCGCGGCTGGGAACGAGGCGAGGCGGCGAGGCCAGCCCTGCTGCAGGGGCTGCGAGCGGAGCTCAGCCCGCGCCTTGTGGGGTGACTCTAGCCCGGCCTCCGTATGCTCCGCTAAAGCCCCCTCAGCTCTGGGAGCAACACGCAGCCCTAAGTGATGGGAAACGCCAGTCTTAGGAGAACGGCTCGGCAGCCAGGAGAGACGCAGGGGCCAGCACCATCCTCTCCAGCACTCAGGCTGGGACCCGCCCCTCAGCAGACCGCGCCTGATGCAATCCAGTGTTTGCGTGTCGTGAGCGCCCATTCAAAGTGGCAGCTCACAGAGAGGTAAGCCAGCCCCTCGCCGGCATCACTGGCAATACCCTGCTCCGGCGCCGCTATCGAGGCAAAAGGCTTTTCAGTCGCTTGCGGAGCGGAGGAGAGCAGAGCAGGCAGGAGCGCCAGGCAGCTGCCTCCCCCGCACCCTCCGGGGGTCAAACGCCGGGAGGATGCGGTGATGGAAACACCAGCTCATGCTTCTGAACTGGAAGTGACGTAGGCTCTGCCCCCGCTTACTCAGAATTTAGGGCTGCGGTTCAGCCACGCCCCTCTCCTCCCTTACCTCACGATGAAGGAACTTCCAGGCAGCATGAGGTTCCATCATGGCTGTTACTACTCAGACGCTTTCTACTCCTTCCAGGCCTACCAGCTGTAGGCAAGGACTCAGCCGGGCAGCACCATCGCCGAGAATGTTCTCGGGCAGGGTAGGCAGCATCACGGGCACAGCAGGACTCCGAGCAGGGTAACCCTGTCTCAGACAAGCAGATACAGGGTACCTAGAACAGTGAGGGGGCAGACTACGTGATTTGCCTGTTGCCAGAAACCTTGCAACATCAGGTGCTGGGAGGCAGTTTCCAGAAAGCGGCAGCATCAGGACACCAGAACATGCCTCCAGCATCCACATGTCTTCCCAGTGTCCCATCCTCACCTCCCAGTCTTACTGCTCTCCATTCCCATCATTCAGGGCCCTGATCCAGCAGCACAGGCCAAGGGCTGGGAGCAGGCAGAGGCATGGAACAAGCCAAGTGCATGTCTCAACAGGAACAGCAGGAAGGCAAACAGGAAGGCACATTGCAGCCAGCATCAAAGGAGAGTAGGAGATGGCTCCAGCTCATAAAGAGGGCCAGAAGCCCTGCAGAAATAGATCCACATCAGTCCTTGGATGCCCTTGCCACCTTCCACAACTGAAGCATTAGAATATTTCAGACTGGAAGGGACCTATAAGGACCATTAAGTCCAGCTTCACCCACAAGTGCCTCTCTATTTACAAATAATAAATCTAGCAGGGCACTTTTTCTCGTCAACTCCCTTAGTACCTGCACCAAGGAGTTATCTTCACCAGGCATGTACAGGGAACACAACAGCTTGTTAGGGCTCTGTGCTGTAGATTGTGCCAGCACTGAAGCTGCCCCAGCAACCAAGTGCCAAGCAGGGGTAGGAGACAGCTGACAGCTTCCCAGGAAGCAGTGCCCCAGGAAGGGCTGTGGGCTGCCTGTGAATGTGCATTCCAAGGCAACCAGAACACCAACCAGAAATATCAGAGGAGCAGGAACAGGCCAGCCTTACCAGCCCAACCTCAGGGCACTGCCAGCACCAGACAGCAGGACTCTCCAGTGCCTCACCCAGACACAAGGCAGAACAACAAGGTGACTGCATCAACCAAACACAGAGAGAAGGCAGCAAAGCAGGTCTCCCAGTGCCAGCATGCAGGAACAGGGAGGGATAATAAAACATTAATAAATAACCAAAGGCTGCAGAAGCCCAATGTGCCATCAGCCAGCATTGGCTTTTCCCACATCCAATGTGAAGGTGGTCTAAGGAAGAAACCTGCCCACACAGCTGCCCACAACCACCACATCCAAGCATCCCACCTGGGAGCATCAGTTTTGTCCAGAAATGCTTCCCCAGAGCTATACTGTACCTCCATCCACCAGCACCTAGCTCCTCCTTGTAACAGACCTCAAATCTCTGGCTGAGCAAAACCAGCTGTAGCCAAACACTGACATGCCCTGCTCACCCAGTACTTTGGGGATCAGTGGGCAGCACTGGGCACTGCCTCTACCCAAGCAGACAGCAAGCACTACTGCAAAAGACATCTTTATTTTACATATAAGGAGTTAGGAAATTAATTCATTCAACAGCTCCACATATATCACTGCCCCAGAGGCTCACACAGCTGTTGTCTGTCCCCATGTCCCAGCTGTCAGTCTCTGCCCAGGTCACCTCTGTCAAACACTGCTGCATCTTTTACACAGATTCCTGGGAAGCAACAGCAACATCAAAGCAGTAACACTTCTGGCACTCAGCACCTGACCCCTGGGAAAGGCCATGAGTTGTACCCCTCCCACCATGCAGCCCTCAGTTATACCAGCAAGGGATCACTGGAGCATCCCTGCAGCCTGCACAGAAGTGAGGGCTCACCACAGTGAGGGCACATACCTGCTGCTCTGAGCTGAGCCTGCAAGGAGAAGATTGTCTGCTGATAGGCTTCACACTGGGCAGTCTTGTCAGCTGCAGAGAGGAGGCAAGAAGATGTGTGCTCAGCCCATCCTAAATACCTCATGCCCAGACTTTCTAGGGCAGCAGCTGAGATCCTGCTCTACCCCTTAAACATGAAGCCAGCCCCACTCCCATGAAGCTGCAGGCCCTGGGCTCTAGGTACAAGCACAGGGGATGTCACCTGGATTGCAGGTGTCCTGCAGTCCTCAGAATAGCAAGCTCCACATACCAAGTTCGTCCTTCACTCGCTCCAGCTCTGTCTTCACATGCTCCAGTTCCTGGGACAGCTGATCACCTGCAGACTGGCAAGAGAAGGGTGCAAGTGTGATGCAGGGAATTGTCACCCCCATTACAACACTGCCACAGCACAGCCCACCCTCTGGAGGAGCATTGCAGCCCATCCAACACTCCCAACCCAGCACTCTGGGGACCACTGCCAGGGCACATCCATCCTGTGATGGAGTGGTGCCTGGAGAAGGAGCCGCTGTATCGAGCATCTGCCAGCACCCATGAGAAACAAGAATGCCTTTGGCTAGCTGCAGCCACAGAGTGAAGAGCTCTAAATATGCTGGAAAATGCACAAACTTATTTTGCAGGTAGGAGATTTCCTAACTTGGAGATTCATCTTGCAGGCTATGCACACCCCATCCCAGGGCCATGTCCTACATGTCAGGACACATAAAAGTGACAACACAAGCCACAGGAAGCTTGCATGTTTCAGAAGACCCTTAGAAAATCTAACTGGACAGAAGCCTGCAGTCCCCTGAGCACGGAGAGGTGGTAAAGACATGCAAAAAATGCCCATGGTCTTGTGCAAACCCCAGGGAAAGGCTGAAACAGCTCAAGTGCCAGCCAGAAATTGGCAGGTCCAGGTCTCATCATCTCCCACCTCTGGCATAGCTGGCCCAAGCCAGAGACTGAACAGTGCTCCATGGTCACAGGATACAGCTGGCTCTTACCCGCTCAGCAGGGCCTGCATCTTCATGCCATGAAGTCAGGCCAGGGGCCAACTCTCTGGACAAAGAGGACTCCACACACAACCATGTCTGGTCAGGTTTACCTGTGAAGAGAGGTGTCAGCACTAGAAACCTGCCATCCTTGGCCACTCTTCAACCTGGGCACAGGGCTGCTCCAGATCAGGGAAGGACAGAACCTGTCCAAGAGAGTCAGAAGTTTCCCAGCACTTCCAGCCCAACAGCTGCTGCTGGCTTGGCCTGTATGGGTGCTGCTGGGAGAAAGTGCCCCTGGCGTGGCCTTGCTCCCAGCAGCTCTGGGCTCCTGCTAGGAATCTACTCTCCCAGTGAGGGCAGGCAGCTGCCCGGGCAGGGTGGAACAGGGCTGTCCCAGTAGAGTGAGGAGAGCCTCTTCACTTCCCCTCCCTCTGTGCAGGGCTCAGGACCGCAGGCTGCCCAGCTGCAGTTCCTGTGAAGGCAGCACCCCCTGCCTGCAGCACAGGATGGAGCATCCTCAGCACACCTGGTCAGCCAGAGCCCATCAGGGGAGCAGCGTTGCCCAACATGCAGCTTCCCACGTTTCCCAACACAAGGCAAGAATCTACAACTCCATATTGCTCACCTGCACCCAAGACAATCCTTGCTGCAACCTGCTTTTCTTTGCTCTCACCATTTTCCTTCAGCTCTTGGGTCCTATTGCACACCAGCTCCTGTGTAGTTGATCCTGAAGTGAGACCCAGGAAAGGAAAATAAAGAGCATCAACCCTTGCTAAGAGAGTGCCCTGACCTGACCATGACAACTCCCTCTTCTATAAATGAGCCTCAAGCACCAGATTTATTCAGGCTCTTTGCTGGATACCTCTCCAGCAAAAGAGGGAAAGGACTTCACCTAGCCTTGCTTGCTCTGCACTTCACCTCCCCTCCTCAGAGCCCAAGCACATGCAGTTCCCTTCAGTCCTTTCCCCAGGATCAGCTTTGACCCTGCAGCCAAGACCTGAATGTTCTTCCCATGGCAGCAGCACTCCTCTCCCATGACTCTGCATCCTCTGAGGCTTCTGCCAAGACTCACCTTTATTAAGGCAAAAACGCTTGGACGAAACCACTTTTCCCGGAAGCCGCAGTGAGGAGCGGGAAGCCACAGGAATTGCTGTAGAGAGCCTTGAGGAGGGCTGTTTACGACTCCCAACCTTGACAGCAGCTGCAGTGGACAGTAAGCAGAGAGGCCGCCATTCCCAAGCAGCTCCATCGCACCCTCTTCAGGCAGCCCGGGGCTCAGCCAGGCTGCCTGACCTAGGTGCACAGGCACCACTACCCCATGACCCCACAACACCACGGGATAGAGGCTCCAAAGCCAACAGGCTGCCAATCCATACTGGCGGAAGCCAGACAGTGTTTTAACACATCCCTCGGGGTATGAGAATATTTCCTAGGCTCCTACCTGTGCCGCTCCCATAGACTCCCCGCTCCCCATTAACTGTCCTCAGCCAGGCTGCAGCCCAAGCCCTTCCCCTTCTCCCTTCTAGATGCAGCACCCTAACACTCACGCGCTTCCGTGCTTCGCGTAAGGCAACTGGCAGGAGCGGAATTACTTTTCATCTCTCTGTCCCGGGGGGCAGGTTTGGGAAGGCTGGAAGGCTGTGCCTGCTGCGACGCCCCGCTGGCATACTGAAGCCTGGACCTGGCAGGCGACGTCAGCTTCGGCCTGGTCGCTGGGGGAGAGAGAGAGACCTGCGGCGCCGAGCGGGCGGTGGCCGAGCCGGGGCTCCCCGCCGCGGCTCCGCTTACCTGGGGGCCGGAGGAGCCGCGTTTCCCAGGCACCGCGCCCTGTGCCGGCTGCGGGGAGCTGCAGCCCCAGCGAGGCCCGTGTGCGGGGGAGAGCGAGCCTGGTGCGGCCTCGGCCCAGGGAACGGGCAGGGGTGCCGGGGCCGCCGCCGGAGGGCTGTTCGGGACCGCGCCGCGCCCGCCGGGACTGGGGGGGCGGGCGAGGTGAGCGGGCGCCGAGGCCACTGCCGGCCGCGGGCTGCGGGAGGCACCCGGGCTTCCTTGGGGCCGGGGCCGGGGCAGCAGCGGCCTCGCAATCACCTTCGCTCGAGGCCCGGCCCCGCCCGTGGCTCGGGACGGGCAGCGGCGTGGAAGTAGCGGGTCCGACGGGCTCGGGCTGCAGCACGCTGAGCTCCCCCAGGCCCGGCGAAGACTCCGCGGCCGCGCCGAGGCGCAGGCTGGCGGCGATGGCGCGACACTCCTCCTCGAAGAAGCTGAGGTAAAGCGGGGTGGCCGGCGAGCACTGCGCCTGGACGTGCTGCAGCAGGTCAGGACGGTCCGGCGAGCCGGAGCCAGCCCGCAGCTCCGGCGGCCACATCGCACCTCGTCACCGCCAGGGAGCCCAGCCCGCCTCCGCGCTGCGCCCGCTCTGTTCCGGCCGTGTCTCGCCCCACCCGTGTCCGTCCTCTCCCCGCGGTTCCCCCGCCCCGCCAGTACCCGCTCTGTCCCGGCAGCTCTCCCGCCCCCTCGCCGCTGCCCGCTCTCTCCCGGCTGTTCCCCCGTCCCGGTAGCCCCCAGGACCAGGCAGACAATTGGCTTCACAGTGGTTTAATGCGAACGGCACCGGGACGTTACACTGGACAGGGTGCAGACAGCTGGATGGATGGCAGCCCCGCGCAGGGCAGGGGAAGGAGCCGTCCCGAGCGTGACCGGCGGCAGCAGGAGGCGGGGCCGAGCCCCCCCGAGGCCACGGCCGCCTCCACCGGCACCAGGCTCCACGCTGCCCCACGGCCCTTTCCGGGCCGAGCCAGCCCCCGGAGCAGCTCCCTCGCGCTTTCAGCGACTTCTCCCCAAGAGCCACCTCTCACCCAGCAGTGCCAGTTCCTCACCAGAAAACAGAGGAGACGTTGGGAAGACCTCGGGGAACGTGCCTAGCAGGAAACAGGAGGGCATCCACTGTAGGCCTGTGTTCCAAGAAAGGCTCAACTGTGCCACAACAAAGTGATCAAGCGCTTATAAACCAGCCAGCCTTGACCTGAGGAGCCCCTGAACTGAGGCCCAACCTCACTAATCACAGCTGTGGCAGCTGGGGGAGCCTCCAAAAGACACTTCTGCTACAGCAAGTCACAGCCTCATTGTCCCCTCAAGCTGTGAACACTTCTCTGACCAGTCATATGTTTCCACTTCCACATAAGTGACTGCCTAGCTCACTGCAGAACAGGGGAGAACACACAAAGAGCACTGCTACTTCCCCTGCTTTGTAAGCAAATGTCTAATCTAGGACTGACTGACCATTTTCTGCTGTCCTTTTCTGGAGAGGTGGCCTCACTCTGGGCCCCACTGCTGGGCTCCTCCTGCAGCAGCCATCATGGATACATCCTACAGCTGTTCCCACCAGCTTTCTCTTGCTCCTCCTTAGCCAGACCCTATGCTCCTCCCAGCCACTGGGGCCCAAGATAAGGTCACTAGGCTCAGCTGAGCAGGGTGCTGCAGGCAACACCAGCCCAGCAGCCCATAGTATGACAGGCTGTTAAACTCTGGGCCAATGCATCACAGAACACGTGGCTACAGCCCAGACTGTCCCATCTTCCACGTGCCAAATGGCCCACACAGAGCTTCATGAGAGCACACAAGATGGAAACAGTTTGAGCTGCCAGCAGCACCTTAGAAAGGAGGGGCCACAAATACACCAAACAGGTCTGTAATGCAGGAGGCTGATAGCGGGGTTTGAGTAGGTGTTTGGTCTCAGCACTTCCAGACAGTGAAGAATGGGGGTTTCATGCAGGGTGAATGGGGTGGATGACAGACTGACACACCCAGGCACCTACTCACTGGTTTGGATAAACCTTACTAAAACTCTAATACCTGATATAATCACTGACCAACATGACAACTGCTATTCTTCAAAGTCTCCTGCAGAGGTGCTTGGGGCTGCACAGACAAGGGAGTGAAGGTCATCTCATACCTTCCTGTACAGGGAGAGAGGCAGCTCCTACACCGTAATGCCATTAGCAATTTCCTGCTCCACACCTATCCACATCTGCCCCTAGATGTGGGACAACGCGCCCACTTGCATCAATCTTCACATCTTTAGACCACAGCCCAGTAGAACAAACTGCTGCCAGTTACAAAAGAGGAAAATACTGAACAAACTGGGAGGTTCAAGAGAGGAAAAGCTGGTTCAGAGAAGACAGATTTAGTGTAAAAATAAATGTCATTTTTGCAGGAGGGAGGGTGGAATGGAGGAAGACAGTGCCAGGTGCTCCTACTGGCGCACTTTCCCTGGGACGTAATTCCTATCAATAGTCTCCTCTTGCAGGAACATATGTAAGCAGCGCTCATTCTGTGCCAGTGGGTGTCCAGCAATTCTGGAAGAAAATCAGATGTGGAGGTTAGCACAGCTGCCTCCAAGACCCCCACGCCTCTGATGTCTGAGGAGGGAGTCAGGCAGCCAGCTCAGCACACCTGCACCGCGCTCAACCCAAGGTCACGCATCGCTCTGCAACAGGACAAGTAAGAGGTGCTTGAGCACAGGCTGTTCCCTTCCACGCCGTGCCCTGAGCCACGTTGGTGGGTCCTTGTAGCACAGCTGTTCTGCTAATACTCACTATGTTCTCAGGAGAGAGCACAAAGCACAACCCCCACTCAGGGCAGGACTTGCTCCAGTTCCAGTTTCATTACGTGGCTGTAGGCACCACCCTCCAACACTGGCACCTGCCAGTAGCAGGTCAAGTCTCTCTCACAGTCAACCCACAGCCCAGCAACAGCTTAAAGAGGCAGCACACAGCAAAGCCAGGACATTAAGCTTACTTGTTAATAAACTGTTCTAGGCCCTGTCTCCGCTCCTCGATGAAAGACTCCTCAAAGATGCCTTCATCTCCTCGGAAGGGAAGCTGTCGTTTCAAAGCTTTTCCAGGCAGCGGTGGCACTACAATCTGAAAGAACACAATCACCCCATGAGCAGAACAGCCACTTGCAAGTAGATATCCTTTGCTGTTGGATGCCCACCTCCAGTGCCATCACATGGATAGAACACAGAAGGTGCTCACTGTCAGAGACTGCTTAAGTTTCATGTCTCAAAACACTTTGTGATGCTTGGCAAATGCCCGTGTGTTTGGTGGGAGGGGCAGATCAGGTCTTGTGAAGGCGAGACAGTGAAACACTCTACCCCTCCTGCCCAGAGCCAGCATCCCAGACCCTGAGTGGCCGAGTGACCAGAAGCTCCACCCTGGGAGGGGGCCACGAAGGCCCTGGGGTTTAAAAGCCCCCATGAGGGACCTGCTTGTCTGGGCCCTATCTTCTCCTGGAGTTTCCATCTCACCCACGCTGGAACCCTAGAGGTTGGTAGCTATGTGTGTTTTTCTGTACCTTTTCTGTCTTTTTCTTCTTCTAATCCTTTTTTCATGGAACATTTTGGGTAACATAGCAACTTAAGGTTTTACAGGTTTCTAAATGGGATAAGTTTATGCTAAGTTAATAGTAAATTAATTCTCAGTTATGTTATAATAAATGTTTTATAAGTGTATTTACTCCTTTGCCAAAATTCCTTAATTTTCTGTATTTTTGCCAGTAAACTTTTGTGAATTTGTGACCTTTTGAGAATACCTGGTTGGGATTTCTCCTTGCACCAAACTAGAATAAAGGAACCTCAGTTTAACGCCTAGATTTAAATGTCTGGGGTGCAACATCCACCACCATAGTCTCACTTTTGGGAATCTCAAGATTATTGCTCAGCTGTTCCCACATCCTGGCTTAAGGAATAGGGAGGTCTGAGCCAGGCCTCACCTTACTGTCTCGCTCCAGCTCATTCTTCAGCCACTCAAAGTCGCTGTATCGTCTCCTCACACATGACTCCTTCAATTTGAAGATGGGGAGGTTTGTCTGTAATGAAGCAAAGCAGTTAATTTGCAGGTTGCTTTGGAAGCCATACAGTATTTCAACATGTAACTGAAACCTGAAGGTGCAATGAGAAAATCAAACCTCCTGAGAAGGACACATGATGGGAACACTCAAATTCCATATTCAGGACAGCACAAACACCAAAATCCTTCAGATCCAAGCAAGCCAGTCCACTCAGTGCCAGCCATTCCCTCTCCCTTGAGTGACTATTTCTGGAACACATCTCCTTCCCAGGGACACACACTGGAACCTGTGCTGACAATGTGATTGTCAGGAGAATGTTTTTTTTCCCCTCAAGTTTACTCCATTTTGATCTACAAGAGAGCTTTGCAGCAGCCTGCAGAGCAAAAGAACATCTGACCTGACACTGGCATCTTCATGGAAGAACTAATCGAGACAATCTTGCCCCAGCAACTGTTCAAGGCCAGACCTCATCTACAGTCTTCTTCCAAAACATAGCACCTACCCTTACAGGCTTTTCACGCCCATCTTGTGAACTGGAGAAATGTGCAGCAATTCCTCATCTTTCTCCTCTGACACTGGAGTACAGCAAATGACAGCTGCATTAACTTTACCCCATGAACACAGACTGAATCATTCCAGGAACTTAGGTAGGAAAACCTAAGTGATGGGCAACACTCAGATATTACTACAGCACAATTAACTGTGTTCTTATGAGATCTGTAAAATAAACCCAGCTGCTTTCAGAGCATCTCTGCTGGTTTCAGTGGGACTAAGAGGTTCCCATTGCCACCTGCAGGCTGATGGGAGCCAAGCACCGGAGCAGCAAAAAGCAAACACCAATTCTTCTGAAAGATAGTG